AAACTCGGTAAAAAATGTAAATAACTCACGAAAGCTCTCATAGCTCAACTTTAGATAAAACTCTGCATTCTCCGGTGAACTCTGTTCACGCCAAAAACAAAAACTCCCTTTTTCTGTATGTAATTTAAACCGTGATCACTGAAATATTGTTGCTTCTTTACTTTTGTCATTTATCAGCCTGAAATTCGTCAATTTCAAAGCTTTTGTAACAAAGGCCTCCTTAACACGTTTCCCTTTTTATTGCTTTTCTGTTTACACCATGGTTTCTCTATTCTTATGGGCCTCTAACCTTCTGTGGGACTCTAACCCTTCTGTGGGACTCTAACCCTTCTGTGGGACTTTAACCCTTCTGTGGGACTCTAACCCTTCTGTGGGACTTTAACCCTTCTGTGGGACTTTAACCCTTCTGTGGGACTCTAACCCTTCTGTGGGACTTTAACCCTTCTGTGGGACTCTAACCCTTCTGTGGGACTTTAACCCTTCTGTGGGACTCTAACCCTTCTCCTCTGCAGGTAGCTAACTTCTCTTCAATACAATCTTATCTATAGATACAAAATTTGGCAGACCCCAAAAACAGACCACAATTTAGCTTACTCAATGAGGCAGACTTTGAATTAACAGGTGTCCGCTTACCTTATTCTTGTCAAACAGGTGTGCACGGGCTGTCCGAGAGGTCTGCCAACTCTTTTCCGCGTCGGAAAATTCAATTTAAACACAAAACAGAGAAAGTGAGGGAGCAAGAGCAAGCCCATCCAAAAGCGAGCCCTTTCAGCGTCCACTGGGATTTCTCCCCTTCCAGATAACGTGCTGTTGCTCCCACACGCCGAAAAAAAGAAACAGAGGAAATTCCCTCAAAACAATCCAGAGAATGGCACACACTGAGCCGCGCATTCTCCACCAAATCTGTTAGGATTTAGCAGACAGAGACGGATCGTGGTGTGCCAAACTCTGGAAGTTTATTTAAGTTTCTCTCAAGTTCCACTGGTTTACTCTGTTTCTTCCTCTCAGACAGAATAAAGGCAGTACAGTTTATATAGTCATTGTCACGTCACACATCGAAAGACATACGTGTCACAAAGAGACAGTCACATCATAGTCATAACATGGAGTCCTTGTAGAGTCCTTGTACAGTCCTGCACGTAGGCCATATTGCTATCTAATACTAACAGTTACAGTGTGTTTGTTACAGTGTGTGTGTGTTACAGTGTGTGTGTGTTACAGTGTGTGTGTTTGTTACAGTGTGTGTGTGTTACAGTGTGTGTGTGTGTGTGTGTTACAGTGTGTTTGTTACAGTGTGTGTGTGTTACAGTATGTGTGTGTTACAATACAATACAATACAATACAATGTATTCTTGTATAGCCCTAGGTCACAACAGAAGTCATCTCAGAGACTTAACAAAACCATTGAAATCACCAACACAGGTCAGAGAATCAACAGTTAAAACACATGAAGAATATAAAGCACACACAGAAGAAAATGTCCATACATGTTGTAGAATGCTAAAGTGTCCTGATCATCACCAATCCTTTCTGTTGGACACTAACTGTCCAACAAGACCCTCCTGCATCCACAAGGAAAAACTCTTAAAAAACCCAGTGGGAAAAAGTGAGAAACCTTGGAGGAGAACTAGGGAAACCCACAGGGAGGGAGACCCATATGAGAAAGGGATCCGCTCCTCCGGACGGACAGGCTAATGATCCAGGACCTAAGCTAGCTACAGAACGTGGACCAGTGGACGCTGAACGTGGACAGGTCCGGTGCAGGACCGAAGCACTCCCAGGCGGGTCGGGCGGGGCAGTCCGCAGGTGTAGATGGAAGAGGCCAGGCTCAGAGATCCCGTCATCGTACCATGAAACAGACAATGGGACAACGGGTGAATAGCAATGAACAAACTACAGTCAGAATCCTAAAAATGCTAAACAGATGAAGTAGGAAGGAGGAGAGGATAGTGCTCAAGTTACCATACTTCTCCAGCAGGGGGCTCCCTATGCAGCTTGACTGACACTCTGGGGAGTTTAGCCTTCCCTGAGTCTTACCTTCCTAGCCATATCATGGATGTATTATATTAACTGGATAGGGTATTACTAGCTTGTAGCTGAATAACTCACGTGCTCGGGGGATTCTCGCGGTACTGCAGACTGAACCAGACTAAATTTACGTGGGCTACCCAGAAATTTTCCCCATAGAACTCAATGCATATTAAAACAGCTCGACCTCAGCTGACAGAGAACCTACAGCTTTAATAAAGATTGGATTTTGTGGGGATTTTAGTGTCCCTTGTCATCCTGAACTTTTTTTCTTCTTAAATCCTTCGGTTTTGTTTAAATCCACACTTTAGTGCCACAAACTCTGCTCCTCTGGCTCTCGCTCTAACTCCCGCTCTGATGAACTGCTCTGATTGGTCAGAGCGCGGCCGAGCCCCTCTGTGCACGTGCGTGAGACCCGGTGTGAGACCCACACACGCGTGTTTGGCGCAACGCATTATGGGAGATCATCCACTGCGCAGAACCGGGAGGACCAGACGATGCCCAAATACAGGCGAGTTTCCCATAGATCTTTGCGAGTTTCAGGCGACTTCCACTAATCTTTCAGCCCCCATGCTGTCACAAAGCGTCACTGAGCACAACCATTCATTTGAATAGGGCGCCATCTTGGATCGCCGGGGCTTGAGCCATATGCTAAACTAAAGAGGACTGTTTTAAACCTAGCCTTGAATAAACTGTGAAACACACTGTGTGTTACAGTGTGTGTGTGTGTTACAGTGTGTTTGTTACAGTGTGTGTGTGTGTGTGTTACAGTGTGTGTGTGTGTGTTACAGTGTGTTTGCTACAGTGTGTGTGTGTGTGTGTTACAGTGTGTGTGTGTGTGTTACAGTGTGTTTGCTACAGTGTGTGTGTGTGTGTGTTACAGTGTGTGTGTGTGTGTTACAGTGTGTTTGTTACAGTGTGTGTGTGTCACAGTGTGTGTGTGTGTGTGTTACAGTGTGTTTGTTACAGTGTGTGTGTGTGTGTGTGTTACAGTGTGTGTGTGTGTGTGTTACAGTGTGTTTGTTACAGTGTGTGTGTGTCACAGTGTGTGTGTGTGTGTGTTACAGTGTGTTTGTTACAGTGTGTGTGTGTTACAGTGTGTGTGTTACAGTGTGTGTGTTACAGTGTGTGTGTTACAATGTGTGTGTTTTACAGTGTGTGTGTTTTACAGAGTGTGTGTGTTACAGTGTGTGTGTTACAGTGAGTGTGTTACAATGTGTGTGTTTGTTACAGTGTGTGTGTTACAGTGTGTGTGTTACAGTGTGTGTGTGTTACAGTGTGTTTATTACAGTGTGTGTGTTACAGTGTGTGTGTGTTACAGTGTGTTTATTACAGTGTGTGTGTGTTACAGTGTGTGTGTGTTACAGTGTGTGTTTGTTACAGTGTGTGTGTGTCTATTACAGTGTGAGTTTGTTACAGTGTATGTGTGTGTGTTACAGTGTGTGTGTGTTACAGTGTGTGTGTGTGTGTGTTACAGTGTGTTTGTTACAGTGTGTGTGTGTGTGTGTGTTACAGTGTGTGTGTGTGTGTGTTACAGTGTGTTTGTTACAGTGTGTGTGTTTTACAGAGTGTGTGTGTTACAGTGTGTGTGTTACAGTGAGTGTGTTACAATGTGTGTGTTTGTTACAGTGTGTGTGTTACAGTGTGTGTGTGTTACAGTGTGTGTGTTACAGTGTGTTTGTTACAGTGTGTGTGTGTTACAGTGAGTGTGTTACAGTGTGTGTGTTACAGTGTGTGTGTGTTACAGTGTGTTTATTACAGTGTGTGTGTGTTACAGTGTGTGTGTTACAGTGTGTTTGTTACAGTGTGTGTGTGTTACAGTGTGTTTGTTACAGTGTGTGTGTGTTACAGTGAGTGTGTTACAGTGTGTGTGTTACAGTGTGTGTGTGTGTTACAGTATGTGTGTTACAGTGTGTTTGTTACAGTGTGTGTGTTACAGTGTGTGTTACAGTGTGTGTGTTACAGTATGTCTGTGTTACAGTGTGTGTGTGTTACAGTGTGTGTGTGCTACAGTGTGTGTGTGTGTGTTACAGTATGTGTGTTACAGTGTGTTTGTTACAGTGTGTGTGTTACAGTATGTGTGTGTTACAGTGTGTGTGTTTGTTACAGTGTGTGTGTTTGTTACAGTATGTGTGTTTGTTACAGTGTGTGTGTTACAGTGTGTGTGTTACAGTATGTGTGTGTTACAGTGTGTGTGTTTGTTACAGTGTGTGTGTTTGTTACAGTGTGTGTGGTACAGTGTGTTTGTTACAGTGTGTGTGTGTGTGTTACAGTGTGTGTGTTACAGTGTGTGTGTGTGTGTTACAGTATGTGTGTGTTACAGTGTGTGTGTTTGTTACAGTGTGTGTGTTTGTTACAGTGTGTGTGGTACAGTGTGTTTGTTACAGTGTGTGTGTGTGTGTTACAGTGTGTGTGTTACAGTATGTGTGTGTTACAGTGTGTGTGTTTGTTACAGTGTGTGTGGTACAGTGTGTTTGTTACAGTGTGTGTGTGTTTGTTACAGTGTGTGTGTTACAGTGTGTGTGTTACAGTATGTGTGTGTTACAGTATGTGTGTGTTACAGTGTGTGTGTTTGTTACAGTGTGTGTGGTACAGTGTGTTTGTTACAGTGTGTGTGTGTGTGTTACAGTGTGTGTGTTACAGTGTGTGTGTGTGTGTTACAGTATGTGTGTGTTACAGTGTGTGTGTTTGTTACAGTGTGTGTGTTTGTTACAGTGTGTGTGGTACAGTGTGTTTGTTACAGTGTGTGTGTTACAGTGTGTGTGTGTGTTACAGTATGTGTGTGTTACAGTGTGTGTGTTTGTTACAGTGTGTGTGTGTTCTATAGACTGTGTCAATGTAGTGGACCTGGAGCAGAGTGAACAGTTTGATTGTGTTTTTATACTCCTGACCCCTGACCTCTGACCTCCGACTCCTGCGGTTATTGCTCTAGTATCTCACTGTGAACCTGCTTTTTCTTTCCATCCAATAAGAGCAAAGAAGAGAAGCCTCCTCAGCCAATGGGAGCGGAGAAGTCGGAGACAGGAATGATCTACACTATTGAAGACGTGCCCCCATGGTACCTGTGCATCCTGCTGGGTCTGCAGGTGAGAGACCATGTGACCAGATACCTTGTGACTAGGAGCATGTGACCTCAGACTTTGTGTCCAGGACCATGTGACCAAACACCATGTGACCAGAACCATGTGACTTGTGTTTTGCAGCACTATCTGACGTGTTTCTCAGGCACGGTCGCTGTCCCGTTCCTATTGGCTGAGGCCATGTGTGTGGGGCGGGACCAGAACACCATCAGTCTTTTGATTGGCACCATCTTCACCACCGTGGGCCTCACCACTCTGATCCAGACCACTGTGGGCATCAGGTGTGTGTTTGTGTGTGTGTGTGTGTCTGCGTGTGTGTGTGTGTGTGTGTGTGTGTGTGTGTGTGTGCGTGTGTGTGTGTGTGTGTGTGTGTCTGTGTGTGTGTGTGTGCACTTGTTTTCAACTCCTGGTGGGTTCCATAACCTGAGATTCCACTCACGTCATGGGGACTGGTTTTACGTGGTGGGGCCCGAACACCGGACCCCACTGGTCCAAGCTTAATAATCAATGGGTAATGCTTTTCTAACGGTCCTTATGCAGTCTCTGTAAAAATATGGAAAGGACCCCTGGAGGTTTACTTTCCTGAAAAAAGTGTGTTATGTGTCGGAACCCTGGTGGTGGGTTGCGGGATATCAGGGAGGGGCACACTGGGGCAATTTCAGTCCAGCAGGCTGGAGCCAATCATGGAGCAGCACAACAGAGGAAATCAGGTGTCAGGCTAGAAAAAGGTGCAAGTGTGTGGTTCATTAGGCTGCAAGAAATCATGGAGGAGCACACTGAAGCGCACGCTTACAAACCACTGGTAAGTGCTGACTACAAGTCATGACTTCAAATTGTTATATAGAATGATTACAAATTATTTGTTGTTTGTGCAGCTTAGTCAAGAGTCCCTAATTGATGAAGTCGACTCAGATTCTGACGATTTAACTGTCAAGAAGAAACCTGTAAAAAAGTATGGAAAAAGAAAAATCAAAAACCCTTTTCTTCAAGACTCGGAAAGTGACGAACCAAAGGCAAATAAGATTGTTATCATGCAGCTGCAAAAGAAGAAAAATGGGGGCAGGGTTTACAGCAAGAGACACTTCTGCCTCTACTGTTCAATGTCCTGCCACAAAATGTCCCGTCATTTGACTAGAAAACATGGAAATGAAAGTGACGTAGCCAGAGCATTGGCTCTACCTGTGAAATCTAAAGCACGTAAACTTCAGTTTGATTTGATCAGGAATAGTGGAAACCGTGAGCACAATTTTGAGGTTTTAAAGGCCGGCATTGGAACTTTAGTCCCAGCTAAACAGCCAAATTCCCCAGTTAAATCCAGTGAGTTTTTGCACTGTATAGACTGTGGGGCATTGCTTAAGCGAAAGTCGCTGTGGAGGCATGTGGCCAGGTGCCGGCTTTCACAGAAAGATGCCCAGGCTAAACCAGGCTAAACCAGGTAGAAGTAGGGTCCAGTCCCTCTGCTCCCTAGCCCAGCCTGTACCGGAGGGCATCAGCAAAAAGCTGTGGTCTTTAATTTCGGCAATGCATCAGGATGAGGTCACGGGTGTTGTCAAAGCAGAAAAGGGGATTCTGAGACTCGGAGAGCACCTGTACTTAAAACACGGGCATGATAAGACAAAGCATGATTACATTAGGCAGAAAATGAGAGAAGTCGGTAGGTTAATTAACGAAGCAAAAACCGCAGGGAAACTGAAAACAATTAAGGATTTCTTTATTCCTTCCAACTTTAACCATGTGATTGATGCAGTCAGGTCTGTGGCTGGATATGATGAGGAAACAAATCAATACAAGACTCCATCCTTGGCCCTCAAACTCGGCCATAGCCTCAGAAAGCTAGCAGATATTCTTGAATGTGACTCAAAAATGGAGCATTGTGTTGATGAACTATTTATTAAAAACCTCCAACGAAGCCGGCTGCTTTTTGAGAAGAGGTGGGACGTCTGTGTTTCTTCTGCTGCCCTACAGACCCTCCGGCAAGCCAAGTGGAACACTCCGGACCTGCTCCCTCTGACTGAGGACGTTAGAGCCATGCATGCACATATTGAGGTATGTCGACCTGAATATGTGCAAACCCTAATAAGTGAGCCAACGTCTAAGCATTGGTCTAAACTGGCAGTTTTGACTCTTTGTGAGGTCATCATTTTCAATCGAAGAAGGGAAGGTGAGGTTTCAAAGATGCCACTGACAGCCTTTACCTTAAGAAGTAAGACTGGGATCCATTCTGACATTGCTCTGGGACTGTCCCAACTTGAGAAAAAGCTGTGTCAGCATTTTCAACGCATTGAAATTAAAGGGAAAAGAAGTCGGAAAGTGCCGGTTCTTTTGACTCCTGAAATGATTGCTTCGATGGAGGTGCTGGTGGAGAACAGAAGGGCCTGTTCCATCTCTGACCATAACCCATACTTCTTTTCCCGCCCGGGCGCAGACACCCACATCAGGGGATCAGACTCCCTACGCCAGGTAGCCAAAGAATGTGGTGCGGTGCATCCAGAGATGCTATCCTCAACCAAACTTAGAAAGCACATAGCTACTATGTCTACAGTTCTCAATATGAAAGAGAATGAGATGGACATACTTGCCAACTTCCTCGGCCATGACATTCGCATCCACAGGCAATATTACAGACTACCAGAGGGGACACTGGAGCTGGCCAAAATCAGCAAAGTGTTGATGGCCATGGAGCAGGGAAGAGTGACGGAATTCGAAGGAAAGAGCCTCGACCAGATACAAATTGAGCCTGAAGGTAATTCTTGATATTATTAAAATATGTATGATTTTTTTCCCCTAAAGGCCACTTGTATTTTTATTTTCTGTGCGACAGGGAGAGCAGTAGAGATCCTCTCACAAACGGACGGGCTAAAAGAAACTTCAAGCGGAGAACCTTCAACCATTCATCCAGATGCACCCCATGGTAGTGGCAGTGCCCCTTCTGGTAAGTGTACCAGGTGGGGGATTACAGCCAGGCTGCTTGGTCCTCACCCTGGGAGTGTATATTGCTATTAATATATTTTTATTTCTCTCCCTAGAACGTGTAAGAAAGCCATGGTCTGCATCTGAGGTGAAGGCTGTGGAGAAGACCATGACACCTTTCATACAGACTGGAAAGGTCCCTGGGAAGTCTCACTGCCTGGCCTGGCCTGGCCTGGCCTGCATTAATGCCTCACCAGATGACCTTAGACATCGGACATGGAGTGGCATTAAATTCTATGTCAAAAATAGAATCACTGCAATTCGAAAACAAAATCTAAAATAAAATTCCTTTAAAATAGTTGTTTGGTTTCTATTGACTGTTTTGTATTACTTAAAGTCTTGGTAAAAAAAGATTATGTCTATGGGTCCCATTCTGAACGGCCCTGTCAAAGGGACCCACCAGGTAACAAAAACGTGTATGTGTGTGTGTGTGTGTGTCTGCGTGTGTGTGTGTGTGTGTGTCTGCGTGTGTGTGTGTGTGTGTGTGTGTGTGTCTGCGTGTGTGTGTGTGTGCGTGTGCGTGTGTGTGTCTGTGTGTGTGTGTGTGTGTGTGTGTGTGTGTGGGGCGGCTGCGGCTGTGCCAAACTGTGATTGTGTCCTTAGGCAAGACACTTCCCCCACATTAGATAGAGTCTGGTGTGTGTGTGAATGGTTGGTGGTGGGAGGGGCCGATGGCACAGACTGCTTGCCTCGCTTCTGTCAGTGTGCCCCAGGGCAGCTGTGGCTACAGTACTAGTTTTTCAACACCATAGACTGTAAATATTAACAAACATAGTCGGGCCTATCTCTGACGTTCAAACTAATGTGCCACCACTTTTTCCATCTATGGGGTTTTTCAAAATGGCTGCGGGGCTGGACAAAGTGAAAGTGTGTGTTTTGTAGCACTTTGCTTTTGTTTGTGGCGTGTAGGTTTAGTTTGGAGACCATCGTTTGTTCTGTTTCCTTGGGTTTCCTCAGACTCTGGGTTATGGTTAAGGTCAAGATTAGACTCAAGGTCAAGGTCAGGCTTCGAGTTAGGGTCAGACTCTGGGGTCAGGTCTTGGTTCAGATCCGGGTCCGACTCAGAGTAAGACTTGGGGTCATGTCATCTGTATGTTCCCCCGTGTTTCCTCAGACTCCCGCTGTTCCAGGCCTCAGCGTTTGCCTTCCTGATCCCTGCTCAGGCCATTCTCAGCCTGGACCGATGGAAGTGTCCCCCTGAAGGTCTGGTCCTCTTTACCCCAAAACCACTCTCAGAGCACAGACCTCTGCCATGAGGCGCCGTTCCATTCCATAGCACAAATAAGTAATATATCTGTTCCAGATCAGATCTATGGAAACTGGAGTTTGCCTCTAGACACAAGTCACGTATGGCACCCACGTATCCGAGAGGTAAGACCCCATCACCCCAGTGTTTAAGACCCCAGTGTTTAAGACCACCTCACCCCAGTGTTTAAGACCCCATCACCCCAGTGTTTAAGACCCCATCACCCCAGTGTTTAAGACCACCTCACCCCAGTGTTTAAGACCCCATCACCCCAGTGTTTAAGACCACCTCACCCCAGTGTTTAAGACCACCTCACCCCAGTGTTTAAGACCCCATCACCCCAGTGTTTAAGACCCCATCACCCCAGTGTTTAAGACCCCATCACCCCAGTGTTTAAGACCACCTCACCCCAGTGTTTAAGACCCCATCACCCCAGTGTTTAGGACCACATCACCCCAGTGTTTAAGACCCCAGTGTTTAAGACCACCTCACCCCAGTGTTTAAGACCCCATCACCCCAGTGTTTAAGACCCCATCACCCCAGTGTTTAAGACCACCTCACCCCAGTGTTTAAGACCACCTCACCCCAGTGTTTAAGACCACCTCACCCCAGTGTTTAAGACCCCATCACCCCAGTGTTTAAGACCACCTCACCCCAGTGTTTAAGACCACCTCACCCCAGTGTTTAAGACCCCATCACCCCAGTGTTTAAGACCACCTCACCCCAGTGTTTAAGACCCCATCACCCCAGTGTTTAGGACCACATCACCCCAGTGTTTAAGACCCCAGTGTTTAAGACCACCTCACCCCAGTGTTTAAGACCACCTCACCCCAGTGTTTAAGACCCCATCACCCCAGTGTTTAGGACCACATCACCCCAGTGTTTAAGACCCCAGTGTTTAAGACCACCTCACCCCAGTGTTTAAGACCACCTCACCCCAGTGTTTAAGACCCCATCACCCCAGTGTTTAAGACCACCTCACCCCAGTGTTTAAGACCCCATCACCCCAGTGTTTAAGACCACCTCACCCCAGTGTTTAAGACCACCTCACCCCAGTGTTTAAGACCCCATCACCCCAGTGTTTAAGACCCCATCACCCCAGTGTTTAAGACCACCTCACCCCAGTGTTTAAGACCCCATCACCTCAGTGTTTAAGACCACCTCACCCCAGTGTTTAAGACCACATCACCCCAGTGTTTAAGACCCCATCACCCCAGTGTTTAAGACCCCATCACCCCAGTGTTTAAGACCCCATCACCCCAGTGTTTAAGACCCCATCACCCCAGTGTTTAAGACCACCTCACCCCAGTGTTTAAGACCCCATCACCCCAGTGTTTAAGACCCCATCACCCCAGTGTTTAAGACCCCATCACCCCAGTGTTTAAGACCCCATCACCCCAGTGTTTAAGACCCCATCACCCCAGTGTTTAAGACCACATCACCCCAGTGTTTAAGACCACCTCACCCCAGTGTTTAAGACCCCATCACCCCAGTGTTTAAGACCCCATCACCCCAGTGTTTAAGACCACCTCACCCCAGTGTTTAAGACCCCATCACCCCAGTGTTTAAGACCACCTCACCCCAGTGTTTAAGACCACATCACCCCAGTGTTTAAGACCACATCACCCCAGTGTTTAAGACCCCATCACCCCAGTGTTTAAGACCCCAGTGTTTAAGACCCCATCACCCCAGTGTTTAAGACCACCTCACCCCAGTGTTTAAGACCACCTCACCCCAGTGTTTAAGACCCCATCACCCCAGTGTTTAAGACCCCATCACCCCAGTGTTTAAGACCCCATCACCCCAGTGTTTAAGACCACCTCACCCCAGTGTTTAAGACCCCATCACCCCAGTGTTTAAGACCCCATCACCCCAGTGTTTAAGACCCCAGTGTTTAAGACCACCTCACCCCAGTGTTTAAGACCACCTCACCCCAGTGTTTAAGACCCCATCACCCCAGTGTTTAAGACCCCATCACCCCAGTGTTTAAGACCCCATCACCCCAGTGTTTAAGACCCCATCACCCCAGTGTTTAAGACCCCATCACCCCAGTGTTTAAGACCCCATCACCCCAGTGTTTAAGACCCCATCACCCCAGTGTTTAAGACCCCATCACCCCAGTGTTTAAGACCCCATCACCCCAGTGTTTAAGACCACCTCACCCCAGTGTTTAAGACCCCATCACCCCAGTGTTTAAGACCCAGTGTTTAAGACCCCATCACCCCAGTGTTTAAGACCCCTCACCCCAGTGTTTAAGACCCCATCACCCCAGTGTTTAAGACCACCTCACCCCAGTGTTTAAGACCCCATCACCCCAGTGTTTAAGACCCCATCACCCCAGTGTTTAAGACCCCATCACCCCAGTGTTTAAGACCCCATCACCCCAGTGTTTAAGACCACCTCACCCCAGTGTTTAAGACCCCATCACCCCAGTGTTTAAGACCCCATCACCCCAGTGTTTAAGACCCCATACCCCAGTGTTTAAGACCACCTCCCCGTGTTTAAGACCACCTCACCCCAGTGTTTAGACCCCTCACCCAGTGTTTAAGACCCCATCACCCCAGTGTTTAAGACCCCATCACCCCAGTGTTTAAGACCCCATCACCCCAGTGTTTAAGACCCCATCACCCCAGTGTTTAAGACCCCATCACCCCAGTGTTTAAGACCCCATCACCCCAGTGTTTAAGACCCCTCACCCCAGTGTTTAAGACCCCATCACCCCAGTGTTTAAGACCCCACCCGTTTAAGACCCCTCACCCCAGTGTTTAAGACCCTCACCCCAGTGTTTAAGACCCCTCACCCCAGTGTTTAAGACCCCATCACCCCAGTGTTTAAGACCCCATCACCCCAGTGTTTAAGACCCAGTGTTTAAGACCACATCACCCCAGTGTTTAAGACCCCATCACCCCAGTGTTTAAGACCCCATCACCCCAGTGTTTAAGACCACCTCACCCCAGTGTTTAAGACCACCTCACCCCAGTGTTTAAGACCACATCACCCCAGTGTTTAAGACCCCATCACCCCAGTGTTTAAGACCCCATCACCCCAGTGTTTAAGACCCCATCACCCCAGTGTTTAAGACCCCATCACCCCAGTGTTTAAGACCCCATCACCCCAGTGTTTAAGACCCCATCACCCCAGTGTTTAAGACCACCTCACCCCAGTGTTTAAGACCCCATCACCCCAGTGTTTAAGACCCCATCACCCCAGTGTTTAAGACCCCATCACCCCAGTGTTTAAGACCACCATCACCCCAGTGTTTAAGACCCCATCACCCCAGTGTTTAAGACCCCATCACCCCAGTGTTTAAGACCCCATCACCCCAGTGTTTAAGACCACATCACCCCAGTGTTTAAGACCACCTCACCCCAGTGTTTAAGACCCCATCACCCCAGTGTTTAAGACCCCATCACCCCAGTGTTTAAGACCCCATCACCCCAGTGTTTAAGACCCCATCACCCCAGTGTTTAAGACCACCTCACCCCAGTGTTTAAGACCCCATCACCCCAGTGTTTAAGACCACCTCACCCCAGTGTTTAAGACCACATCACCCCAGTGTTTAAGACCACATCACCCCAGTGTTTAAGACCCCATCACCCCAGTGTTTAAGACCCCATCACCCCAGTGTTTAAGACCACCTCACCCCAGTGTTTAAGACCACCTCACCCCAGTGTTTAAGACCCCATCACCCCAGTGTTTAAGACCCCATCACCCCAGTGTTTAAGACCACCTCACCCCAGTGTTTAAGACCCCATCACCCCAGTGTTTAAGACCCCATCACCCCAGTGTTTAAGACCCCATCACCCCAGTGTTTAAGACCCCTCACCCCCAGTGTTTAAGACCCCATCACCCCAGTGTTTAAGACCCCATCACCCCAGTGTTTAAGACCCCATCACCCCAGTGTTTAAGACCCCAGTGTTTAAGACCCCAGTGTTTAAGACCACCTCACCCCAGTGTTTAAGACCACCTCACCCCAGTGTTTAAGACCCCATCACCCCAGTGTTTAAGACCCCATCACCCCAGTGTTTAAGACCCCATCACCCCAGTGTTTAAGACCCCATCACCCCAGTGTTTAAGACCCCATCACCCCAGTGTTTAAGACCCCATCACCCCAGTGTTTAAGACCCCATCACCCCAGTGTTTAAGACCACCTCACCCCAGTGTTTAAGACCCCATCACCCCAGTGTTTAAGACCCCATCACCCCAGTGTTTAAGACCACATCACCCCAGTGTTTAAGACCACCTCACCCCAGTGTTTAAGACCCCATCACCCCAGTGTTTAAGACCCCATCACCCCAGTGTTTAAGACCCCATCACCCCAGTGTTTAAGACCCCATCACCCCAGTGTTTAAGACCACCTCACCCCAGTGTTTAAGACCCCATCACCCCAGTGTTTAAGACCCCATCACCCCAGTGTTTAAGACCCCATCACCCCAGTGTTTAAGACCACATCACCCCAGTGTTTAAGACCCCATCACCCCAGTGTTTAAGACCCCATCACCCCAGTGTTTAAGACCCCATCACCCCAGTGTTTAAGACCACCTCACCCCAGTGTTTAAGACCCCATCACCCCAGTGTTTAAGACCCCAGTGTTTAAGACCCCATCACCCCAGTGTTTAAGACCCCAGTGTTTAAGACCCCATCACCCCAGTGTTTAAGACCACCTCACCCCAGTGTTTAAGACCACCTCACCCCAGTGTTTAAGACCCCATCACCCCAGTGTTTAAGACCCCATCACCCCAGTGTTTAAGACCCCATCACCCCAGTGTTTAAGACCACCTCACCCCAGTGTTTAAGACCCCATCACCCCAGTGTTTAAGACCCCATCACCCCAGTGTTTAAGACCCCAGTGTTTAAGACCCCAGTGTTTAAGACCACCTCACCCCAGTGTTTAAGACCACCTCACCCCAGTGTTTAAGACCCCATCACCCCAGTGTTTAAGACCCCATCACCCCAGTGTTTAAGACCCCATCACCCCAGTGTTTAAGACCCCATCACCCCAGTGTTTAAGACCCCATCACCCCAGTGTTTAAGACCCCATCACCCCAGTGTTTAAGACCCCATCACCCCAGTGTTTAAGACCACATCACCCCAGTGTTTAAGACCCCATCACCCCAGTGTTTAAGACCCCATCACCCCAGTGTTTAAGACCCCATCACCCCCAGTGTTTAAGACCCCATCACCCCAGTGTTTAAGACCCCATCACCCCAGTGTTTAAGACCCCATCACCCCAGTGTTTAAGACCCCATCACCCCAGTGTTTAAGACCCCATCACCCCAGTGTTTAAGACCACCTCACCCCAGTGTTTAAGACCACATCACCCCAGTGTTTAAGACCCCATCACCCCAGTGTTTAAGACCCCATCACCCCAGTGTTTAAGACCACCTCACCCCAGTGTTTAAGACCACCTCACCCCAGTGTTTAAGACCCCATCACCCCAGTGTTTAAGACCCCATCACCCCAGTGTTTAAGACCCCATCACCCCAGTGTTTAAGACCCCATCACCCCAGTGTTTAAGACCACCTCACCCCAGTGTTTAAGACCCCATCACCCCAGTGTTTAAGACCCCATCACCCCAGTGTTTAAGACCACCTCACCCCAGTGTTTAAGACCACCTCACCCCAGTGTTTAAGACCCCATCACCCCAGTGTTTAAGACCCCATCACCCCAGTGTTTAAGACCCCATCACCCCAGTGTTTAAGACCCCAGTGTTTAAGACCCCATCACCCCAGTGTTTAAGACCCCATCACCCCAGTGTTTAAGACCCCAGTGTTTAAGACCACATCACCCCAGTGTTTAAGACCACCTCACCCCAGTGTTTAAGACCACCTCACCCCAGTGTTTAAGACCCCATCACCCCAGTGTTTAAGACCCCATCACCCCAGTGTTTAAGACCACATCACCCCAGTGTTTAAGACCACCTCACCCCAGTGTTTAAGACCCCATAACCCCAGTGTTTAGGACCCCATCACCCCAGTGTTTAAGACCCCATCACCCCAGTGTTTAGGACCCCATCACCCCAGTGTTTAAGACCCCATCACCCCAGTGTTTAGGACCCCATCACCCCAATGTTTGAACTTGTCTGTTCTTTGATTTGCTCAGATCCAGGGGGCCATCATCGCCTCCAGTCTTACAGAGGTTGTGATTGGTGCGTTGGGACTTCCTGGTCTGATGCTGCGGTTCATTGGTCCACTGACGATCACGCCCACAGTGACTCTGATTGGTCTGAGTGTCTTTAACACTGCAGGAGAGAGGGCGGGGTCCCACTGGGGTCTCTCCGCTTTGTGAGTACACACACGCACATGTTCAGGCCCTGCAGGCTCCACTCAGACCGCACGTCCTGTTAGCTTTGATTTGAGCCAGGGGGAACATGGACAGGACATTTTGCCTCAGATGAGCAGACATTTTGCCTCAGATGAACAGGACTTCTCTCTCACAGATGCATCTTCCTGATCGTGCTGTTTGCTCAGTACCTCCGCACCACGTCGCTGCCGCTGCCCGTCTACAGCCCCAAGAAGGGGCTGTCCTCAACTCGGGTGCAGGTCTTCAAACTGTTCCCTGTGAGTTATGCTAATGCCATCTCCTGCTAACTCCTGCTGCTGTCTCATCCTGCTGTCTCATCCTGCTGTCTCATCCTGCTGCTGACTCCTGCTGCTGACTCCTGCTGCTGACTCCTGCTGCTGTCTCATCCTGCTGTCTCATCCTGCTGACTCCTGCTGCTGTCTCATCCTGCTGTCTCATCCTGCTGCTGACTCCTGCTGCTGTCTCATCCTGCTGTCTCATCCTGCTGACTCCTGCTGCTGACTCCTGCTGCTGTCTCATCCTGCTGTCTCATCCTGCTGACTCCTGCTGCTGACTCCTGCTGCTCTCTCATCCTGCTGTCTCATCCTGCTGTCTCATCCTGCTGACTCCTGCTGCTGACTCCTGCTGCTGACTCCTGCTGCTGTCTCATCCTGCTGTCTTATCCTGCTGTCTCATCCTGCTGACCCCTGCTGCTTACTCCTGCTGCTGTCTCATCCTGCTGACCCCTGCTGCTTACTCCTGCTGCTGTCTCATCCCGCTGACTCCTGCTGCTTACTCCTGCTGCTGTCTCATCCTGCTGACCCCTGCTGCTTACTCCTGCTGCTGTCTCATCCTGCTGACTCCTGCTGCTTACTCCTGCTGCTGTCTCATCCTGCTGACCCCTGCTGCTTACTCCTGCTGCTGTCTCATCCCGCTGACTCCTGCTGCTTACTCCTGCTGCTGTCTCATCCTGCTGACTCCTGCTGCTTACTCCTGCTGCTGTCTCATCCCGCTGACTCCTGCTGCTTACTCCTGCTGCTGTCTCATCCTGCTGCTTACTCCTGCTGCTGTCTCATCCTGCTGACTCCTGCTGCTTACTCCTGCTGCTGTCTCACCCTGCTGACTCCTGCTGCTGACTCCTGCTGCTTACTCCTGCTGCTGTCTCATCCTGCTGACTCCTGCTGCTGACTCCTGCTGCTTACTCCTGCTGCTGTCTCACCCTGCTGACTCCTGCTGCTGACTCCTGCTGCTTACTCCTGCTGCTGTCTCATCCTGCTGACTCCTGCTGCTTACTCCTGCTGCTTACTCCTGCTGCTGTCTCACCCTGCTGACTCCTGCTGCTTACTCCTGCTGCTTACTCCTGCTGCTGTCTCACCCTGCTGACTCCTGCTGCTGACTCCTGCTGCTTACTCCTGCTGCTGTCTCATCCTGCTGACTCCTGCTGCTTACTCCTGCTGCTGTCTCACCCTGCTGACTCCTGCTGCTGACTCCTGCTGCTGACTCCTGCTGCTTACTCCTGCTGCTGACTAATACTGACTCCTGCTGCTGACTCCTCCTGCTGACTTCTGCTGCTGACTCCTGCTGTTATCCTTGTGCATATACTCTCATATCCATCCATCCATCCATTTTCTTCCGCTTCATCCGTTGCCGGGTCGCGGGGGCAGCAGTCTAAGCAGAGACGCCCAGACTTCCCTATCCACACACACTTCCTCCAGGTCGTCCGGGGGGACCCAAGGCGTTCCCAGGCCAGCTGAGAGACATAGTCCCTCCAGCGTGTCCTGGGACTTCCCCGGGGTCACCTCCCCAGGGAGGCGTCCAGGAGGCATCCAGAACAGATGCCCGAGCCACCTCAACTGGTTCCTCTCGACGTGGAGTAGCATCGGCTCTACTCCGAGCTCCTCCCGTGTGACTGAGCTCCTCACCCTATCTCTAGGGTGAGCACGCTGCACCGATCCGCCTGTCAATCTCACGCTCCATCCTCCCCTCACTCGTGAACAAGACCCCGAGATACTTGAACTCCTCCACTTGAGGAAGGACCTCTCCACCCACCTGCAGAGGGCAAGGCACCTTTTTCCGGTCGAGCACCATGGCCTCAGATTTGGAGGTGCTGATTCTCATCCCAGCCGCTTCACACTCGGCTGCAAACCGTCCTAGTGCATGCTGCAGGTCCTGGTTCGTTGGAGCCAACAGGACAACATCGTCCGCAAACAGCAGAGATGAAATCCTGTGGTCTCCGAACCGGACCCCCTCCGACCCCTGGCTGCGCCTAGATATTCTAGAAATTCTGTCCATAAAGACAGTGAACAGAACCGGTGACAAAGGGCAGCCCTGGCGGAGGCCAAAATGCTCCGGGAACAGGTTAGACTTTCGGCGATGCGAACACAGCTCTGGCTCCGGTGGAGAGTATAGGACAGTAGTGTTTGTAATCTTTATTTTCACAGATCATTATGGCCATCCTCCTCGTGTGGCTGCTGTGCTACATCATGACCCTGACTGACCTCTTGCCCTCTGACCCTGCTCGCTATGGTCACCGAGCTCGGACCGACGCCCGCGGTGACATAATCAACTCTGCGCCATGGATAAGAGTACCCTACCCCTGTGAGCCAATCAGAGAACACCATTGTCATACACCCAATCAGAGCACAGAATCAGCACAGCCAACGTTGTGACGTGCTGGTCTGTGATAGGTCAGTGGGGGTTGCCCTGGTGACGTGCTGGTCTGTGATAGGTCAGTGGGGGTTGCCCGTGATGACAGTCGCCGGGTTCCTGGGGATGATGAGTGCGACGCTCTCTGGGATGGTGGAGTCGATAGGAGATTATTACGCCTGTGCTCGTCTGTCTGGAGCCCCGCCCCCTCCTGTGCACGCCATCAACAGGTAAGCCCCGCCCCCTTCTGAGGAAAGCCTTGCCCCCTCATGTATGACTGTTGTGTCTGAGCTGTTGTCCAGATGTAGTGCACCCTGCAGGTGAAGACCTCATCCGTTGTCAGAAGCTAAGCAGGGCAGGGCCTGGTTACTGTGATGGGAGACACTTGAGGGGTGTTGATGAGTCTCATAGGGTCCGATGACACTGTGTACTGTGTATGGAGTGTATCAGTTGTAGACTGTCTCCTTTGTCTCATGTCCTCTGCCCCAGGGGGATCTTCACTGAAGGCCTCTGCTGCATCATCGCTGGTTTACTGGGAACAGGAAATGGCTCCACGTCCTCCAGCCCCAACATCGGGGTTCTGGGCATTACCAAGGTCAGAGGTCACACATTTAGTTCTGTTTGAGACTCATGTGGTGGAACTCTGGTCTCCCTCTGGTCTCTCTCTCTGGTCTATCAGTGGTCCCCCTCTCTCTGGTCTCTCTCTCTAGTCCCTCTCTCTGGTCTCCCTCTGGTCTCACTCTCTGGTCTATCTCTCTGGTCTATCTCTGGTCTCTCAGTGGCCCCCTCTCTCTGGTCTCTCTCTCTGGTCTATCAGTGGCCCCCTCTCTCTGGTCTATCAGTGGTCCCCCTCTCTCTGGTCTCTCTCTCTGGTCTATCTCTCTGGTCTATCTCTGGTCTCTCAGTGGCCCCCTCTCTCTGGTCTCTCTCTCTCTGGTCTATCAGTGGTCCCCCTCTCTCTGGTCTCTCTCTCTAGTCCCTCTCTCTGGTCTCCCTCTGGTCTCACTCTCTGGTCTATCTCTGGTCTCTCAGTGGTCCCCCTCTCTCTTGTCTCTGGGGTCTCTCTCTTTGGCAGCGGGTGATAAGACTAAATGCCCTGGTCTCTCTGGTCTGTGGTCTCAGGTAGGTTCCAGGCGTGTGGTCCAGTTTGGAGCTGGGATCATGCTTCTTCTAGGTTCGGTTGGGAAGTTCACAGCGCTCTTTGCCTCGCTACCGGATCCCATCCTCGGTGGAATGTTCTGCACGCTATTCGGTAAGGCTCTCTATTTTTGACGCACTGGGTCTGGTACCTCTGTTTGAGACGCACTGGGGTTAGTACCTGTGTAACAGTGGCTCCTGTTTCAGGAATGATCACTGCTGTGGGGCTTTCCAACCTGCAGCTCGTGGACCTAAACTCCAGCAGAAACCTCTTTGTTCTGGGGTTCTCCATGTTCTTTGGCCTCACACTCCCAACATTCCTGAAGTCTCACCCTGGGAGTATCCGCACAGGTACATGACCTCTGAACCCTGACTCCTGAACCTTGACCTTTGACTCCTGACCTCAGCTCTTCTATCTTGTTCAGGGGTCCCAGAGTTGGACCAGATCCTGACCGTGCTTCTCTCCACTGAGATGTTTGTGGGAGGATTTCTCGCCTTCTGCCTGGACAACACCATACCCGGTAACCATGGGAACAGCGAAAACAGTCTCTATGGTCCTCACACTTGTCTCTGTAGAGTCCTCATGCTTGTCTCCATATGGTCCTCAGGGTCCCCAGAGGAGCGGGGCCTCCTCCACTGGACTGCCTCAGCCTCAGCCTCCGTCTCGTCTCCGACTTACGACTTTCCGTTTGGGATGAAGCTGATCCGCAGGGTCCCAGGACTGAGGCGGGTGCCCGTGTGCCCGGGCTTCAGCGGGTTTAGAAGGTCTAGCCGGGATCAGGAGAAAGACCAGGACCAGGATCAGATGGAAGACCAGGGCCAGGTCTGGACCCGCGTCTGACCCCATGCTTAAAACCTGAAACTCTGATCAACATACACTGACACATTTGTTTTTGAATTCCTAAATCCAAATTAATTCAAAAAGGGTTTTTTATCAGATTAAGTGGAAAGCTTTGGTCAGAGCGGCCCCTGCTGGACAACAGGGGCAGACACCTCCTGAGTTTTACATGTTATGTTTGTGTTTCTGAAACAATAAAGTTCAAAGTCTTTGATCTGGAGTCTGTATTTATTAGAGTTTAAAGAAGTAATAAAAAGTAGAACATATGTTTATCCTCTGACCCTTCACCTTCAGGAAGTGGTCTTTCATCCTTCAGGAAGTGGGATCTTCATGATCTCAGGGATCAATAATATTCCTGATCTGGTCTGATGTTAGCAATCAATAAAAAGCGTGACCCTAATGGTCACAATCCTGAGGTACCCCACAGGGTGAAGTCCTCACAACTTAAAGCAACTTATGTGAAAAAATTTACTTATGTTTTATTAAACACAGATTCAGTTACATCTCAATCAATAATTACAATAATCAGGAGGATTCCAGAGGTCCCTCAGAATGGAGTACTTCAGTACTTTGGTCTCTTCACATCAACCCTAACGACACAAAACACCATTAGACAGATGACACATCAAAGTCACGAGCTGTGATTGGTCCAAACTCACCCGTCCGCCTCCATCTTCTTCCTCTTCTCAATAATCTGAAAAACAAATGTTTTAAGTATAAGTCATGGATCTATTATATTAATAACTGGACAGGGTGTTACTGGCTTAGAGCTGAATAACTCATGTGCTCGGGGGATTCCCTCAGTACTGCAGACTAAACAAGACTAAATTCACGTGCGCTACATAGACATTTCCCCATAGAACTCAATGTAAACTAAAACAGCTCGACTTCAGCTGAGAGAGAACTTGAGAGAGAACCTGACTGAGAACCTGACTGAGAACCTGACTGAGAACCTGACTGAGAACCTGACTGAGAACCTGACTGAACCTGACTGAGAACCTGACTGAGAATCTGACTGAGAACCTGACTGAGAACCTGACTGAGAACCTGACTGAGAACCTGACTGAGAACCTGACTGAGAACCTGAGGTCAGGTTTTGTGGGGATTTTAGTGTCCCTTGTCATCCTGAACTTTTTTCTTCTTAAATCCCTCAATTTTCTTTAAATCCACACTTAAGTGCAAAAAACTAAGTACAGTGATGTCACAATACGACTATACTACAGCCTGATTTTCAACTTCTTTGAATGAGATTCATGGTCTCTCTGGTCACATGGTCCTTACCGCACTGATCTTCTTCCACTGTCGGTCCAGTTCAGCTTTTTCATTGGTTTCTTTAAATCGCCGCGTTTTTCGTCCCTCCGACATCTTTATCCCGTACTGGAATGCCGCCCTGCAGGCAGAGAAGAGTAATACTCAGTGTGTGTGTGTGTGTGTGTGTGTGTGTGTGTGTGTGTGTGTGTGTGTGTGTGTGTGTGTGTGTGTGTGTGTGTGTGTGTGTGTGTGTGTGTGTGTGTGTGCGCGCGCTAGGACACAGGATATAGGAGGTAGGACCATGGATCTATTATAATAACTGGCTTACTAGCTTGGAGCTGAAGAACCATGTGCTCGGGGGATTGCCTCAGTACTGCAGACTAAACCAGACTAAATTCATGTGGGCTTTCCCCATAGAACTCAATGTGAACTAAAACAGCTCGACCTCAGCTGACAGAGAACCTGACAGAGAACCTACAGCTTTCATAAAGGTTGTATTTTGTGGAGATTTTAGTGTCCCTCGTCTTCTTAAATATTTCAATTTTCTATAAATCTACACTTTAGTGCCACAAACTGTGCTTGATTGTCTCCCGCTCTAGCTCCGCTCTGATCAGCAGCTCGGATTGGTAAAAGTCCGGGCGAGCCCCACTGTGCAAGTGCATGAGAGCCACACACGCGTATTTGGCGCAAAGCATCATGGGATCTCATCCACTGCGCAGAACTGGGAGGACCAGAAATGACCAAATATGGGCGAGTTCCGCTAATCTTTCGGTGCCCATGGGGGCACACAGGGGGTAGGACTCAGGGGGTAGGACTCAGGGGGTAGGACACAGGGGGTAGGACACAGGGGGTAGGACACAGGGGGTAGGACACAGGGGGTAGGACACAGGGGGTAGGACACAGGGGGTAGGACACAGGGGGTAGGACACAGGGGGTAGGACACAGGGGGTAGGACACAGGGGGTAGGACACAGGGGGTAGGACACAGGGGGTAGGACACAGGGGGTAGGACACAGGGGGTAGGACACAGGGGGTAGGACACAGGGGGTGGGGACACAGGGGGTAGGACACAGGGGGTAGGACACAGGGGGTAGGACTCAGGGGGTAGGACTCAGGGGGTAGGACTCAGGGGGTAGGACTCAGGGGGTAGGACTCAGGGGGTAGGACTCAGGGGGTAGGACTCAGGGGGTAGGACTCAGGGGTAGGACTCAGGGGTAGGACTCAGGGGGGGGTAGGACTCAGGGGGTAGGACTCAGGGGGTAGGACTCAGGGGGTAGGACTCAGGGGGTAGGACTCAGGGGTAGGACTCAGGGGTAGGACTCAGGGGGTAGGACTCAGGGGGTAGGACACAGGGGGTAGGACACAGGGGGTAGGACACAGGGGGTAGGACACAGGGGGTAGGACACAGGGGGTAGGACACAGGGGGTAGGACACAGGGGGTAGGACTCAGGGGGTAGGACACAGGGGGTAGGACACAGGGGGTAGGACACAGGGGGTAGGACACAGGGGGTAGGACACAGGGGGTAGGACACAGGGGGTAGGACACAGGGGGTAGGACACAGGGGGTAGGACACAGGGGGTAGGACACAGGGGGTAGGACTCAGGGGGTAGGACTCAGGGGGTAGGACTCAGGGGGTAGGACTCAGGGGGTAGGACTCAGGGGGTAGGACTCAGGGGGTAGGACTCAGGGGGTAGGACTCAGGGGGTAGGACTCAGGGGGTAGGACTCAGGGGGTAGGACACAGGGGGTAGGACACAGGGGGTAGGACACAGGGGGTAGGACACAGGGGGTAGGACTCAGGGGGTAGGACTCAGGGGGTAGGACTCAGGGGAGGACTCAGGGGACTCAGGGGGTAGGACTCAGGGGGTAGGACTCAGGGGGTAGGACTCAGGGGGTAGGACTCAGGGGGTAGGACTCAGGGGGTAGGACACAGGGGGTAGGACTCACTTGGGTAGGGCCTCCTTGTTGTTCATGTAGTCTGAATACTCCTCCTGAGTGTCAAAGTCCCATCTTCCCAGAGGACCCTTTTTATTCCCCTGAAACACACACACACTGTCATTGTGATGTCACTGTGACACCCTCAAAGGACCATGGGAAGTGTAGGCACCTGGTCCATTTTGCTGTAGTCCACTTCTTCATCACTGTCCACAGCCAGATCATCCATCCTGCAGATCAGAGAGAGTCAGACTGTAGAAAAGACGTGTTCTGGAAATCTGTGTGTGTGCGCATGTGTGTGTGTGTGTGTGTATGTGTGTATTTGTGTGTGTGCCTGTCTTACGTAGCAGGGTAGCACTCGGCGTAGGAGTTGGATCCTCCGAAAAAATCCCCGAGCTGCTCTTTACTGTCCCTCCGAGAGCCAGTGTGGAGGTTAAGGTCTAAAGCAGGACTAAAGCAGGCCTAGAACAGGTCTAAACCAGGATTAAACCAGGTCTCAAGCAGGCCTAGAACAGGACTAAAGCAAGACTAAAGCAAGACTAAACTACTACTAAAGCAGGTCTAAAGCAAGTCTAAAGCAAGTCTAAAGCAGGTCTAAAGCAGGTCTAAAGCAAGTCTAAAGCAGGTCTAAAGCAGGTCTAAAGCAAGTCTAAAGCAGGTCTAAAGCAGGTCTAAAGCAGGTCTAAGGTCTAAAGCAGGTCTAAAGCAGGTCTAAAGCAGGTCTAAAGCAAGTCTAAAGCAAGTCTAAAGCAGGTCTAAAGCAGGTCTAAAGCAAGTCTAAAGCAGGTCTAAAGCAAGTCTAAAGCAGGTCTAAAGCAGGTCTAAGGTCTAAAGCAGGTCTAAAGCAGGTCTAAAGCAGGTCTAAAACTGTTCACTATAAATAAATAGTTTAGAGTTAGCAGTGGTGAAGGATATGCTTCTTGGTTCCATTGTGGTCCAGCGGCTCCAGCAAACTTCTCATTGATGAGTTTGATCTGATCTCGGACTGAACCAGGACCTGCACAAAACCGGACTAGGAATGAGGACTAGGACTACAACCAGACCAAGTACTATCAGTGCATACCATGAGTGCAAAGCCCAGTCCAAATCCCAGTCCAACCCCCAGTCCAAAGCCCAGTCCAACCCCCAGTCCAACCCCCAGTCCAACCCCCAGTCCAACCCCCAGTCCAACCCCCAGTCCAAATCCCAGTCCAAATCCCAGTCCAAATCCGAGTCTCACCTGACTCCACATCCAGCACCTGAAAACACAAGTTGATACAGGATTAGACACCGTGTTCATGGTACATTCTGACAGCAGCTCCTTTCACATAAACACACATGTATTTCCAATGTAGGCTCTCTGCTCACATACACACACCAAGAAGCAGGAATATGTGTCACATGGTCTCAGCTTTAGGGGTGTTTCACAATGAGCTGTGTGTCATGTGACCTCGGCTGTGTGTGTCATGTGACCTCAGATGTGTGTGTCATGTGACCTCAGATGTGTGTGTCATGTGACCTCAGATGTGTGTGTCATGTGACCTCAGCTGTAAGGGTGTAGCTTTAACCTGCTCGTCAGCAGCCCCTCTGGTCTTGTCAAAGTAGCTTTGGCGGCTCTTCTCCTCCCTCTCTCGCTCTTTCTCTCTCTCCCTCTCTCTCTCCCTCTCTCTCTCTCGCTCACGGTGCCGGTCTTTGTCTCTGGACTTTGATGATGTGGGGACATAGTCTCCAATGTCCTCAAAGATACTGGAAACAGAAACACACACAGAATTTGTACACTTGTAAAATAGACCAGGACTGAACCAGGACTGAACCAGGTCTGGACCAGGTCCGGTGCAGGCCCGGAGCGGTCTGCAGAATGTCCGGAGCTGGTCTGAACCAGGTCTGAACCAGGATTGAAGCAGGACTGACCTCAGATCTGCCTCGGGCGCCCTCTTGTCGTCCAGTTTACCTGAAACAGAGAGATGATAATGACATCTGTGGATCACTAATATAATATTATATAATAATCATATTATAGTCTGTAGTCTGAAGTCTGAAGTCTGCAGTCCTACCCTTGTCCTTCTTCTTCAGCCTCTTGTTTCGGGTTCCCGCTCGCAGGTAGGACAGGATCTGGGTGAGTTTGGAAATGACGATGTCGTTGGTTGTCAGAGTGGTTTGAGCCTGAAACACACACAGACTTAGCAGTAGTCGTAACAGCAGTAACAGCATCAGCAGCAGCAGCATCAGTAGCAGCATCAGTAGCAGCATCAGCAGCAGCAGCAGCAGCAGCATCAGCAGCAGCAGCAGCATCAGCATCAGCATCAGCATCAGCAGCAGCATCAGCAGCAGCAGCAGTAGCAGCAGCAGCAGCATTACCTCCATGGTGGGGCAGTCGGCTTTACTCCGGATCAGAGTTGTGGGGATATCGGTGTCGATGAACTCGTCCTCCAGATCCACCACATACGCCATCCTCCCAGGGAGGAACAGCTCGTTCCTCTCACACTGTCCCGAACGGAACACCACGCGGTAAATGTTCCTCCCTACAAGACAACTGGACTATTACCACCACAACCACTGAGTGGCAGACCCTGAAGGCCAGCAAGGTCTTCTCTGCTGCCCTTCAGGGTCCAGCAGAGAAGACCTTGTTGACCACAATGCATAACATGGGTTAAGCACATTAAAAAAATATTATTGAAAAATATGATCTAAAAAATATGCTTGAGCACATGTCCCCATTAAATTAGTAAAAGTCATGAAATACCATATGTAACCACAATAATTATGTCATTAGTGTTTTTTGAATGAACATCATTGAAGGAGGGTTAACGTCAATGAAAATGAGCCTGTGGCATTAACCAATCAGCATCAAGTTAGCTTGACTGAGGGCCTGCGAGCAGGCGTACAGCGTCAGTGCGTTCACGTCTTCTGATGTGCACGCACGTGACAGACAGGTTAGTCCGTTTTTAACCCACCATGGCTGAAGGAGTCAGAGATAACGGATTGGTCGCAGCTATACTTACAACGCTATTCTCAAGAAAACCTTTTTAAAAAGCAGCCCACTTGGTCACGTGACACGATCTGGCTGAAGTGTAAAAGAACTGTTCCTCCACGCGCTGCACATGGGCTCGTAATGACGCAGCACAAACGTGGGGTAAAGAGAATGACGCGGAGGAAACGTATGAGGCGCCAGTGGGAGCTTCAATGAGAAACAAGAGCATTTGGATTCAAGCTGTAACTACGACGACCAGACATGAGCACACACAGCCACGGCAGAGCGGAGGCCAAAAGTCGGTGGGAATAACAGTTTGTCAACAAACAAACCTGTGGAGCTCGGCTAATACAAATTAAAACACGGCGCTGGGTCCTGCCTCACCACAGCGGTGAGAAAACAGAACATTCAGACTCACGCTGTTGATAAACTGTATTTTGGCGATTGATTTGATGATAATAATAATAATGCATCAGTTTTATATAGCGCTTTTTGGACACTCAAAGATGCTGTCATTATTGATTCTATTGTAGCCACAGCTGCCCTGGGGCACACTGACAGAAGCGAGGCAACCAGTCTGTGCCATCGGCCCCTCCCACCACCACCAACCATTCACACACACACCAGACTCACTCCAGGCAGTGGGGGTGAAGTGCAGTTTGGTGACGTGTCTGCCAAGGACACGACGACAGCAGACAGTGGGAGTCGTGGGTGGATTTGTGGATGATTCTGTGTGTTTTGCATACTTTACGCTCGTCGCCTGAATAAGTGGACTTTGTAGTTGGACTTTCCCACATTCATTCTCAGAACTGGGTCAAACAAACTCAAACACAAATTCTGCGTTCTGAAAACTGTCAGTGAGAGTCGGCATTGTGCAGGTGTGCGTCATGCTGCTATGTCCGGCCGTTTTAACACTGAAGTGGGCGAGGCCTGGTGTGAAGTGGGCGTGTCTCACCAAGGCGGGTCTTGAACTCCATTTTCTCCTCTGGCTCCACCTCTTTTCTACAACAGAAATATAAACTTAGATATTATGGGAGTTTTTTATTATCTAAACTTTATATCTGTTCTATTCCGTTTGATTTCAATTCAAACAGTTCAAACATAGAAGATAAACAAGAACACATGGAGCCATTGGTCCATAAAAGACAGATGACCAATGTCCAGAAATGTTCTAGAATGGTCTGGATCATCACCACGCTCGTGCATCTGCAAGGAACCACTAGTCTTGTTGTTCTGTGCCTCTCTTGTAGTCTGTTCTAGTCTGTTCTAGTCTGTTCTAGTCTGTTCTAGTCTGTTCTAGTCTGTTCTAGTCTGTTCTAGTCTGTTCTAATCCCTCATAACTCGGCCTGCTGTGATGTTATAAACACATACTTGACTTCCTTCTGAACCTTCTCGATCAGGTCTTCTTCTTCTTTCTCTTTGTTTGTGATCTCTGCTCGCACCTGTGGCACAAACACAATCAGATAAAAGTGTGGCAGCCATTACGTGTCCTCCAGAGTCCTCCAATCGAGACTTGTGGAGCTCACCTTCTGCAGCAGAGCGAAGTCCAGTCCCTTCACCAAGTGAGTATGCTCCATGTCTCCTCCCAAGAACTTAGACTCCTGAATGAGCTGCCTCCTCTTCTCCGCCGCAGACTTATCCCTGAGACGAGACATGTTAGTGTGTGTGTGTGTGTGTGTGTGTTTGAGTCTCTCTTTGTGTGTACTCACGCCTCAGCAGTAGGCCCCACAGCCCTGTAGTTGGCAGTGGTGCTGATGAGCTCGGTCTCCTCGTAGTCCTTGTTGACCCCGTCTCGTCGCTCTCTCGCTCGGTCCCTGTATTTCTCGGCCAGTTCTCTCTCTCTCTCAATCTCCTGCTGACGGAGCTTTGCGTAGTAACTAAAACATGAGAGGAATCAGACACGTTTAAAACTGAGTGAAGCCAGGATAAAAAAGAAACGCTGTGCTCCAAAATAAAAAATGGGTTCTTTATTTCCCTTTTTTTTAAAAACACCAAATCTGTGTCAGTAAACCCATAATTAGGTTATAACAGGACCAAACAATACAGTCCACTGGTTACATTTCAAACACTAAAATGTAAAACAAGATGATCAAACAAAATACAACAACTCAGATTGTCTCTTACCAAATCCATAGTTGAGAAGGATGTCACATGAGAGCAAGTGTGTCCCAACAGCTTTCAGTTCAAACCAAACAGTGTGAGCTATGCGTTGCTATGGTAACAGTCCAGAATATTATTATTTATATCCTAAAGACACATAGCACTGGCAACCTCTTGTGATACAAACAAATATAACAAACAACCACTAAGAAAAATAAAACACAAGTGTTTCTTAAAACAAGGAATATTTCTTCACCTGGTTACATGAGTTTGAGAATAAAACATTCAGACAGAAGGGCTGGGGACGCTCACCTCTTCTTTTTCCTTCGGCGAGCAGCTGGGTCCTCATCTTCGTTATAGTCCCGGGGCATTCTGGGAAAACACAGAAACAGTCAAATGAGTCTGTGTGGTGGGGGGGGGGGGTTGCCTTGATTCTGTCAGTGTGCCAAAGAGACTTTGAGCGTCCAGAAAAGTTCTGTATGAAACTAATGTATTATTATTATTGCTATTATTATTATATAACAGATTCAGACATGCACTTTCTGATTTTACAAACACAACTCATATGTAACAAGCAGATCATGAGTTCTCTCTTTCAGAAACACAAGAAACTAAAGTCTGCCTACAGCCTGCCCCTCTGTCGGACTATAGCCACATAAACTGTAAACACATTTAACAGTGTGTGGTAGTGATGTCACAATACTAAATTACAATCTCTCATTCCATAAAAGAAAAACACTCGATGAGGAGCCAGAAGACTTCACTTACAGTACTAATATCACACTTACTCATGTGTCCTGGTTTTAGAGGGCGGGGCCGACGAAGGCGCCGCCCGAGGGGTCATGAGCAGCTTTCGGAAGTCATCGTTGGTCAGTTTGGCCCTGGACACAGACACACAGGTGAATCAGCAGTAGCAGTAGTAATAGGAGTAACAGCAGTAGTAGCAGTAGTAATAGGAGTAACAGCAGTAGTAGCAGTAGTAAAAGGAGTAACAGCAGTAGTAGCAGTAGTAAAAGGAGTAACAGTAGTAGTAGCAGTAGTAAAAGGAGTAACAGTAGTAGTAGTGAGACACTGACTGTGCGGCGGAGCGGTGGTCGTCCACTTCATGTCCTTCTGGGGCCAGAGGGTTGGAGTAACTCTCCGCTGGAACACAAATGTAGACATTAACAAATAGGCACAAACATGCAGTTTGTGCACAAACATTACTGCAGACATGTACTGCTGTAATACTGCTGTGTATTACAATACAATACAATTTATTCTTGTATAGCCCTAGGTCACAACAGAAGTCATCTCAAAGACTTAACAAAACCATTGAAATCACTAACACAGGTCAGAGAATCAACAGTTAAAACACATGTACATGTATTATATGCATGTACTACACGTGTCCTGCTGAAGTACAACCTGAACCATATCCAACAGAGTAAATTCAGCCACTCAACTCCATCAACACAACAAGATAAATCCATAAGTGTCTCTATAATCTTGGCTTTTCGTCCAACCGAGAGGAACCCCAACCTCAATCCTAACCCCAACCAGACCAGACCGAACCTGTCTATTATAAGCCACAAACATGGCATAAATAGCAACATGAACAGTTCCCTCGACCTGGAAAGAATAACATGTTAACCAGTCCCATTTGTTTACAGTGGAGTTAGCATAAGCGGCTAACACTGGAGCTAACTCACTCTCGGGCATGGTTCTGGTCCTGGTCCCGCTGGTCCTGCCGGGTCTGAGTCGGTTGCAAGTTCACTTCTCCGTGAAGTCTGTTTTTTATATATATATTAATGTAGGTTAAGTGCGGAGCTAATGAAACAAGCAGAGACTGTAAACATCAGTAACAAGCTGCGAACGGACTTCCGCTCAGGTCTGGAACACAGCGCCCCCTGCGGAACACAAACACATGACACCACCTCAGGTCTGGAACACAGCGCCCCCTGCGGAACACAAACACATGACACCACCTCAGGTCTGGAACACAGCGCCCCCTGCGGAACACAAACACATGACACCACCTCAGGTCTGGAACACAGCGCCCCCTGCGGAACACAAACACATGACACCACCTCAGGTCTGGAACACAGCGCCCCCTGCGGAACACAAACACATGACACCACCTCAGGTCTGGAACACAGCGCCCCCTGCGGAACACAAACACATGACACCACCTCAGGTCTGGAACACAGCGCCCCCTGCGGAACACAAACACATGACACCACCTCAGGTCTGGAACACAGCGCCCCCTGCGGAACACAAACACATGACACCACCTCAGGTCTGGAACACAGCGCCCCCTGCGGAACACAAACACATGACACCACCTCAGGTCTGGAACACAGCGCCCCCTGCGGAACACAAACACATGACACCACCTCAGGTCTGGAACACAGCGCCCCCTGCGGAACACAAACACATGACACCACCTCAGGTCTGGAACACAGCGCCCCCTGCGGAACACAAACACATGACACCACCTCAGGTCTGGAACACAGCGCCCCCTGCGGAACACAAACACATGACACCACCTCAGGTCTGGAACACAGCGCCCCCTGCGGAACACAAACACATGACACCACCTCAGGTCTGGAACACAGCGCCCCCTGCGGAACACAAACACATGACACCACCTCAGCAAGGACTCAAAGGGCCGCATCCAAACAAAACAGACAAAATCTAAATATGGACGCATTTCTTCTGATCATCCACGTGTTAAAGAGAGTGGTTGTGTTGGTCCTTACGCGCACATTCACACAAACACATGTGTTTAAGTCATTTCAATCTTTATCTCAGAGTGTGGAGGTGGCTGTTGTGGCTTTTGTTGCTGTTGTTGTGGTTTCTCGTCATAGACGCTCTGTAATTATACACTCGGGGAATATTTCTCTCATTTGTTGAAGAGTGTGATGACGTCATGTGTGGAGAGTCGCCCTCGTGTGGACACCTCTGCAGCATCTCTCCAGGACCCACAGGAGCAGACGGAGATCAGAGAGAGGAGATCAGAGGAGAGAGAGGAAGAGAGAACAGAGCAGAGAAGGAAAGAGGAGGAGAGAGTGGGGGAGAGAGAGGAAGAGAGACCAGAGCAGAGAAGGAAAGAGGAGGAGAGAGTTGGGGAGAGAGAGGAAGAGAGAACAGAGCAGAGAAGGAAAGAGGAGGAGAGAGTGGGAGAGTGGGGGAGAGAGGAGAGAGAGGAGATCAGAGGAGGAGTACCTCCACTCGGGCCTCTGTGGTCTGCACAGGTCAGCATCTGGACAGTCAGGGTCAGGGTCCTGGACCGTCTCCAGATTGATGCTGTTGAACCAGAACTGAGTATTTTACCTCTTGTACATGTTTTCATGTAAAGACCAGAGTAGGACTGAGCAATGTGGAGAAAAACATATATCTTGGTTTATTTTTATATATCTCAATATACAATATAAATGTTGATATTTTTACAGGATAAATAACCCTCCAAAAACTACTACAAAAACAAAACAAATGTATTTTTATTGAACCTCAAAGATGGAGTCAGTTCAAGTTGAACAAAGAACTTTTGTCCCATCTGGCTTAACTTCCTGTTTGGAAACTTTATGTTATAATGGTATATAGGAGGATTTTCCCGAATTTAAGGAAAGAACCACCCTCCTGATCGACAATTAGGAGAAGAAAATCCTCCCACATACCTTTACTTGTAAAATAAAAAATATAAGATAAGATGTTGAAGATAAAATAAAATCCCTGATTACATTATTGGAAAGTAACCTGTTTCAATTCAGCGACAAGCGTCTCTCTCTCCGGCACAGTCGCAGGAGTTCTTGCCAGAGGTGGGACTAAGTCACTGTGTGACAAGTCAAAAGTTAGTCTTAATTCCAATGGTGTAGGTTTGGTTCCAATCTTGGTGGGGACATTCACTACGACCTGAGTCTACACCCATTGACACGGGGTCCAGAGTTTCTCCCCCAGAATTTGTTGTGTAATCACACACTATATTTGCAATAGTGTGTTGCCTTCTATACTAAACTCAGCTGTAGACTGAATGAGAAGCAGTTATGTATGTTAACAGAAGATTAATCATCACAATTCATAATTTGCTATTACTTGTGCTTTCTCTTACTTACTTTCCAACTGTTAAAAAAGCTCCTGATATCTTTTATCTTATTTGTGGAGGTGGCATTTTTTCTAAATTATATAAGAAGGTATAGACAATCAAAAACAGACATTCATATACATGAACTGCAGAATAATTTATATAACTTGGCCAATGTCAAAAGTTACATAGTATTTCTCAATACAATGAGTTAACAAGAGTTTGGCAATAAGTAACAGTGTGGATTTTTCTATATTTTCTTTTTTTTATTCCACTCTCTACCCAAAAAGGCAAGTAATGACTCACAGGGCTCTCAAGTATGCAAAATAAAAACTTAAATGACCTGTTGTGGTGTGTTTTGCGCACAACCAGCATGCATCGTTAACGCAATGGAAAATTTAGGTATCCGAGCTTTAATTTCGGGAGCGCTGGTTGCGCTTTGGGAAGAGTCAGGGGAGAGACATGTCAGAGACACAGGGGAGAAACGGGGGAGATACGAGGGAGACCCGCACTTGCAACATGGTTCTGTCTGCATATGGTCCGAGCTCGGTACCATGTTAGAGCTGTGCTTTCACTGAGCGCCGCGGCTGTCATTGTGCACCAGGACGTGCACATTCGAGTGCATCTCTTGAATGTGCTTAGAGCAAATAACAGCAAGTGCCCGCTGTCACACATTTCACAGAAATCACATTATCAGCAGATAAAGGTTGTAAATCGTGGATCCGTGGAATACTTTCATCCCTAGTTTATCCTGATTCACACAACACACCCACTCATACATTTTGGATAGTAAGAGCACAATAAGTATTTTTTCAGCCTTTCAACCAACCTGTTTCTTTATTGGAGCCAGTTCTGTTCTGTCTCTGTATGCCGTGTGAGCTCCTCGGAACATTAAACAGTGCGCTGACAGATTAGAAATAACGTAAGTACTTTGAATGGTAATAGATCTACAGTACTTTCCTCTGATTACTCACGTGCTACAACGCTCAGGGAACGAAAAAAAACACTTGCTTCACGCTGGCTAACTTTTAAAAATTAAACAGTCGCTCAGTGCTTCAGTTTGGCGCTGAAGAAGACAGCCAATCACTGCAGAGAACGGAACGGGTCACGTGCTGCTGCTGCTGCTGTTGCTCTGGAGGCGAGGAGGAGGCGCGACGTGTGCACAAACGGAAGACATGTGTCCCGGACCGTCCGGGTCACGGGACATCATGTCATTTTGGTGGGGACTTTTTAGTCCTCACCAAATATTGGTGGGGACATGTCCCCATGGTCCCCACGCAAACCTACGCCCTTGCTTAATTCATTGCCCTCAAGTCCCGAGTCGAGTCCAAGTCAAAGGCCAACAGGTCTCAAGTCAAGTCCTAAGTCCTACGGTTTGACTTTCGAGTCCTTTCGAGGCTTCTTTTCGTTGTCTGGCCCATGGACTAACAGCTTGTTCCATGTGGTTGGCCACTGTAAAACAATCTATGTGACGTGATTGGATGTTGTGCAGAAGGCGGGCTCTCTGTCGCACACGCGCACACACTCATACAGTAAACAGAGATAGAGCAACATACTTAGTGTCAACACACTTTGTTGCTTTCGGTTTTCATCAGAAGTAGTAACTCTTTACAAGTGAATAGGGGCAAGTCCAGGTGAAAGTCAGGGTGAGGGTGCTTTCACACCTGCACCATTTTAGATGGAGTCTGGAACACCAGGTGGACTCCAGGTGTTCCGACTGGAGTCTGGAACACCTGCAAGTACGGTTTGTTTGAGCATGTATGAAAGTGGACCAGTTGAATTTGCACCGAGACCACCATATGGAGCTGGTCTCTGTGCGGTTCCATGTGGACTCCAGTCTGGTTTGCTGCTGGTGAGAACGCAGCCCGGCCTCAATATGGCCCTGCTTTGTTGTGTAGCTCACTTTTTGAGTTTTTTTTTATATGATAGAATAGTAAAAAAACAGCCACAGAGTGTTCTCGTGCTGAATCCGCGATACATACTGGAACAACAGTATTTGTTCTGCACAAAGCAACGATGATACAAAATAGCCTCACACTAGAGTAGCACAGTTCATCGTTAAGGATCTGACAAGTTTGTTTTCTTCCAGGATTTTTCCCTCTTCACATCCTGCGCCAATCAGGTTTCACCTACGTCATCCAATACACAGTGTTTTGTGAACAGCGCCACCACATGGGCAGAATATGTAACTTCCACAGTGGTTGGTTCATTTGCAAGAACACTGGTGTGAATGAGAACGAACTAGTTGAGAACTGCAACATTGTAACAACTTTAGGGCCCAAGCGAATCACTTTACTGGACCAACAGGTGTGAAAGCACCCTTATTGATATTAAAGTCCAAGTCTTTTTTTATATTTTGTCAAGTCGAGTCTAGACCAGACCAGAGTATGGATCGTCTTTTCCCTTGACCAGCAGGTCTACACAGTATAGGGATATAGTAAAGTATATGACACAGTATTCTTATAAAGTTTCAATTTCAATGTCATCGACATTACGATAATAAAATAAAATAAAATAAAACTCTAAACCTATAATTGCACTTGGTACAAGGATAAGTACACCAGCGGAGTATAACAGTCCTCTTTAGCATTTGGTTTGGTAGATTGGACACAGGTCATTAGTCAAGCTGCAAATGGAGTCAGTTTGATAACTCTCTTCTCCTTCTTCTTACTTTATCTGTCATTGCTTTTTACCTTCTGTCCCATTGCCTGTTTCATGGTGGGATCCGTTGAACTCAGCCACCTCCATCTCCTGCCTGGCCTGACTCGTGGGCTGCACCAACACAGCAGCAAGTCCAGAATTTACCTGATAGTCCTTGCACTGCTAAGCTAAAGAAAAGTGTCACGCTGAATATTTAGTGTGGATGCTGTAGGTGGTTTGAGCCCACCCAGTCCTGAACAAAACCAGCTCAAATCCTGGTTGGCGGGGTCGTCACCACTCTTTCTGGAGATGGCTGGGTGCCTGTTAAAGTTGAGAACCCCACTCACATTAAAAAAGAATGCAAGAGTTGTCATCTTGTTCATCTGCGCAGAACTGATCAGATCCGAAACGTGTCCAGTCAAATACAAAATCTTCGGTGACTTGGACCTTCAGAATGTTGACATCATGTCTTTTGAGGTAACAAGTTACTACACATTATCAAAGCACCCAATGGACTATGGTGAGGAAAAATACTTTGTTTGGATTCATTTGTTGGATAATGTGTTCAGATTCCTTACAGACGTGTCACGCCATGCTTCTTCGACACACTCAGAACTGCTCTGAGCGAGATGGAGGAGTTGGGTATAATCAGAGAGTCTCAGTGCTCCTCTTCATTTGTTGTGTGTAGCTTTCTTAAAGTTCAGGTTATCAATGAAGAGAACAAGAGGGCGACAGTGGCTCAGTTGGTGGAGCCTTTGAGCCTGAAGGTCGTGGGTTCGAGCCCACCATAAGACCTTGTTCACGACTCCCACTGATGACTGCTGTCGTTCTGTCCTTGGGCAAGACACTTAACCCCACTTTGCCTGAAGCCCCCACTGAAAGATCTCAGCTCCTGTGGAGTCAGCATCTGCAGGAGGATCAGTGAGGGGCTGGTGCTCTGACTGCCACCCCACCCCCCCAACCCAGAAATGGATTAAGGGGAAGAAAATGGATGGATGGATGGAAGAACGAGAGTCACCTAAGAAATCAGGTCCTTCTAAGTTATGGTCTTGTTTTACCACTAGTTCATTGACGCGTGTTCGGCCAAAGCTAAGCCATGGTTTAGTCTAGTGTCAGAGATCACTACTGCTAAAAGAAAGAGAGGTGGGGACCTTAACCTAAGTTCTGACTGGACTGACCGTCTTTTAAAACTTAGTTCACCCAAACTTTGAAGCTCCCTTTAGTCTTGCAGTAGACACTTCTTCGTATGTCCATCCTGTTAGAGAGGGCTTGATCCCCCTGCCGTATCTCCTGAAGTACAAGGGCCACGTCCACAGTTGATAGCGCAGCATGTTCCGCCGCCATCTTGTTAGCCTCTTCACTTGCGTTTTCCTCTTCACACGGTAAAGATGGCATACCTGTCGAGTTACCTTGCTTAGTCTTAGATCTCGTGGTCATTTTGCGGGATATCAAAAAGGACTGATGCAAATTCAGGTGTTCCAAATGTGAGGGTTAGGGCTGTGAGAGTGTTTTTAGGAGAAAATGTCAGAGAGCCTCCCGACTGGCGTCCTCCTAGCTCCGCTGCATCACGTGATCTCGCAGTAGACACTTCTTTTGATGGTATATGTGCTATCCTCTGGCAACTGCCCCCTGGGATCGACAGACCTGTGGCTTTTGCTAATAATATTCTCTCTCATGCCCAGGTGAACTACTAAATTCAGATGAGGGGACGGACTTTTTCTGTGTGGACTGACAATAACCCTGCTTACAATTTTGACCTCCTCCCTGCTTGCAAGGGTCGCTGAAGCCACAGACAGGAGAGTTCAGGATGCGTTCAGGTGCACTGACAGACTTACGGATAGTGGAAAGTCAGTCGGAACTGTTCTGTTTGCTCGCCTTCATCCTGATTGTCCTCTGATGATTTACAGATTGTGTTGGGTGCTCACAATAAAGCTGACAGCCCAATCAGAGGTCCCAGTCTGGACATCCCACATCTTACTGGCGTACACCAATGGTTTCGCAGAAAGATAAAACAGGACTCTGGGAAACATGATACTCTGACGTTTTGTTTCAACTGTACAGAACACGAGACAACTGGGTTTGCTCCTTTCTCTCCGTTTGGGCGTTTTTCATGTTGAATTTGTAGCCGCGCATCGCCCTAAAACACAGCAGGTCTGAGCAAGCTCGGGAGACTGAGAACCACAGCCCTCAAGTTCGAGGCTCACCCCTTACCCTTAGAGACCGAGGCTTGCTTGCAAAACGTGGTGAGAGAGGAAAGAAAGAAGCAGCAGACAAGTGTATGCATGAGGAACCAGAGAACAATGTGTTTTCCATCAGGGACCCTGGCACTCAGAAAGTCAAAGTTGTTCACAGAAACCTTCTGCTCTGTCTGGCTTTTTCAGACCTGTAATGTCAGAGAAGAGGACACTTTTTTTTAGTCATATCAGCGTTTCTGATATTGACTCTCTGGATGACCCTTCTTCTGATGCTGATAGTGACACAGGTCCTTCTGAGAGTTTACCCCAGCACCATTCGCATGAGTCTTGTTGTGTCTGCCTTAAGTTCTCAGATTTGTTGTTGGTGTAAAGTGAGAGCGTCGTCTGGAGTCTGCTGTTGAAAGGCTTTTACAAGTCTGATCCCAAGTGGTTATTGTTACTGACTTGAACTTGATATTGCTCTTCACAAACACAATTTATAGTATTTTTTCATAGCAGTTTTCAAGATTGATGTAAGTAACATAGTTGTCAAAAGTGCTTTTAAATCAATGTAAATTGAGGATAAAGCGCTACATTCTGTTCTTTGCCGTACCTGCACCTTGAGTTTGCATGGAAAGTCCTGAGTTCTTTCGTTCCTGGAGAACTTGTGCAGACAGAAATATTAGGTATGTATAGCCATTGAAATGCTAAGCTGGCAATTCACTATTTTGTGTTATCTCGCTGGTGCATATTTTGCAATGTTTTTGTGAAAGATATTTAATTTAAAGGTGTTTCTCTCTGGCTTAGTGTGCGGCTAACCTCTCCGCTCTGTCTTGTTCTGCACATGAGAGTCCACTACCAGTTCATTCACACTGGTTCAATGTTATATGTGCAGATAATTAAAAGCAACTGTTACAACAACCCCAACAGGCTGCATGGGTCATTAAAGAGAAGGCAAGACCCACAAGTCACAGATAGTGGCGTTTATACTGTCTTAGGGTTAGGGAGACACAGTCATTATCCACTGTAGTATGATTAAAGATAAAACTTATGAAAACGCGTTAAATACATGTTAACATAGCAGGCTCACTACGCATGCGCAGAGCTTCTGTCCTTCACAGCAAACATGGCGGCCTCTGTGGTGCGGACCCTCGGCTCTAGTCTGGGACGAAACCTGCGGGAAGTCCGGCTCCATCTGAGCCAGAGCTGCGCTGGAAGTCAGGGGGCGAGGTGAGAGAGGGTTCCTGGGACAGGGAGGGCAAGACACGGGGAGAGAAACACCCGGAGAGCACAGCGGAGCTAACGACAGGCTAATGCTAATGCTAATGTCATAGAAATACACTGGGTCTGAAGCTACAAGCTAAAAACAGAGCTAACCTCCGAGCTAACATGGGACTAAAGCAGGTCTAAAGCAGGTCTAAAATAGGTCTAAAGCAGGTCTAAAGCTGCTCTAACACGGGTCTAAAGTAGAACTATCTGAAGCTGGTCTAAAGCAGGACTAAAGCAGGACTAAAGCTGGTCTAAAGTAGGTCTAAAGCTGGTCTAAAGTAGGTCTAAAGCAGGTCTAAAGTAGGTCTAAAGCAGGTCTAAAGCAGGTCTAAAGCAGGTCTAAAGCTGCTCTAACACGGGTCTGAAGTAGAACTATCTGAAGCTGGTCTAAAGCAGGTCTAAAGCAGGTCTAAAGCAGGTCTAAAGCAGGTCTAAAGCAGGACTAAAGCAGGACTAAAGCAGGACTAAAGCAGGTCTAAAGCTGGTCTAAAGCAGGTCTAAAGTAGGTCTAAAGCTGGTCTAAAGCTGGTCTAAAGTAGGTCTAAAGCTGGTCTAAAGTAGGTCTAAAGCAGGTCTAAAGCAGGACTAAAGCAGGTCTAACACGGGTCTGAAGTAGAACTATCTAAAGCTGGTCTAAAGCTGGTCTAAAGCAGGACTAAAGCAGGACTAAAGCAGGACTAAAGCAGGACTAAAGCAGGTCTAAAGCTGGTCTAAAGCTGGTCTAAAGCTGGTCTAAAGCTGGTCTAAAGCTGGTCTAAAGCTGGTTTAAAGCTGGTCTAAAGCAGGACTAAAGCTGGTCTAAAGCAGATCTAAAGCATGGACAAATGTAGGTCTAAAGCAGGTCTAAAGCTGGTCTAAAGCTGGTTTAAAGCTGGTCTAAAGCAGGACTAAAGCAGGACTAAAGCAGGTCTAACGCAGGTCTAAAGCTGGTCTAAAGCAGGTCTAAAGCTGGTCTAAAGCAGGACTAAAGCAGGTCTAAAGCAGGTCTAAAGCTGGTCTAAAGCAGGTCTAAAGCTGGTCTAAAGCTGGTCTAAAGCAGGTCTAACACGGGTCTAAAGTAGAACTATCTAAAGCTGGTCTTAAGCAGGTCTAAAATAGGTCTAAAGCAGGTCTAAAACTGCTCTAACACGGGTCTAAAGTAGAGCTATCTGAAACTGGTCTAAAGCAGGACTAAAGCAGGTCTAAAGCAGATCTAAAACTGCTCTAACACGGGTCTAAAGTAGAACTATCTAAAGCAGGTCTAAAATAGGACGAAAGGAGGTCTAAAGCAGGATTAAATAGCTCAAAATTGACGTTTGACTGTTGCTTAAACATCCACGAGTATTCAATAATGAAATATCTGATGGATGTGCGTCTACGGTTTTATATTAACATTGATTTTAGGACAAATATCTTTTTATTGATCAGATGCAGTATTGATTTAGTTATTTGTAACAAACATTGAAAAATAAGGAACATATATTTGACTCCACACACTGGTTGTGTATTCCCGGCCTCTGTGGTCTCTCTCTGGTCTCTTGGACCTGAGTAAAACCACAGTCTCACCGGTCTCTCTGGACTCTCTATTATTCCTCTCTGGGACCTGAGTCTAACCCTGGTCTCTGGTGTCAGGGACTTCGTGGAGCAGCACTACGTGAGCCTGAAGAAATCAAACCCACAGTTTCCGTTTCTGATCAGAGAATGTTCGGGAGTTCGAGCGACGCTGTGGGCCCGATATGGTGAGGACCGCACCATGTTGGATTAAAATTATAATGAAATGGTACCAGCAGAGGGCAGTGTGTGTATGTCTGTCTCTGTCTTTGACTCTTTCTGGTCTCTCTAATGCCTAGCGTACATCGGACTGGCAACTGATTATATCCGTCGCATATGAGTTGCACACATCGACAATCTGACGAAAACGGGCCACTCCAGTATCAGACCAGTCTCTGGAATAGAGCTGCAACTAACGATTATTTTGTAATCGATTATTTTTACGATTAATCGAGTAATCGCTTGGCTGTGAATTGTGTCGAAAAAATGTATTTTTTCATCACAAAAAGCTAAAAGTGGCAACACTCGAGGACGTATTGATGGCGTAAACTTAAAGTAAATGTTTGTAACAGGCTCTTTGTGCTAATTCTGCTCTGATTGGATGAGACAGACAGATATTCATGAAATTATAAAAACAAAGTCTGTTTTAATCAAAAATACTACATTTTCATGTCATTTTTGCTCTGTTTGAGTCCGTGTGAACCAGAAAACAATTAATCGATTACTAAAATAGTTGTCGACTATTTCAATAATCGATTAGTCGTTGATTAATCGATTAGTTGTTTCAGCCCTACTTTGGAATAACAGCGCGTACATCGACAGCAACTGGCCTCAACTACAGTGTGTTTTCTGACATAAACTGTTACGGGCGCAATACACACACGTTGTCGGAGCGGCGCATGAAGCGCGCACATCGGGTCATATCTCCGAAACTGAGGACAACTAGTTGCCGAAAAGTAGAACACGGGCAACTGACTGAATCCGGAGATCGACTGTTTATCTCCAGTTGTAAGAGCGCGCACATCGACCGATTTCGGCAACTGATCATCTCCCACCTCGCAACTAGTTGTCTCCAGTTTCTCTGTCGATGTACTTTAGACAGGCTAGGCTTTAGACACTCTCTGTCTTTGACTCTGTCTCTGTCTTTGCAGGACACGGCCGTGAGGCCAGCGTCTCTGTGGAGAACATGTCATGTGATCAAGTCGCCGCCACGCTCAGCACTCTAGCACACAGCCAATAAAGCAGTTGTCATAGAAACTCATAATATGGTGTTTGTCATTAATGTGTTTAATAAAGATGTAATAACAAAGATGATGTCACTGTCTCAAATAAACACCCACACACACAAATTAGTGTGAGGGAGGAGCAGCATCTTGCTGTAGAAGACCTAAACTAGCACTGTCATCAGTGTGAGGGGGGCAGCATCATGCTGTGGGGCTGCATTTCTTCAGCAGGGACAGGGAGGACTGAGGTAGCTCCAACAGGACCAAGAGCTAAACATGTGTTAAATCAGTCAAGAATCCAAACCTAAATCTGCAAAACTGCTCTTCTCTAGTTTGACAAAGAGCTGTTCTGTTTAGAGGAATGGGCCAAACTATTAGTCTCTAGATGTGCAGAGGACGTAGGAACACTTCTGCTGCACATCTTTCATAATATTACAAATGTTTGTCATGTTTTTAAAAGAAACTGAACCTGAAATGGAAATACAGTCATAGCAACCCCACAGGAGAGAGAGGGGTATGACACACCCAACCACACACACACAACTTACGCACACAGACACACAACTTACACACAAAGTGGGAGGACACACACAGAGGGAGGACAGAGGAAAGAGTTAACTCAGTCCAAACTCTGCACATGTGTCCAGGACTGAACTCAGACTGAACCGGGATCTGAGGCTGCAACAGGATTAAAGCAGGACTAAAAATGGATTAAAACAGGATTAAAGGAGGACTAAAGCTGGAATAAGGTAAGGCTAAAGCAGGTCTAAAGCTGAACTAAGCCATGAACAGAGAGGAGACCTGACCAGTGATTAGAAACAGAACTCTGGAGATGTTTATATGAGCCCTGACAACCAGGACTGAACCAGGTCTGGAGCCGGACCATGGGGCTCTCTTTGGTCCTGTGGTTTCTCTGTGGACTTCTTCAGACCTCAGCTCTGCTCCGCTCTCATTCAGGTCAGTGCCACGCATTTTATAAACGCATCTCTGTTTAGACTGAGCTCAGGGTCTGGGTCTGGTCTAAATCTCACATATATTTATCTTTATTCTAATAATAACACAAAATTGAAGCTGGGGTCTGTGACTTTAGTCTCATAAATAACACATGTTTAAAGCTGGGGTCTGTAACTTTAGTCTCATAAATAACACATGTTTAAAGCTGGGGTCTGTAACTTTAATCTCATAAATAACACATGTTTAAAGCTGGGGGACGTAACTTTAATCTCATAAATAACACATATTTAAAGCTGGGGTCTGTAACTTTAGTCTCATAAATAACACATGTTTAAAGCTGGGGTCTGTAACTTTAGTCTCATAAATAACACATGTTTAAAGCTGGGGTATGTAACTTTAGTCTCACAAATAACACATGTTTAAAGCTGGGGTCTGTAACTTTAATCTCATAAATAACACATGTTTAAAGCTGGGGTTATCAGAGAACATGTGTTATCTTTCGCATACTTGTGAGTAGGAACCCTGTGAGTCACATTTTGACTCTTTGGTTAGGTTCCAGGGCTGAGGTTATGTCAGGACTTTTCCAGAATGGGCTCCAGATTTTTGCTGAACGTTATGTGACAGAAACTCTGTGAGCCTTTAGACAGAAGGGTCGGGCTGTGGATGGAGGTAAACACTACTGCAGGTCTGTGAGGAGCAGGAGAGAGAGAGAGATAAGGAACATAGACATGTCTCCTTTAAAGCTGTAATGTGAAAGCTGTGTATGTAATTGTGTGTGCGTACACGTGGGTATGTGTGTGTGTGGGTGGGTGTGTGTGCGTGGGTGTGTGTGTGTGAGTGTGTGTGTCCGAGGCTCAGATTCCAGACTCAGTGGAAAGAAAAGGAAAAGAATCATGTCTGAGATTCCACTTACTCCTCTGGGACCAAGACCAGGACTAAACCAGGACTAAACCAGGTCTGAACCAGGTCTGAACCAGGTCTGAACCAGGTCTGAACCAGGTCTGATTCAGGAGCGTGTGTGCTATACAACTTCAATTAATTTATTGCTTCATATAAATAACTCTAAGGAGTGTGTGTCTCTCTCGCTCTGTGTGCGAGTCTCTCTGTGTGTGTCTGTATATCGTGCATGTGTGTATGTACATGTGTGTGTGTGCACGTGTGTGCGTGCGCCTGCAAGTCGGAGGTCAGAGGTCGGGCTGGCGTGTTCTCATCACTGATGATGTAATTTCCTCGGCAGGGAGCTTACATGACTTCCTGTTGGACTTCTCGTTGGTTCGTCCAATCAGGACTGATTCAGCGGGGCGTATTCTTTCTGACCACGCCCCCCGCCAGCGGAGACACGCCCCCTTGCCCAGCCCTCCGGAACCTGACTTGTTTTACAACCTGACACTCCAGGGGGAGGAGCTACGTCTGCATCTGCGAATCAGCACACGGCTCATCGCTCCCGGCGCCACTCTTGTGTGGGAGGAGTCGGGAGAGACTGAACCAATCACAGAGCAGCAGTGTGTATACACAGGCCACGCCCCCAATGACCAGCGTATCAAAGCAACGTTGAACGTGTGTCACGGGTTGGTGCGTGTGTGAATCATATTTAATTATCTTTAATACTTACTGAAGACTGAAGCTAACAGAAGAGCTGTTTTATTGGTCCTCTTGCAGGAGGGGGTGATCTTCAGTCCTCATGGAGACTTTTACATCGAGCCCGTTCTTCAGACCGGTTCAATCAAGGTTCAGCCCAGTTCAGACCAGGAACACGTGGTCTACAGAGGCTCTGATCTGAGACAGACCAATCAGAGTGCAGCACAGCAGGCCCCGCCCACAGACTTCTTCAGAGGTGAGTTTCTTCCACAGTGTGAATGGGACTAATGCCGCTTTTCCACAGTAATAGTACGGTATGGCACGGCACGGCGCGCTTATTTTGCATTTCCACTAGGGTTGGGCTTGGGATTAGCGTACTTTTTTCGTACCACCTCGACAGTGGTTCCATGTGTGGCGAAGCTACACCATAACGTGACGTCAGCCGACTGCCTTACACTGATTGGTCAAAGAGTGTCGTCACTGGAAGCGACGTCCGACCCTTTGGTAAAAGCAACTCAACCGCCATCTTTAAAATCGGCTGCTCTGCTATAAGCATGGATCTGTAATGGGTTATAACACGTACAGAGAAATGGAATTGCACAGAAAGCCTGGTCGGTCGACAAGGTCCACACGTTCCTCTCTTTAGACCAAAGAAAGAATTCAAAGGCAGCTCGAGGCTCAACACAGTTTTCAGGGAGATCACCCGGCTCTTGATATGTGACTTTTGTCTGTGGTAATCCTGGAAATAACTGGTTAGCTAGGTATCCCGTTGGTCCAAAGCTCTCACTGAAATGGATTTACTCGTGCAAAAGTGTTATTGTCTGTTGTGCACAGTGAGCTAGCTACATTTAGCTATCGATAGCAAGCTAAGCTAACGTCCTCTTGCGTGCTCTTTTGTGTGTTGCCATTCTGTTTTGTGCTTGTACTTAAGTTGTCGTGTGTATATATATTTGTTGAGAATCCCTTCCCAGAAGTGAGGAGATTACAAACAAGCGGAGAGACCGGAGAACTTAACATTCTCCTCATCTGGACCTGGTCTCAGAGACATACGTACTTTGGACTTTGTAAACTGTTGGTTTTGCTCTTTACTTTTGTTTTTAATAACTCTGTGATCGTATCAAGACTTTGTTTCATTCATTTGTCTGTACACATAAAGAAAAGGGGTTCAAAAGATACATTTACAATTTCCTTCCATATACTTTTACTTCTATTTACATTACACACATTATACTGTATTTGTCAGTAAATCAGTATAACTTTGGTAAATTCATGAATAAGGATGGAGACATTTGCTAGATACAAAAAGGTTTTACTTTTGTCAAAACAAATGTTTAGGCATATGACAAAGTGACGCATCAAACCCTCTGCACCAGTGCTACACAGCTGCTGTTGCTGCAGGTATGTCCCATTCTGTCTCAGGTCTCTCCATGGTTCTCACAGATTGTGCAGAGAACAGCGGGTCAGCACCATTGACTTCAACAACCACTCGCCCTGCGCTGAATTTTCTATTGAATACTTGCTGTTAGTCTGTCACTCTGTGTCCTGTAAAGGTTTTAGGAGCCAGTTCTGTGGGGGGAAAGCAGTCCCCTCAGAGGTATTAACCAGGTAATCACCCATATTATAATAAATCCATGCACCGCACCAATGATACTGGTTGCGCGTAAATGACGTGGTCTGACAACCCCTCCCACACTGAAAAGGTACTATTTCTAATGGAAAAGCACCCGCACATGGCCGTGCCGCGCCGTACCGTGACTAATCAAAAAGTGGCTTAAAGGGACCAAGACTAGTCCTGACCAGTGGGTCTTCTTCTGTTCTGGTCTAGGTCTTGATCCAGGTCCCGATCCTGGTCTCGGCACTGGCCTCGGCTTAGTCTTGAATCCTGTTTTAGTTCCAGTCCTGGGCTCTGGTTTGGACTCGGTCCACAGGACGAGGAGGTCCACAGAAGCTGAACTTTTCCATATCGAGGTCAGACACAATTTACATGTTAAAGCTTTGTGACTTTAAAGCTGGGGCACGTAACTTTGGTCTCGGAAGAACACCATTTTTATGAGCCTAGAATTAGGTCCCCTAGCTTTAAACACGTGTTCTTTATGAGGCTAAAGTTAGGTCCCCCAGCTTTAATCACATGTGTTTCAGGTGCTGCTGGCGGTGGATTACTCTGTGCTCTTGTTTCACGGTCGAGAAAACATTCAGCGATACCTCCTGACCTTCATGCACATCGTAGGTCACACATGGTCACACTCAGGTCACACAGAGGTCACATGTGGTCCTCTTCAGGTCCTGATCCTTCCCAGGTGCACAGGTCCAGGTCCAGGTCCTCTGTCCCATCCTCAGAATTGTCACCCACCCGTGTCAGTTATCAGCTGATGTTACTTCCTGAGTAGGCGTGGTCAATCAGGCTGATCACTTGTCTTTCAAAACAACCACAAAAACGCAATTTGACTCAAGACAAAATGAACCTCTTTAAATCGTGTGTTGTGTTTGATCAGGTGAGTGAGATTTACCAGGAACCATCATTAGGAGCAAATATCAACATCGCACTGGTACAGATCAACCTGCTGTCAGCCAAAAAGGTACTGATGCTACTACTACTACTACTACTACTGCTGCTGCTGCTGCTGCTGCTGCTGCTGCTGCTGCTGCTGCTACTGCTACTGCTACTGCTACTACTACTACTACTACTACTACTACTACTACTACTACTACTACTACTACTACTACTACTACTACTACTACTACTACAACAACCTCTTGGTCCCAGTCGCAGGAGCTGATCGCGGTGGGTGATCCTCAGAAGAGCCTTCAGAACGTCTGCACTTGGTCTTATTACCACCAGAGGGAGCAGCGAGACGATCTGAAACACGACCTGACCATTTACTTGAGCCGGCAGGAGTTTGGGCCGTCAGGGATGCAAGGTACAAGCCCCGAGCCAAACACACAATGTCCTCACAAAACACACTCACAAAGTCCTCAAAACACACACACCAGAACAACACTCACAAGGTCCCCACAACACACCCTCACAAAGACCTCACAATGCACATCACACACTTACAAAGTCCTCATAACACATATAAAACACACTCACAATGTCCTCTCAAAAACACACTCACAAAGTTCTCAAAATGCATAAAAACACACTCTCAAAGCTTTCACAACAGAAACATACTCTCAAAGTTCTCACAATACACATCAGAAACACACTCATAACGTCCACACAACACACACCAGGAACACACTCTCAAAGTTTTTACAATACACATCAGAAACACACTCATAACGTCCACACAACACACATCAGGAACACACTCACAAAGTCCTCATAACACACTCACAAAGTCTTCACTCACACAAACACCAGAAACACATTCACAGAGTCCTCACAATACACAAAACCATACTCAGTCCTGTGTTAGGCGCTTTGGAGCACAGACTCTTTCTGAAGCTGAGGCTCTGTAGTTTGGGCCTCTCATTACCAGGGTTCCAGTCTGTCCTGATGTGCTTCTACAGGATACGCTCCAGTCACTGGCATGTGTCGCCTGATCCGTAGTTGTGTTTTGGTGATGGACGACGGCTTCTCCTCAGCATTCACCGCAGCTCATGAGACCGGACACGTGTGAGATCACAGAGTACATGCTAACAACATGCTAACACCCTGCTGCATGCTAACAACATGCTAATACCATGGATGTATGACGTCATGTGGGTGGTCCTCAAGTTCATCCCTGTATTTACTCTTTAGGGCCTTAGGGTTTAGACAGATGTCAACTTTATTACATACTCTAGGTCCATTTTAAAACATACAGACAGAGAAGACACAAAATAACAAACATACAGTTATGGTTTTGAAATGCAGCCATACCATGTCTTGGACTGAACTTGCGTGGAACTGGACCTGATGTTTGACTTGTTCAGTCGACAGATGAAACTGTACATAAGGCCCGTCAGCACAGCCTGTAATGTGACTTGTTTGTTTGTTTACCTGTCTGTTCGTTTTATCTGTTTTTTTTACCTGTTTGTTTGTTTGAACTGTTTATTTACTTGTTGACGTTAGCCTGGGCATGGAGCACGACGGCGATGCTAACGCCTGTGACGACGACGTTCCTCTGGGCAGCATCATGTCTCCTCAGGTTCAGGCCTCATTCTACAGGTACCACTGGTCCAGGTGTTCATGGAGAGAGCTGCACCAGTACCTGAGGTGAGGATCATGTGGGGACCAGGTGGGAAGCAGGTGGGACAATCCGACTCGGACCATGTGACCTCATGTAACAGACCTTGTGACTCTCCCCAGCTCATACGAGTGCCTCAGGAACGACCCGTTTCTGCAGTCGTGGCCGGCTCAGCCGCAGCTGCCGGGATTCAGCTACAGCACAGACCAGCAGTGTCAGTACGACTGGGGCCATGGGTACACGACCTGTACTACTGTGAGTACTACTACGATAATCATTGCCACATGTACTACTACTACTACTACTGCTATACTATAACCACATGTCCTACTACTATTCCTACTACTGTCACTATTACTACTATCTAACTACATACCACGTTCTAACCTCTGCAGTCCAATGTTGTTGTCTACTCCTGTGAATACTAGCACTGCTGCTATACTATATGTACTACGACTTATGTATTGCTGTAAGTACTACTACTACTACTACAACAACAACTGTATGTATACTGTGATTACTAAGGCTGTTTATATTTTGACAATGTACTAAAGTTGAGGCAAGTTTAGTTTAGCACAGAGAGCCTTATACGGTGTACTTCTTTCTGTACTCAATAGTACTCTTACTCTTTTCTCAATAACAGTACTCATACTCTATACTCCACAGTTCTCTTACTCTGTACTCATACTCTATACTCCACAGTTCTCTTACTCTGTACTCAAACTCTATACTCCACAGTTCTCTTACTCTGTACTCAAACTCTATACTCCACAGTTCTCTTACTCTGTACTCATACTCTATACTCCACAGTTCTCTTACTCTGTACTCATACTCTATACTCCACAGTTCTCTTACTCTGTACTCATACTCTATACTCCACAGTTCTTTTACTCTGTACTCATACTCTATACTCCACAGTTCTCTTACTCTGTACTCATACTCTATACTCCACAGTTCTCTTACTCTGTACTCATACTCTATACTCCACAGTTCTCTTACTCTGTACTCATACTCTATACTCCACAGTTCTCTTACTCTGTACTCATACTCTATACTCCACAGTTCTCTTACTCTGTACTCATACTCTATACTCCACAGTTCTCTTACTCTGTACTCAAACTCTATACTCCACAGTACACCGTTCTGGATCCCTGTAAACAGCTGTGGTGCAGTCACTACAACGACCCGTTCTACTGCAAAACCAAGAAGGGACCTCCTCTGGACGGGACCAGGTGTGGACCAGGACAGGTGAGGATCAGGACAGGTGAGGACCAGGACAGGTGAGGACCAGGACAGGTGAGGACCAGGACAGGTGTGGACCAGGACAGGTGAGGACCAGGACAGGTGTGGACCAGGACAGGTGTGGACCAGGACAGGTGTGGACCAGGACAGGTGTGGACCAGGACAGGTGAGGACCAGGACAGGTGTGGACCAGGACAGGTGAGGACCAGGACAGGGTGTGGACCAGGACAGGTGAGGACCAGGACAGGTGTGGACCAGGACAGGTGAGGACCAGGACAGGTGTGGACCAGGACAGGTGAGGACCAGGACAGGTGTGGACCAGGACAGGTGAGGACCAGGACAGGTGAGGACCAGGACAGGTGAGGACCAGGACAGGTGATGACCAGGACAGGTGTGGACCAGGACAGGTGAGGACCAGGACAGGTGTGGACCAGGACAGGTGAGGACCAGGACAGGTGTGGACCAGGACAGGTGAGGACCAGGACAGGTGTGGACCAGGACAGGTGAGGACCAGGACAGGTGAGGACCAGGACAGGTGAGGACCAGGACAGGTGATGACCAGGACAGGTGTGGACCAGGACAGGTGAGGACCAGGACAGGTGTGGACCAGGACAGGTGTGGACCAGGACAGGTGTGGACCAGGACAGGTGTGGACCAGGACAGGTGAGGACCAGGACAGGTGTGGACCAGGACAGGTGAGGACCAGGACAGGTGTGGACCAGGACAGGTGAGGACCAGGACAGGTGTGGACCAGGACAGGTGAGGACCAGGACAGGTGAGGACCAGGACAGGTGAGGACCAGGACAGGTGTGGACCAGGACAGGTGTGGACCAGGACAGGTGTGGACCAGGACAGGTAAGGACAGGATTTGGGTCTGGTGTTTCTGGGTCTTGTCTGGTCCAGGTTTGGGTCTGATCATGTGACCCTGTTGCAGCACTGTTTCCGGGGCAACTGCGTGTACCTGTCTCCTCACATGATGCGTATCCATGGAAACTGGGGGAAGTGGGCAGAGTTTGGTCCGTGTTCTCGCTCCTGTAGATCAGGAGTCCAGTTCAGGACCAGGACCTGCGACAACCCGAGGTACTGTATCTCCTCCTTTCATACCTCCCCTCCTCAACACCTCCTGACAACTCCTCCCAACACCTGCTCCTAGCACCTCCTCATTTGCATATCCTCAGACCGGCCAATGGGGGGCGCATCTGCTTTGGGAACAGCTACGAATTCAGACTCTGCAATCGAGAAACACACTGCCCTCCCCACACGGACTACAGGTGAGACCACTCCCAATGTAAGAGAGACCATACCCAGTGTGAGCTAACAGTGGCTAAAGCTAACTCTTGTTTCAGAGCGGAGCAGTGCAAAGTGTGGAACCCGTTCTTTGAGCACAATGGCACCAAACATCACTGGCTCCCCCTGCAGCACCACGACCGTAAGTGCGACTGCTGGGGGATTTGCTAATGTCTTAGCATGATGCTAACTGACATGAATGGTGTTGCAGCTGACGAGCGCTGTCGGCTCTTCTGCGTCTCCATGGAAACAGGAGCTGTGGTGGACATGGGCAGAGTGGTGCATGATGGGACTTTGTGTTCTTATGAAGATCAGCACAGTGTGTGTGTGCGCGGGGACTGTGAGGTATGTGTACGTGTGTGTATATGTATTATTTATAATAATAATGATAATCTTTATTCCGGACTCAAGATTCATGCAAAAGACAATACAAAGACAAACATATCTATATATATTTTTGTTTTATATTTACACATATATTCAGCATGTAGGTTGTGACGGACAGATCGCTTCAGACAAAGAAGAAGATCGATGCGGCATCTGCGGCGGTGACAACTCCAGCTGTCGAGTCATCAGGGGAAACTACAGCAGGAGCGCCCGCAGGGATGGTTAGTTAGTAGTACTGAGTACCAGAGTGCTTTGTACTACAGTACTACAGTACTGCAGTACCACAGCACTAAAATAACACAGTACAACTTTAAACCTGTTTTATTTATTAAATGTTGTATTTCAGGTTTCCTCAAAATGCTGGAGATCCCCAAAGGAGCACGCCACCTACTGGTGCAGGAGTTCAAGTCCACACCACATGTACTCGGTACGGGAAACATGGTCCAGACTTGGCCCACAACTGGTCCAGACCTATTCCAGACCTGGTCCAGTCCTGGTCGCGTCTTGGTCCAGACCTGGTCCAGACCTGGTCCAGACCTGGTCCAGTCCTGGTCGCGTCTTGGTCCAGACCTGGTCCAGACCTGGTCCAGTCCTGGTCGCGTCTTGGTCCAGACCTGGTCCAGACCTGGTCCAGTCCTGGTCGCATCTTGGTCCAGACCTGGTCCAGTCCTGGTCGCGTCTTGGTCCAGACCTGGTCCAGACCTGGTCCAGTCCTGGTCGCGTCTTGGTCCAGACCTGGTCCAGACCTGGTCCAGTCCTGGTCCAGTCCTGGTCGCATCTTGGTCCAGACCTGGTCCAGTCCTGGTCGCGTCTTGGTCCAGACCTGGTCCAGACCTGGTCCAGTCCTGGTCGCGTCTTGGTCCAGACCTGCTCTCTCTCTTGCAGCGGTGAAGAACATGGACACTGGACACATCTTCTTGAATGACGAACACCATCTCCCAGAATCCCGTTGGGTGGTGGAAGGGGGCGTGGCATGGCAGTATGTAAATGAGGGGGCGGAGTCTCTGCAGACGTCTGGCCCCCTGAGCTCCAGTGTCCTGCTCATGGTAAACACACTCCCTCTAGTGGCAGTAAAGGAGAATGACACCCTGCTGTTAGAACAGGACTGAGTTTAAACCAGAGCACTCTCACAGAAGGGTCGGGGGCAGACTGTACATGATGATTGTATCCTATTCTTTTATCCTCTATTTGTCTCAAAGTGGGGAAATTTCAGTCTTGCATCACCAGTTGCAGAACAGTGGGATGAGGAGCACACAGCTCAAGATAAATGAACAATAACTATGCAAAATAAAATCTCCAACGTTAGCATAATGAAGAAGTAAAGTGACAGCATCATCGTCATGGCAACAGCACTTTCATTACCTGTTGTCGTTTCCAGGTGCGCTCCCACTCTAACCTCACCGTGTCACTGTCGTATAAGTTCGTCCTGCAGGAGGCGATGCGCTCCGCTCTGAACTCTAATCTGCTGCTGGAGGACGGCATGTTCTACCAGTGGGCTCTGAAGAGGTGGTCTGTGTGCTCCCAGCTGTGTGGAGGAGGTACTGCTAATGCTATTGATAAGATAAGATAGAATTTATTGATCTCACACAGGAGAAATGTACAAATGTCACATTTGGCACAGACAGAATCACTCAGATTTGTGTAAAAGTGTGCAAACAAGCAAAAAATCTTTTCAGGATATATTATGTACAATAAAAAAAAAATAAAGGGATAAAGGCCCTGCGGTAGCGCTCCTTCCTACACTGAGGGTGCCTCAGTCTTCCACTGAAGGAGCTCCTCAGCTCCTCCTCAGTCCTGTGCAGTGGGTGGTGTTGTTCATGATGGAGGTGACCTTGACTATCACCTCCTGTCCCTCACCTCCTCCACAGAGTCCAGGGGCCTCCTGTCCCTCACCTCCTCCACAGAGTCCAGCCCAGAGTGGAGCTGGCCCTCCTGACCAGCTTGTTCAGTCTGTTTCTGTCCCGCTCTGTGCTGCCCGGGGCCCAGCACACGGCAGCGTAGTGTATGGCAGAGCCTACCACAGAGTCATAAAAGGTCCTGAGCAGAGGCCTGCTCACTCCGAAGGACCTCAGCCTCCTCAGAAGGACCTCAGCCTCCTCAGAAGGACCTCAGCCTCCTCAGAAGGACCTCAGCCTCCTCAGAAGGAAGAGGCGACTTTGGCCCTTCTTGTGCAGGGCGTTTGTATTATGGACCAGTCCAGTTTATTGTTAATGTGAACACCCAGGTACTTGAAGCTGTCCACCAGCTCAATGTCCTCCCCCTGGATGTTCAGCAGCGTGTGGGAAAGTGGTTTTCTCCTGAAGTCGATGATCATCTCCTTGGTCTTACTGGTGTTCAAGCACAAGTGGTTGCGCTCACACCAGTCGACAAAGTCCTTGATAACCGACCGATATTCCAGTTCGTTCCCCTCAGACACACAGCCCACGATGGCGGAGTCGTGGGAGAACTTCTGCAGGTGACAGCTGTGTGTGTCGTGTGTGAAGTCTGAGGTGTAGATGGTGAAGAGAAACGGTGAGAGGACAGTGCCCTGAGGGGCCCCAGTGCTGCAGACGACCACCTCAGACTCACAGCTGCGCAGCCGCACGTACTGTGGTCGGTCTGAGAGGTAGTTGATGGTCCATGCAGTGAGGTAGTTGATGGTCCATGCAGTGAGGTAGTTGATGGTCCATGCAGTGAGGTAGTTGATGGTCCATGCAGTGAGGCTACTGTCCACTCCCGCGTCCTCCATCTTCCCCCGCAGCAGTGAGGTCTGATGGTGTTGAAAGCACTGGAGAAGTCGAAGAACATGACCCTCACAGCGCTCCCGGCGGGCTCCAGGTGGGAGAGCGTCCGCTGCAGGAAGTAGATGACGGCGTCCTCTACTCCGATGTTGGGTCTGTAGGCGAACTGCAGCGGGTCCAGGGTGGGGCTGACCACGGAGCGGAGATGGGTGAGGATGAGCCGCTCCATGGTCTTCATCAGGTGGGAGGTCAGTGCGACTGGTCTGTAGTGAGCCGGTTCCTTGGCGTGCGTGTCCTGTTCCACAGGACAGGGACCTTCTCCAGGCTGAGACTCAGGTTGTACATGTAGCTGAGGACCTCAGAGAGCTGGTCTGCACAGGTCCTCAGCAGCCTGGGACTGATCCCAGCTGTGTGGAGGAGGTACTGCTAATGCTAATGCTAATGCGAATGAAAATACAAATGCAAATACTAATATCAATGGTAATATTAATATATTAATATGGTCCAAACACAGCTTTAGAACCTACTTTCTGTTGCCAAGGAAACAGTTGTTTACTTTCTGTTGCCAGGGAAACAGTACACTCGGTTTGGTTGCCGGAGAAAAGCCGACGGGAAAATGGTTCACAGGATGTTCTGCTCCAACATCAGTAAACCACGAGCGATCAGCAGGAGCTGCAACAGGGAGGAGTGTAGTACTGCCGAGTGAGTACTGCTACTACTACTACTGCTACTGCTGCAAATAATACTGCTACTGTTACTACTGCTGCTACTACTGCTAATGCTGCTAATGCTGCTACTGCTGCTACTGCTGCTACTGCTACTGCTAGTATTGCTACTGTTTCCTGCTGCTATGTGATGTGTGATTTCTTCAGGTGGACCGTCGGCCCGTGGCAGGCCTGTAGTGCCCCCTGTGGTCAGAGCGGGTCACAGCGGCGGTGGGTGTCCTGTCAGCAAGTGTCCAGCGGAGGGCAGCAGCGCTCTGTCGCCTCCAAACTCTGCGGCGACAACAAACCAGAGAACAAGAGGAGCTGCAACCGCCACCAGTGCCCTGCCTCCTGGAGGGGCGGGCCCTGGGGACAGGTGAGGGCGGGGCCTGGGAACAGGTGAGGGCGGGGCCTGGGAACAGGTGAGGGGTGAGGCCACGAGTTCATTATTTGCATGTTCCCCTCGTTCAGTGCTCCGTCAGCTGTGGCACCGGGACGCAGATGCGACAGGTCAAGTGTCAATCACCTGATGGGTTGCCTGGAAACTGCTCTGCTCCTCGTCCAATCACAGAGCAGCGCTGCTTAGGCCCGCCCTGTTCAGGTTCTACTGCAGGAGAACAGAAGAACGCCATCGTGAGGTGGTTATCCCGCCACACAGCAGAGGGGGCGCTGTCCTACAGTGAGTATGGCACTATGATACTACTAATACCGCCTTAACCATAAATACCACTATAACCAGCAATACCACCATAAACAGCAATACCACCTTAACCAGCAACATGTCCTTAACCTGAAACATTCCCTTATCCAGGGAGTGGATAGTGGATAGTTCATAAATCAGGAGTGAACTCAGTAAAGCCAATCTGAACATAAGCCAATTTCCTTATATGGACAATTATTCTGCATCGTTTCCCCCCATAATTGAAGGCGTCTGATTAGTTAATCCATATATGGCTCCTCTCTGGGTTGACAAAGACAATACCACAGTATAAACACCGGGACCACAGAGAGCACTAAATGTCTGTTTTAAGGCTCAAAAGCCGACATTAGACACTTGTTGGATACCAAGTTTGAGCCATACAATTATAGAAGGGGCAGCCGTGCGCCTGATGAATTCGACAGTGGCCTGTAAACGCTGCTCAAAGAAATATGGCAGTGTCTTGGAAAATTTAAACTAAAGAAAAACCAAACAACTGAAAGACAATTTTGACTCGGAAATAGGTTCTCTCAAAATCAGAAAGATAAGCACCCTACTGGTCAGAGGTGATAAAAGCGTGTGGCCCTGATATGACTGGGTTTTAAGAACGCCTTTTGGGCAACCTTCCACAGACCATCTCCCGTCAGTTCTGCAGACACACACACATGGTGCTCACAGACTGGACTCCCCACAGACAAATGCAATAAATACTGGGATAAAATGTACTCCTGTACTTTATAATTACTAATGACAGGTCAAAACGGATGTTTATCTAAATAATGTATGAATGCTCTGAGTGTTTTGTCTGTGGTCTGCGTTCTACTTTATCTGTAATGGAACATAAACTGTTCAAAAATAGTATGAAAAAAAGTAAGAAAAGAAAAGAACGTTTTCAGTAAAATATCACAGTGGAGGAAGGTTGATGCTTTGAAAAGGGTCCAATCGGACTGTTCAGCACAACTTCAACCTGCAGCGTCAACAGCATCAGAGCTAAAACTAAACTACAGACATATATTCAGTTTCAAAAAGTTTTATGTAGATTCCAGCAAATCTGCAAGAATCCCAGTTTCCAGCTTTAGAAACTTGGAGGTTTTGCAGATCCCTGAGGAGCAGAGACTGAAGTACGTTTTCTGTTATTGTCTAGTGCAGTGACGACATAAAAATGAAAGGATTATTTCAAGTAAAGCCTTTAAATTGTCTTTGATTTAAATGAGAGCATTTGTTTTTTGAAATGTTAATGTTTTTGTGCCTGAAGTTGGCCTGTATCTTCTTATTTGTGTTAATGCTGCCCATGAGGGCTGGGCAACCTTGTATTTACGACACAATAATATTAGATTCAAAGATAGAAACATTTATCAGGCTGCATTGAGCTACGGGAGTTTACTTTGACATTTTGTTGTTTCAGACCAACGTTGTCGTGGTGACCGCTCTGTGTTCTGTCAGATGGAGGTTCTGACTCGGTACTGTTCTCTTCCTGGATACAGAGTCATGTGCTGCGTTTCCTGTGCTAAACTCACCAATACCACCTTAACCAGCAATACCACTGTAACGAGCAATGCCACCTTAATCAGCAATACCGTAAACTCAGTCAAACCTCAGACAGTCATCTCCAAAGAAACGAGCAGGATCTGGACATCCCATAATAGTCCTGTCCCACAGATCAGGTGAGTCTGACCTTAAGTATTAACAGGGCGTTACATTGAGGGAGATGACATCATCTGTGTGACATCACACTGACACAAAATATTTTTCAGTTTGATCTTCACTCCCTCTGATGACATCACTGCAACGGAGGCTCCTCCCCCTGATGACATCACTGCAACGGAGGCTCCTCCCCCTGATGACATCACTGCAACGGAGGCTCCTCCCACTGATGACATCACTGCAACGGAGGCTCCTCCCCCTGATGACATCACTGCAACAGAGGCTCCTCCCCCTTATGACATCACTGAAACAGAGGCTCCTCCCCCTGAAGATGTCATGACAGCTGAGGTTCCTCTCCCTGATGATGTCATTGCAACAGAGGCTCCTCCCCCTGATGACATCACTGAAACAGAGGCTCCTCCCCCTGAAGATGTCATGACAGCTGAGGTTCCTCTCCCTGATGATGTCATTGCAACAGAGGCCCCGCCCTCTGTTGATAGCCCAGACTTTGTCGAGTATGAAAACTACGATTCTGATTGGACGGAGCCTCTGGTCACTATGACGTCACCCATCACCACAACTACAACGACCAAACCCAAACGACTGTCTGGCAGAGCGCCACCTGCAGGCCCGGAGTACACAGTAGTGGGCGTGTCCACCGTCGTCAAGAGGAAACTTCCGCATCTGAGCGAAAAAACTCAAAACAAACGAATTCAGGAACTTCTGAGAGAAAAGAGGCGAGGGCTGGAGGGGGCGGGGCTATGAGAGCGGGGGGCGGGGCTATCGCGGCACAAAGGGACAAAACCACATGTTTGTAATGACTGAAGTGTAAATATTTACTGATGACATCACATTTGCCTGTTTTATAAAAAGTTCTGGAAATTCACATTGTGACAGTTTTGATTGTTGTGGCTTAATACATTAGACAGAAACAAGAGAAAGGGAGAGAGCGTAGGACACAGAGGGAGAGAGCGTAGGACACAGAGAGCGTAGGACACAGAGGGAGAGAGGACACAGAGAGAGAGAGCGTAGGACACAGAGGGAGAGAGCAGGACACAGAGGGAGAGAGCAGGACACAGAGGGAGAGAGCGTAGGACACAGAGAGAGAGAGCGTAGGACACAGAGGGAGAGAGCGTAGGACACAGAGGGAGAGAGCAGAACACAGAGGGAGAGAGCAGGACACAGAGGGAGAGAGCGTAGGACACAGAGAGAGAGAGCGTAGGACACAGAGGGAGAGAGCGTAGGACACAGAGGGAGAGAGCGTAGGACACAGAGGGAGAGTAGGACACAGAGGGAGAGAGCGTAGGACAGAGCGTAGAGCACAGAGGGAGAGAGAGAGCGTAGGACACAGAGGGAGAGAGCGTAGGACACAGAGGGAGAGAGTAGGACACAGAGGGAGAGAGTAGGACACAGAGGGAGAGAGCGTAGGACACAGAGGGAGAGAGTAGGACACAGAGGGAGAGAGCGTAGGACACAGAGGGAGAGAGCGTAGGACACAGAGGGAGAGAGTAGGACACAGGGAGAGAGTAGGACACAGAGGGAGAGAGCGTAGGACACAGAGGGAGAGAGCGTAGGACACAGAGGGAGAGAGTAGGACACAGAGGGAGAGAGTAGGACAGAGGGAGAGAGCGTAGGACACAGAGAGCGTAGGACAGAGGGAGAGAGAGTAGGACACAGAGGGAGAGAGAGTAGGACACAGAGGGAGAGAGTAGGACACAGAGGGAGAGAGTAGGACACAGAGAGAGAGAGAGCGTAGGACAGAGGGAGAGAGCGTAGGACACAGAGGTAGAGAGCGTAGGACAGAGGTAGAGAGCGTAGGACACAGAGGGAGAGAGCGTAGGACACAGAGGGAGAGAGAGTAGGACACAGAGGGAGAGAGCGTAGGACACAGAGGGAGAGAGCGTAGGACACAGAGAGAGCGTAGGACACAGAGAGAGAGTAGGACACAGAGGGAGAGAGAGTAGGACACAGAGGGAGAGAGCGTAGGACACAGAGGGAGAGAGCGTAGGACACAGAGGGAAAGAGCGTAGGACACAGAGGGAGAGAGCGTAGGACACAGAGTGAGAGAGCGTAGGACACAGAGGGAAAGAGCGTAGGACACAGGGAAAGAGCGTAGGACACAGAGGGAGAGAGCGTAGGACACAGAGGGAGAGAGCGTAGGACACAGAGTGAGAGCGTAGGACACAGAGGGAGAGCGTAGGACACAGAGGGAGAGCGTAGGACACAGATCATCCCCATAATAAACTCAGTGAACACAGACGTTTTGACGATGTCTTTATTTAAACTGTTAGAATCACAGCGGCAGGAAGTGACATCGTTATCTGTAGCTGAAGCCCCGCCCCAAACAAAAAATTAAGAATTAAAATTAAAAACATTAAAATTCTAATGACAGGAAGTGAGGTCATAAATATCAGGGCCACAGAAAAAGTGATTAAAATGATTTCAAGCTGTGGAGCCACATCTGCGGAGAGGCGAGTTGTGGTGATGACAGACGTCGCCCTGGCAACAAGTGTCCACAGTGAAAGAAACAAGTAAATATGGGCGTTTCCTGTGGCACCAGGTTAAAGGCATAGTGTGCGATTCAGCAGAAAGTGTCAAAGTCTTCATCCTCTTCCCCCTCCTCTTCATCACATCTGGTACAGAAACATGACATTAAAGGCCTGGGTCAGGAATGCTAATGCTAACAATATGTGTGCATGCAGGAGTACCTGCTCAGGGGGGCGGAGCCACAGATCTGTGTCTTTGTTCAGTTTCATACAGGAGAAAAGATCACATACAACAGGCAGAGTCTGGAACAGAACACACATGTTTTACATGTTAAACACAGACACACACGTTTGTAATATACACACACCCTCTCTCACCTGAGCGCTGGAGCGTTTCCGCAGCAACCACTTGTCCTCAGTTGGGCTGGGGGCAGGGCCTGTGCTAGGGGCAGGGCCTGTGCTGGGCTCTGGTGCCTGATTGGCTGTCTTCTTTGGTGCTACCCATTGCTCGGCCTGTAGAGGGCGTCTGAACGGACAGTCTGTCTCCGTGAAAACAGAGGGTGCGGGGCTAGAAGTGAGAGGGTGGAGCCACGCCTCAAGAATGGCCTGAACCTGATGGAGACAGGGCAAAGGTATCACCTGGGTTTGTCTGTTATGTTTATCTGTAGTTACTACAGGTACATTAAATCCCACTGACCTTCTGCTCGCGCTCAATGAACGTCAGCGGCATGCTCTTCACAGGGGGTGTGCCCTTCTCTGTGGGAGTGGTCTTCTCTGTGGGCGTGGCCTTGACCCCGTTCTTGTCCCGCCCCTCCCTCCGCAGCAGCCAATCCCTGAGTGCGTCTCGTCCACAATTTTCATCACAGACACAGCTCTTCAGAGACGAACATGTCTCATTGGCTCTGCACACGGAGCTGACCGGCGCCACCTGCAGGAGAAAGGACACAGGGACATGAAAATGTCCCTGTGGACACCGTCTTATGTCCCTGTGTCCCGCAGGACACGTCTCAGAGGGCAATCCCACAGAGATTGAAGAACAAGTTTCCTGAACCACAAGAATTCCCTTCAAAAGGCTCAAACTCAAAATTATTCAACATAACTAGAAGTAAATAAAAACAAGTTCAGCAGCAAAGCCAAACTAGCCTGGCCTTAGCCATCTGTACACTCCGGTCAATAATCATTGCTTGCAATTACATCGATAGAATTCCATCCGACCAATCAGCGAGCGAAGGAGGCGGGTGTTGTAGTTAGTTGTAGGTGATGTCAAGAGTTTGCGCCAAACTGCGCCGGTTGTGGTTTGGCAATGGTAAAGAATGCGACAGTAAAGTATTCCGGTCTGGTTCTATCAAGAAATTGAAGCCGGAGCAAGAGGAATGTATAGCTAAAGTCATTGCTGGCAAAGATTGTGGCGCTACTCCCATGGATCTATTATAATAACGGGCTACTCCCCACGGGCTAGGTTAGCGGCAAAGGAGATGGCTAGGCTAAATGCTAACAACTCACTCAGGCACATTACATACTAAACTCAGATCCAATCGTTTCAATCTGCAAAAGGAGTTAACCCCTCCCACCTGTTCACGGAGCTCAATGGAGCAAATCCAGACCTATGTCATTTTTACTATGGTGTGGTACGACCAGGCTGAACTAACTGCCAAAGCCCATCTCCCTAAGTAGTGTTGACTTTTTTCAATTCTTCAACAATAAAATTACAACTATTCGCAACAAACTAGATGAAACCCCCCCCAATATTGGTGATGGACAAGCTGAAGTTCATGTCCGACTCCTCAGTGGGCTTGGGAGCAGCTCATGATCACGTCCTCTAAAACCTCAACTTGCATTTGGAATCCAATCCCAGCAAGACTTCTCAAAGACACACTCCTTTAATAATAGAGCCCGTCTTAAATATATGTCCCTCAAGACTATAATCACAGTAATCAAACCTCTGAAAAACCCCTAAATCAAATCGTAACCCTAAATTGATAAACAAACTATAGAGTCTGGACCAATTTCAAACCTTCCATTCATTTCTAGAATTACTACTAGTGGACTAGGGTCAGTGTTGGTTAATCGGGAACTTTGTAAAGTCCTTAGTAACTATTGTTAATGTGTTTAGGGCTAAACACAAAATACATTGAATTGAACAAGTCTCTGAGGAGAGGGACTAGATCTGGACACTGGGGACTGACCCTTCAGAGAGGATAACAGACGTATACTTCTATAATGTCTGACCTGCTGAAGCCACGCCTCCAGGGCTTCGTTGCGACCCTGCTTTGGGCTTGGGTTCCTTGGGTTCTTCTGGACAGACGGTTCCTGGTCTCTGGTCTGGTGTGAGTTACAGCTCTCCTTCAGGTCTTTCTCTGGGATCTTGGCGGGACAGTGGCCTTTAGTCGGTCCCTGGGTCTGGTCTTTAGTCGGTCCCTGGGTCTGGTCTTTAGTCGGTCCCGGGGTCTGGTCTTTAGTCGGTCCCGGGGTCTGGTCTTTAGTCGGTCCCGGGGTCTGGTCTTTAGTTGCTCCCGGGGTCTGGGTCCGGGCAGGTCCCTGGGTCTGGTGGGTCTTCAGACACTTCAGGGCGGTTGCCAGGTTTTCAATCTCCATCTTCTCCGCGGGCCTTTTGCAGGAGGAGCAGTTGCCTCGGGGCATCAGCCAATCAGAGCTCTCCCAGTGCTCATCAAAGGGCAAAAGCACCGCCCCCCAGGCCTCTGACTGGTCCTCAGTGCTCAGCTCCGATTGGTCGATCTCCTCGAAGGAGGAAGAAGTGCTACAGCTGATGCTCCGGCCCCGGTTACCAAGGCTATCGTCAGGGGCGGGACCAGGTGGGTAGAGGGGCTTGGTCTCCTTCACTAGCCACGCCTCCAAGTCCAGAAGCTGTCCCCAGGAACTGAAGAGGTCAAAGGGCAGCAGGGGCGGGGCCTGAACAGAGGTTAGAACAGCTCAAATAGCTCTTTTCTCACACAGCTCTTCTAGCGGCTTTCATTCAATTTCTCACCTGCGACTGTGGACACGTCAGCAACCAATCACGCGTCTCGTTGCTGCAGTATCCCCGGGTGACAGACTGTGACTCCGCCCCCAGCAGCCATTGGCTCAGACCACCCTCCAATTTCTGTGGGGGGAAGTGCAGTGTGAGTGATCAATCAATCAACGTTTATTTATAGAGCGCCTTTCCTACACAAGGCAACGCAAAGCGCCTCACAACCCATATAACATCATGCATAAATCATCAAACATTAGAATTTAAGTAAACATAAAAAGACAGATTAAGAGCACAAGATATATAAAATCACACAAGTAGTTAAAAACCGTAAAACATTAAAATCACACAAGGGATTACAATCATAAATAATCATAAATAATCATAGCGCATTAAAAAGATTAAAGATAAAAAACAAATATAAAATCATTCACTTGTATGCACAGCTAAAAAGAACTGTTTTCAGTTCAGTTTTAAAAACTGCTAGAGTAGACGCCTGTCTCACATTCTCGGGAAGACGGTTCCAGACTCTAGCTGCATGAATCTGAAACGCAGCCTCCCCATGTCTAGTTCCGACTCTTGGCACTAACAGAAGTCCAGTCCCTGTGCTCCTCAGAGCCCGAGTTGGTTCATATGGCACCAACATGTCGCGGATGTACCCTGGTGCGAGGCCATGGAGAGACTTGTACACAAGTAAAGCTACTTTAAAATCTATTCTCTGAGCCACAGGAAGCCAGTGCAGAGACCTGAGGACCGGACTAATGTGGTCGTACTTCCTGGTTCTAGTCAGGACTCGAGCTGCAGCATTTTGGATGTACTGCAGCTGTTTTACCGCTTGTTTAGAGAGACCTGTGAACAAGCCATTGCAGTAGTCCAATCGACTGGAGACAAATGCGTGGATAAGAATCTCCAAGTTTGCTTTAGACACAATGTTTTTAATTTTAGCAATGTTTCTTAGGTGGAAGTAAGCTGATGATGTCACAGATGATATGTGGCTATTGAAATTTAAGTCTGAGTCCATTATTACTCCTAGATTTCTGACCTGAGTTGAGGGTTTTAGGGAGAGAGACTGGAGGTGGCAGATAACGCTCTCTTTGTTTTTGAGGTCCGAAAACAATAATTTCAGTTTTTTCTGTGTTTAGCTGGAGAAAGTTATTTTGCATCCAATCACTGATTTGTTGGATACAGTGAAGGAGCGAGTCCACTGGTCCATGTTCTCCTGCTGTCAGGGACACATAGACCTGAGTATCGTCAGCATAATTGTGATAGGACACGTTATTACTGTGTATTAACCTACCCAGAGGCAGCATGTAAATATTAAACAGGAGAGGCCCCAGGATTGATCCCTGTGGCACTCCGCAGGTTAGGGCCAGATGGTCTGAGATACAGTTTCCGATCTCCACAAAATACTTTCTGTCCTGTAGGTAGGATATAAACCAGCTTAGGGCTGTTCCAGAAACACCAACCCAGTCCTCAAGTCTCTGAATGAGGATACCATGATCGACAGTGTCGAAAGCAGCACTTAAATCTAACAGGATAAGAACTGAGACTTTTCCTGCGTCAGTGTTAAGTCTGATGTCATTTGTTACCTTCACTAGAGCGGTCTCTGTGCTGTGGTGGGGTCTAAAACCAGACTGGAACATATCAAAAGAGTGATTGATTATTAAAAATTCTGTAAGTTGTTGATAGACAACTTTTTCTAGAATTTTACCCATGAAAGGCAGATTTGAAATGGGCCGATAATTTTTAAGTGCCAAGGCATCCAGACTCCTCTTTTTTAGGAGGGGTCTGATGACTGCCGTTTTCAGGGCCATTGGGAATGTTCCAGATTCAAGAGACATATTTACTATATGCGTGAGTGAAGGTAAAAGACTGCTCAGAACAGATTTAAGAAATCTAGGAGGTAATACATCCAGGCTACATGTAGAAGAACTCAGACTTGTAATTATCATTTGGACAGTTTCATTTTGTACTGGTGTAAAGTGTGTCAGCCCAAAAAGCTTCACTGGCTGTTGGATTGTAATTTCTACTGTGGAGGTGATGGCATTTTTGATGCCTTGGACTTTGTCATTAAAAAACTCTGCAAACTCATTACATTTGGTTTTGGAGGTAAGCTCTGATGGCATCTTAACAGGGGGATTTGTCAATTTATTTACTGTTGAGAACAGAACGCGTAGATTGTTACTGCAACCTTCAATTGTTTCGGAAAAATAAGTTTCCCTCGTTCTACGTAGCACACTGTTGAACTTGCACAATGCATCTTTGAAGATCTCATGGTCAACTTGGAGATTTGACTTTCGCCACTTCCGCTCGGCTCTCCGGCACTCTCTCTTCTGTGCCCTGACAGAGTCCGCTTTTGTCCATGGCGCCTTTTGCTTATTTGTAACAATTTTGACCTTTACAGGAGCAATCGTGTCCAGAACATCCAAAACACTAGAGGTGACAGAGTTAAGTAATTCATCCACAGTAGAACACAACGTGTTATCAAAGTTTATCATCCCCATGAAAAGTTCACCTGTATTTTTGTTTATGTGTCTTCTTCTTCTAACAATTGAGGATTCAGCTCGTGCTTTACTATTGAGACACATATCAAAAAATACACAGAAATGATCTGACAGAGCAACATTGGCCACATTTACATTTGAGATATTAACCCCTTTAGTAATTAGCAGATCGAGAGTGTGTCCTCTGCTATGGGTGGGGCCACTCACATGCTGAGTGAGACCAAAGGTTTCCAGCACAGAGCTCAGCTCTTTCGCGTATCTATCATCATCGTTATCTACATGTATATTAAAATCACCTATGACGACTAAACTATCAAAGTCTGTGCACACAACTGAAAGCAACTCGGTGAAATGATCAGTGAAACTATGACATGACTGTGGCGGCTTGTACACAACAATAATAAGAATAAAAGATTGTTTTTGTTCTATTTTAAAAGAGACATACTCAAATGAGGAAAATTTCCCAAGAGGTACTCTATGGGAGACAATACAATCTTTAAAAACTGCTGCTGTGCCTCCTCCTCTTTTATTTTCTCGAATTTCTGATTCAAATTTGAAATGTGGTGGTGTTGTTTCTATTAAGACTGCATTTTCTGTATTATGGTCAAGCCAAGTTTCAGTCATAAACATAAAATCAAGATCATAAGAACAGATAAAATTATTAATTAAAAAGGATTTATTGCATAGTGATCTGACATTAAGCAGAGCAAGGTTAAAATTAATATCAGTGTCAGTGGGTTTAGTTGATTGATTACAAAGAACTGGAATTAGATTTCCTGAGTTGGACCGTCTAACTGCTGTCCTTCTGTTATATTTGTGTTTATTCAAATTAAAACACATTTCTGAGCCGGTGCGAGGAACACACACAGTCTCTATTGGTTTAAAAAGTGAACTCTGTTTTACTTTGTTAAGTTCCAGATGCATAACTGAGTCAGCACAGTTCAGTGGCAGGACTGTCGTTACACTGCCAGACGGACAGGGGTCAGTGTTTGCACCACAGTACTCACCCGGTGCTGGTGAGGAGGAGGAAGGTGGTAGTGGGGGCCGAGGGGCCTCGGATATAAACAGTCACGCCCCCCCCCCCACAGTCACGTGTGGTGATGTCACCACACACGTAAAGACCAGCCAATCACAGCACTGACCTGTCTCTTGGGGGCGGGGCTCTGGATGGATGATGTCACCGCTCCAAATGAAGTAATGGCGTTGCGTAAAGAGCGGGAGTCGCCATGGAAACAGAGGTCAGGCGTCTCCTCCGGGGTCAGGGTCAGTCTGGACACACTGCAGAGACAGATAATTAAAGCAGAACGTTCCCTCTGGTCTCTCTCCCTCTCTGGCCTCTCCCTCTCTCCCTCTCTGGTCTCTCCCTCTCTCCCTCTCTGGTCTCTCTCCCTCCACGGTCCCTCTCCCTCTCTGGTCTCTCTCCCTCCACGGTCCCTCTCCCTCCACGATCCCTCTCCCTCCACGGTCCCTCTCCCTCCACGGTCCCTCTCCCTCCACGGTCCCTCTCCCTCCACGGTCCCTCTCCCTCCACATAATGCTTGTGCTTCGCTAGCTCTGGTCCAACCAATAATGACCCTTCTGAGACCACAAGTTACCTGTCCAGGAGGGGAGTCAGCTGACGGGTCATGTGGTTGCGTAGCTCGTTGCTGATTGGCTGTTTGCAGAGCTGGTCTGAGATCACGCCCAGTTGTCCTTTGAGCTGTGAAAGGAAAGCGTTTAAGTTAAATACAATCATAGCATGTGTTAGCATGGCTCTGGTTAGCGCGCCACTGAGCTTTTATTCCGTACCGTGCTCATGTTTAGAAGCTGCTCTCTTAGTGTGTCTCTCTTCACGTGTTCCATGATCTCCGTCTGCTCCAGGAGCCACAGTTCTCTGCAGCGCAGCGCCTCCTGGTGGCGACTCATGGTACTCTGCACCTGCCCACGCACCTGCACACAGCATTCGCATGATTAACACTTGTTAAACATGTTTAACATAATTAAAATGAGGTCAGATCAAGATTTGGAAGACGATATCACAATAAACACCTGGATCACAGAGAACGCAAAACCACAGATTTAAGCCCAAAATGGTGAGTGACACAAACTGTTACTGAGCTAGAGGATTTACTTTTAAGTCAATATGATCCAAATATCACTTCCCTATTGGGCTTCAATGAGCTAGCATTTGTTAGGTTAGAATTGTCCACACACACTGAAGTATCTTGGGTCCTACCTGAACTTCTCCGGTCTGAGTCCTGGGATGTTCTGAGCTACACTGACTAACCAGCCCTTTATAACATCCTTTACCTCCCTCACCTACCTCACACCCCCCCCCCCCCAGCTCCTCCTCCTCAGACCACTTCTTCATCACCCTGTGGTCCACCACAGCTCAGCCACAGTCAACCCTGTTAGAGTGTGACATCACTCACAAGAACAGCACTTGGCTGGTGTGAACTATTTATCGAATCAGTTTCTTAACGTGAACCAAAACTCCTCACCCTACTCCAAAGTAAATCTGGGTGTGCCACAAGGATTGGTACTCGGCCCGATTCTTTTCACACTCTGCATGCTGCCATTAGGAGCATATGACTGCTGCAGAGGCGGCGTCCCCATGTTGTGCTCCAGGTCTATCTCAAGCAAGTATCTGACATCAGCCCCACGGCCTCCCACAGGCCTCTGCGCGAGCCTTTCAGGTGCAGAAGACACTTGTGCTGTGTAGTGGACTGACTTAGTGCTGCATAAAAGACCTAATGACACGACCCTACAGTATCTGCTCCTCCAACTGCAAACAAATGTTTTCGAAATGATGATGTAATTGTTGCGCACATTACAGCAGAGTAAAAGGGGAAAATAAGAGCACTACAGTTATGCACACAAACCGTATCTTTTATTTAAGATGTTGATCCTAATATAATCTGCTGATATATTGCACTTGGGTCAAGGATAAGTCACGTGTGGAGTAAACACTGCAGGTCAGCAGCATCATCAGGTTTCAGATTTACAGATGGTTAATATTGTACTCCAGAACCAGATAAGCAATAGTAAAAGTAGCAACGTGTCCAGGCTCAACAGCTCTTGTACAGTCTGACAACAGCAGGAAGGAAGGAACTGCGGGAACTTCCTCACACACACACTGACGCAGCTTTCCAGAGAACAGAAGTAATCTACTCTGCCCCAGACCTCTGAGTGACTCCCTCCTAATCAGATAATCACATTCCATAATGTTTGCATGGCCCCTAGAAACACTGTAAGGGCCCCTGGACACTGTAAGGAATCTTATTGACCAAAAATTCTCCTACAGAGCACATAAAAACCAAGCAAAAACAGCATGTTTCCACTGCCACAACATTAGCTAAAACTAAATATTCTTAAAGTGATGCAGAAAAATCCACCCATTTGTCTCCTCAAGGCTTGATACTGCAACGTCCTGCTAGCAGCACAAGAAGCATCCAGCTCATCCAAAATACAGCCTCTAGGATCTTAACAAGCACAAAAAAGGAGGAAACATAACGGCAGTGATAAAACTGGCGTTACACTGTCTTCATGTACAGAATAGAATCAAATGTAAAATTCTTCTTTTAACATACAAGGCCATAAGAAACAGCTTCCTCCGACCTCCAACACACATCAACCAAAAGCTCTCTCGCAAACACCAGACTTCATCTAGTTCATAAAGATTAAAAAAGTGCCGTAGGTTTAGCTCCGAGCTTCAATACTCTGGAAACAGCTCCCAATCACGTCAAGGAAGCAAACATTCAAGTCCAGGCTTAAAACAGTCCTCTATAATTCAACAAATGGTAAGACTCAGGTGAGAAATACAACTGTAAGTCTAAAAACACAGATTGTCAGCGACGCTGCTGGAGAAGTAAGGCAACAGCACTATCCTCTTCTCTTCTACTTTATCTGTCATCATTATGACTTCTGCTGTAGTCTGTTTCTTTTCATTCACCCACTGTCTCAATGTGCGTGTCATGGTGTGATGTTGGGACCCCTGAATCCAGCCCCTTTCATCTGCACCTTGTTATTATCACATTTCCTCTGATCTGTTGTTGGTGAATCAAACAACTTTGTAAAGTCCTCCAGGACACTGTGATTTAGGACTGCAGTAAGAGTTTAGCACTGTGGTGTGGGGCGGAAGGACTGGGGACTAGTCCTGGTCCAGTCCAACCCGGGCTGGGACTGGACCAGCCCGGGTACAATATATTTGTACTGAATTGAACGTTGTCTGAACGTCCTTTGTGTTCTCGTAGGTGAGGTGGGTCAGAGAGTTTATTGGGCGTCCCATCTAAGCCTGCACATGTGACATTACAAAACAATGACGATAATGACATTACTGACCTCGGTGGTGTTCAGCTGCAGCTCTTCTTCTGTCCTCAGCACTCGCTCCATGGCCTCATGTAACTGCTGCTGCGCCACACTGCACTGCCCCCACAGGTCCACCCTGGAACCACACACCCTGCATCAGTGACATTGCTAGTATTAAGGCCCCGTCCCAATTCTCACCCTTGCCCTTAAAAAGCACCCTTGCTCTAGATTTTGCGCGAGCCTGCGGGGGTTGTAAGGTGTCCCAATCCTTAGGGAGAAGAGGCGAGGGCCCTCACACCCTTAAAAACCACCCTCGCTCGCTGGTGAGGTCCGGAGCTCACTTGCGATTTTCATATAAAATAGAATTAAAAACGTCTCATCTTAATAAATACTGTGTTTCATAAAGTCATGTGTGTGTCAGATCTTATCTGTGGTGAAATCTGACACTTTGATCATGTGTGTGACGTGGAACACGTTTGCTGCGGCATTTGCATATTGTCCCCTAGATCCAGGGGTGTCCCAATTCTTAGGGACAATATCCTGTGAGTGCTCTCCCCGATGGGAAGGCACCTTTCTGGTGAGGGCACTCACACCTGGAGGGCCCTCAGAATTGAGAAAGGGCCTACGACCCATTATTGCTGCTGCTGCTAACAGCAGCTGTAGGAGCAGAACAGGACACGTGTCTGTAGGTGAACTCCTGTCTGTTTGTAGAGTCTTAGTGAGTCCAGATTTAGCTCTGGTTTAGACTGGACTGAGTCAGACCAGGACTAAACCAAGACTAAGCCCAGATTATAACTGGACTAGAGCAGAATTAGTCCAGATTGAGTCCATTCAGTCCTTATATCCCCTGAACCACAAACCACTGACTCAGACTGAAGCCAAACACCAACATTCTGCTCTCCTCTAATCACAAACAGCTCTGTCCTAGCCTGGACATGGTCTGGACCCGGTCCCTGCTTCAGGAAACCTGAGGAGACCAGACTGACCTGGACCAAAATTCACATAAGCCAGTACAGGACCAGGTCTGAGTCTGGGACCAGGTCCAGGTCTGTGGGTGGGGACTCTCAGCTGTGAGTCCTGATAAAACCAGTTCTACTAGGTCTACGTCACAACAGGGACTTATCAGGTCTGAACCAGGGCCAGACTCGAGCTGGGTCCAGGATCCGGCTAATCGCTCACGCCAGCTCCATCCCTGTGTGTGTCTGTGCCTGCGTGTCTGTCTGTGCCTGTGTGTGTGTCTGTGCCCGCGTGTCTGTCTGTGCCTGTGTGTGTGTCTGTGCCTGCGTGTGTGTCTGTGCCTGCGTGTGTGTCTGTGCCTGCGTGTGTGTCTGTGCCTGCGTGTGTGTCTGTGCCTGCGTGTGTGTCTGTGCCTGCGTGTGTGTCTGTGCCTGCGTGTGTGTCTGTGCCTGCGTGTGTGTCTGTGCCTGCGTGTGTGTCTGTGCCTGCGTGTGTGTCTGTGCCTGCGTGTGTGTCTGTGCCTGCGTGTGTGTCTGTGCCTGCGTGTGTGTCTGTGCCTGCGTGTGTGTCTGTGCCTGCGTGTGTGTCTGTGCCTGCGTGTGTGTCTGTGCCTGCGTGTGTGTCTGTGCCTGCGTGTGTGTCTGTGCCTGCGTGTGTGTCTGTGCCTGCGTGTGTGTCTGTGCCTGCGTGTGTGTCTGTGCCTGCGTGTGTGTCTGTGCCCGTGTGTGTGTCTGTGCCCGCGTGTCTGTCTGTGCCCGCGTGTGTGTCTGTGCCTGCCTGCGTGTGTGTCTGTGCCTGCGTGTGTGTCTGTGCCTGCGTGTGTGTCTGTGCCTGCGTGTCTGTCTGTGCCTGCGTGTGTGTCTGTGCCTGCGTGTGTGTCTGTGCCTGCGTGTGTGTCTGTGCCTGCGTGTGTGTCTGTGCCTGCGTGTGTGTCTGTGCCTGCGTGTGTGTCTGTGCCTGCGTGTGTGTCTGTGCCTGCGTGTGTGCTGTGCTGCGTGTGTGTCTGTGCCTGCGTGTGTGTCTGTGCCTGCGTGTGTGTCTGTGCCTGCGTGTGTGTCTGTGCCTGCGTGTGTGTCTGTGCCTGCGTGTGTGTCTGTGCCTGCGTGTGTGTCTGTGCCTGCGTGTGTGTCTGTGCCTGCGTGTCTGTCTGTGCCTGCGTGTCTGTCTGTGCCTGCGTGTGTGTCTGTGCCTGCGTGTGTGTCTGTGCCTGCGTGTGTGTCTGTGCCTGCGTGTGTGTCTGTGCCTGCGTGTGTGTCTGTGCCTGCGTGTGTGTTGTGCCTGCTGCGTGTGTGTGTGCCTGCGTGTGTGTCTGTGCCTGCGTGTGTGTCTGTGCCTGCGTGTGTGTCTGTGCCTGCGTGTGTGTCTGTGCCTGCGTGTGTGTCTGTGCCTGCGTGTGTGTCTGTGCCTGCGTGTGTGTCTGTGCCTGCGTGTGTGTCTGTGCCTGCGTGTGTGTCTGTGCCTGCGTGTGTGTCTGTGCCTGCGTGTGTGTCTGTGCCTGCGTGTGTGTCTGTGCCTGCGTGTGTGTCTGTGCCTGCGTGTGTGTCTGTGCCTGCGTGTGTGTGTCTGTCTGTCCTCCACTATAACAATAAATCAAGTTTAACACGTTGTTTATCCGAGTTTACAGCAGAATGAACTGTGGACTTTAAACTGTACCTACCACACAACACAACACGCACATACAACACGCACACAACACAAACCAGACAACACAGCAAGCACACAACACACACACACAACACAACACGCACACAACACAAACCAGACAACACAGCAAGCACACAACACAAACCAGACAACACAGCAAACACACAACACACACACACAACACAACACAAACCAGACAACACAGCAAACACACAACACACACACACAACACAACACAAACCAGACAACACAGCAAACACACAACACACACACACACACACACACAACACAACACAAACCAGACAACACAGCAAGCACACAACACACAACACGCACAACAACAACACAACATATAACAGACAACACAACACGCGATCGAAAGCCCAGATCTGTTAAACAGGTTGAGCCGCTGTCAGGCCGCAGACACCAGACCAGCCCGGGTTGGACCTGGACTGGACTGGGACTGGACCAGGACTAGTCCCCAGTCCTTCCGCCCCACACCACAGAGCTAATCTCTTACTGCAGTGATGTTAGAATGAGAATAAGTGCTGATATTTGGGGTATTCTCGCTCACCTCTCGCCTCGTTCCTGATCCGCCATTTTGCTCCGGTGTCTGCGGCACGTACTCTGCTCATGCACGAGCTCAGCTGATACGGAGGCGCGCGCAGACACACACGGGGGCGCGCGCAGACAGTGAAGCATCATAACCATAGACTGTACAACACTGACCGTTTTTGAGAAATTAACGAAACGCGTGCGTGCTTGCATATGTGCGTGCGTGTGTTTGTCTCATTATCTATGTGTGTGTGTGCGTGTGCGCGTGTCTATGTGTGTTTACAGTAGTTACTCACTCCACAGAAAGTGGTCTGAGGCTGGCCTGGGGGTCCATCAGATCTGGTCCTGGTTCAGCCCGGGGTTAGTCCTGGTTCAGACCTGAGTTTGAGTTTGAGAAGCGCGTGCACTGGTGTCAGTGATCCAAAGTCACCGTGACGTCACCACTCCCGACTCACGTAACGGGGGATCAAAACCTCGCGAGAGAATGCGAGATGTGGGACCATAACAAACACGTGCGCCTCTGGTGGAGACTCACGGTACAACAGCAGGGAAATGTCGATTTCGTTTTATAAATAATAGGTTTAAAGCTGGGTACGTTACTTTAGTCTCATAAACAACATGTTTAAAGCTGGGTACGTTACTTTAGTCTCATAAATAACATGTTTAAAGCTGGGTACGTTACTTTAGTCTCATAAATAACATGTTTAAAGCTGGGGTACGTTACTTTAGTCTCATAAATAACATGTTTAAAGCTGGGTACGTTACTTTAGTCTCATAAATAACATGTTTAAAGCTGGGGTACGTTACTTTAGTCTCATAAATAACATGTTTAAAGCTGGGGTATGTAACTAGTCTCAAAAATAACATGCTGGAGGCTGGGTACGTTACTTTTAGTCTCATAAATAAGAAATGTTTAAAGCTGGGCACAGTTTTATTACACGCGGGTAAAGTTTTAAAAACAAGATTACAAACATAAAATATCAGATCATTTAAAAACAGTCGATTCAGTCAAAGCTCCTCAGGATCAGTCCCTCACAGAAGGTCCAGAAGATCCTACAGCGAGGACAGGAACTCCTTAACCTGGACAAAAGGTAAAGCAGAAATGAATCTAGGACCTGAAGAAGTAGTATTAGCAGTAGGAGTAGTAGTAATAATAGTAGTAGTAAGTAAGTAAGTAATCTTTATTTATATACCGCCTTTCACAGACCAGAGTCACAAAGCGGTTTACAATTGTTATTTTTTGGGCACTTGTCCTCTCACTCCACACAGAGATGGGAGCGGGGTCGCCGAACAGGAGGCGCATGCCAGAACTATTGTACATATTTTTAGTGGTAGGGGAAACCGGAGTACCCGGAGGAAACCTACGCAGACACGGGGAGAACATGCAAACTCCACTCAGAAAGGCCCTGGTCCGGCCGGGATTCGAACCCAGGACCTTCTTGCTGAGAGGCGAGAGTGCTATTCACTCAGCCACCGTGCCGCCCAGTATACTATTAGAAGTAGTAGTAGTAGTAACAGCAGCAGTACTAGTCCTAGTTGCAGCAGAAGTAGCAGCAGCAGTAGTCACAGTAGAAGTGGCAGTAGCGGTAGTAGTTGCACTGCAGTATTAGCAGTATCCGTACCTGGTCCAGGAGTTGTCCCTGTAGTACACTGTTGTTCTTGAAGTCCTGGTCCACGTCCAGGACGAGGACCGGGATCTGGTTCATGTACTCAAAGTCCAGACTGGAACAGAAAGTCACACATCAGGACTGAGCACAGGTACACAGGGTTGTGCTAGAAATACATTTTCAAAGTTGGCAAAAAAATGGAGAAAACATAAATTTGTATTGATTACATATTTATACATTATTTCACATATTTTGTTGTGATATTTTACCATTTTTTTCTGGTTTAAAAACGATATAAATATGACATATATGGTGTTGATGACCCACACCAACCCCTATAGCAACATGACAGACACCGTCCCTGTTGAAGAAAAGCAGCCTCACATCATCATGCTGCGCCCCTCCACTCGTCCATATAAGAACCCAGTATTAGCAGCACAGGTACAACCTCTGTCGTACCTGAGGTCTCGGTCGTAGAGCCAGGACTCATGTTTTTGATGCAATTGTTGTAAATACTCGAGGGGGATCTCTTGCTCTTCCTCACGACCGCGGTGCAGCAACCTCTGCATACAGCACTGCAGTACAAAGTACACACAGTACTTCAATGTACTTCTAATATACACACAATCACACTGCAGTACACAATACACAGAGTACTTCAAACACTGGAACATGGACACAAAACATACACTCTGATCGATTTATAGCTGATTAAAAATGTTTAGTTGTAATAGTAGTAGTAGTAGTAGTAGCAGCAGCAGAAGCAGTAGTAGTACAGTAGTATTGCAGTAGATCTAACCTGTGGCTGGGCTCTGAGGTACACAATGGCGTCCAGGTTCAAGTCCGGACTGAACTGGTCCAGGATCCACTGGTGCCAGTCCTGATACACGGACCACTCTGTGTCTGTGATGGAGGCGGAGTCACGGAGAGAGGATGCAAACACGTACCTGAGGACACACCAAGACCACTGTTCTCATAAGTCTCCATCCCCCAGCTCTGATTGCGTGTGGTGCCCTTTAAGGTCTCTGGTCTCTGGTCTCCGGTCTCCGGTCTCCGGTCTCCGGTCTCCGGTCTCTGGTCTCTGGTCTCTGGTCTCCGGTCTCCAGTCTCCGGTCTCCCTCTCTGGTCTGGTTAATCTCCCTCTGGTCAATGTTTTGTGATAATTGTGGATGAAGGACTACAGAGACTAGACTAACCCTAGTCCCTGTAGTTCCTTAAGTCCCTGTAGTCCCTTAAATCCCTGTAGTTTCTTAAGTCCCTGTAGTTCCTTAAGTCCCTGTAGTCCCTTAAGTCCCTGTAGTCCCTTAAGTCCCTGTAGTCCCTTAAGTCCCTGTAGTTCCTTAAGTCCCTGTAGTTCCTTAAGTCCCTGTAGTTCCTTAAGTCCCTGTAGTCCCTTAAGTCCCGTAGTTCCTTAAATCCCTGTAGTCCCTTAAGTCCCTGTAGTTCCTTAAGTCCCTGTAGTCCCTTAAGTCCCTGTAGTCCCTTAAGTCCCTGTAGTTCCTTAAGTCCCTGTAGTCCTTGTACCTGTCTGAAAACACGGATCTCTCAAAGAACTGCACTGGATTCTCGGACTCCTGAAGTTTTGCCGATGGAGGCTGAAGCTGGGAACGGATCCGGCTCAGACAGGCATACGACTGGGCACAGGTACAAGAACGACTGAGCACAGGTACAAGAACGACTGAGCACAGGTACAAGAACGACTGTAACCCACGGTAACCAACAGTAACCTACGGTCCCCCAAGGTAACTATGGTAACAGGTCACTAAAAATGATAACAGTATTATGGCCCAGCTCTCGTATCAGAGTAGTATCCGAGTACTAGCAGTAGTATCAGAGTAGTATCTGTACCTGGAAAGTGTAGCTCCAGCGTGTGGGTTTGCTGTACAACATGTGCAGAAGGTTTCCTCCACTTTTCTGAGAAGAACTGAGCTCCTGAAACACAGTAGTAGTGTCAGCAGCAGAAGCAGTAGTATCAGCAGCAGTAGTAGAAATATTATCAGAAGTAGTAGTAGTAGTATGGATTTTTTATGAGACTTATGTTGATCATTACAGTATGCAGAAGTCTGAAGGTCGAAGCAACAGATCTATTGATGCTAAGAGGAGTGACTCTTTGGTCTTCTATAAAGCCAAGTGGAACCCTCTCTCTATGAGCCTCCAGGAGGTTTCTCAGTTATTCCCAGGGTGGGTGTCCGAGTGGCTCCTCTCTGGTAATCTCTCTCCCTATGGACCAATAGCTCAACATACAGAGTGGCAGAAGTAGTAGTAGTAGCAGGATAAGTATTTGCAGTAGTAGTAGTAGTGCCAGTAGTAGTAGTACCTCGTATATATCCTCCTTCTCAGTCTGCACGTTACACCACTTGGCGATCGGCTCTGGAATCACCTCCCATTCCTCAGACGACTTCTGCAGTAGACGCACAAACGTGGACTTCCCTGCAGCTACACACACACACACGAAGTTACATACCCCAGCTTTAAACATGTGTTATTTATGAGACTAAAGTTACATACCCCAGCTTTAAACATGTGTTATTTATGAGACTAAAGTTACATACCCCAGCTTTAAATATGTGTTATTTATGCACAGATAAGTTACGTCCCCCAGCTTTAAACATGTGTTATTTATGAGACTAAAGTTACATACCCCAGCTTTAAACATGTGTTATTTATGAGACTAAAGTTACATACCCCAGCTTTAAATATGTGTTATTTATGCACAGATAAGTTACGTCCCCCAGCTTTAAACATGTGTTATTTATGAGACTAAAGTTACGTCCCCCAGCTTTAAACATGTGTTATTTATGCACAGATAAGTTACGTCCCCCAGCTTTAAACATGTGTTATTTATGAGACTAAAGTTACGTCCCCCAGCTTTAGACTTTGGCGCGTTCTCTGTTCCCGCACATATCCCTGAGCTACAGTAGCCCTCGTTATCCAGGTGCTGGTGGGGTAGGCTCAGGGTCAGGGGTAGGGTCTCACCGATGTTCCCCTCGATGGAGATCTTCTTGAGGCTCCTGCGGGACTCTGAGCTCCGCGCTCTCTTCGGGGGAGTCGCCATGAATGTTCCCGGCTTTGGAGCGCTTTGAGGCGGGTACGGAGGGCGCAGGGGTCGCAGGGATCTGGGCGATGGAGCGGCCTACGGGTTTAGACCATAGACTGTTGTTTAGACTGGGGACACAGAGAGGACACGGAGAAGACCCAGAGAAGACAGAGACTAAAGCGCAGATGTGTAAATGGAGAAATGTGGAAACAGCTTCTGAATGTGCCGCGCGCCTGACGTCATAGTCCCGCCTTCTGCTCCGTTAACCCACCCAGAAATAAACTACATTAAATCTATAACCTTTATAAACAGCAAAAAAAAAACAACAACTCCACAGTGAAATTATTAGAGACCTTAATACATCAACCATAAAAACTCATGTCTCCCTCTAACGCCCCCCATATTCTAATTTTCAATACTCTCTTGATCTCTAATAAAAGTTATTAAAGTATAAAATCATCTTTAATACCTTATTTCTTACCATGCCCATTATGAATGTAATTTGTTTCTAGATATTATGTAATTTTTTTTTGTCTTTCTCGTTGTATATGTATATGTGTCCGTTTTTTTTTTTTTTTTTATAAATAAATAAATAAAAATAAAAAATAAAAACACCCAGAAATAATAAATCCTGCAAGCATCAAAACGGAAACATGTTTTAAGGAACTAGCTTTTATCTAGTCTCATTTTAATTTAATTTCTGTTTTATCCTAAGTTTACCTGCACGGTGGCTGAGTGGATAGCACTCTCGCCTCTCAGCAAGAAGGTCCTGGGTTCGAATCCCGGTTGGACCAGGGCCTTTCTGAGTGGAGTTTGCATGTTCTCCCCGTGTCTGCGTAGGTTTCCTCCGGGTGCTCCGGTTTCCCCTACCACTAAAAATATGTACAATAGGTCTGGCATGTGCCTCCTGTACTGGCACCCCCACTCCCAAAAATAACAATTGTAAACCGCTTTGAGACTATAAATAAAGGTTACTTACTTACTACTTACTACCTTAATGTATGTACACTTTTCCTACTTCAAAAAACAAAAAAAATCTGTTAATCTGTGAATCATCCTGGGCAGAATCCACAAACACAAGTCAAAATGTTGAAATATAAAACATATTTTTAAAATGTAGCAAAATGAAATGATCTATATAAGCGATACTCATCTTTCACATCACCCAAAAACAATAAAAACCTTCTCACTATTCGAAACAGTTTCCATCCATCCTGTTGTTTTTTTGTTTTCTCTTTTCTTGTACTGTGTTTCATGTAGAATTGTTGATGTTCTTTTTCATAATAACTCTGGCTCCCCAACCCCCCTCCACCCAAACTCTGGTTACATGTTATCCTCTTGTGGTACCTTATTGTCTATTTAAGTTCGACCGCACACTGAACTGAACTGTACCTTCTTCATTATCCTTCATTAAAAAAAGATTCGTTTTTTTCCCAAAAAAATCAAAACACCCCATGGTTTACAGTTGAAACAGGTTTAAGATAAGATAGTGAGATATTCCTTCATTCGTCCCACAAACAGAGTCTATTATTTAAGATAATTGACAATATCCATCCATCCATTTTCCTCCCCTTAATCCATTTCTGGGTCGGGGGGTGGCCAGAGATGCCACCCAGTACACAAAGCAGATACAGTATATGACAATAGAATTACAATAATAAAAAATAAATAAATCAAAATAAACTCTGGTTTTAAGGTACATTGAATTGTAAGTATATTAAATTAATCGTCAATGATTAAAGAGAAGCATTGGCGACAACATGAAACTGGACAAAACACAAGAAAAGAACAGAATAATAGCACCTAACCAGAGGGACACAAGGCCCCTCCTCCCTCCACGACACATATCAACCAAAGCAACCAGTCCTTTTTAATTCTGTAAAGGAGGGAACACATAACTCCAGTGTTAAAATCACTCCACTGACTTCTTGTGGAGTATAGAGTCCAATATAAACTCTTCTTTTGACATACAACGGCATATATACGGCATGGCTCCCTCCGATACCCCCAAGACTGCTAATGTCATATCAAAGAAGGATGAGGAAGGAAAATCCCTCTTTACAATCCATTGTCTGAATTTCAGCACAAGCCAACAGCCCAATCAAACAACCTCCCCACTGCACAGCCCCCACATGAGCGTTTACCCTCAGAGGCACTATCAGCCACAGAAGCAACAGATAAAAAAATTCTGCAACATCACTCTGCTCAATAAAAGCCGATAACTTGAATCGTCTCTTTGTTCGGGGAAAGTACAATGCTCCTTAGCTCTCATGAATCTCCTGTTTCTGTATTCGGGCATGTGCAATGAATTTTGTGTTTCCAACTGCACATACACTTTGTCAAGCCCAATGTACTTCTCGATCTGCACCGCAATAGCACTTTAGTGGATGTATGTACTGTGTTTCCTTTTGTGCAAATACTGTGTCTATTTGTGCTAGTGTATTCTTCAGTATCCTTGCACTGACTGTGAGGATGAGACTGAGAGTGTTATAGTATGTTCTTGTGTTCCGGTTGTCCTGATGTTGAGAGTGCCTTGTAGTTTGTTTGTGTCCATCAGCACTGTGAGCCTAAGACACATTTCCCTGAGGGGACAATAAAGTTGAACCTTGAACCTTGTCTGTTTCATGGCGTGATGATGGGATTCCTGAACCAGCCTCTATCAGCTTCTGTCCTGGGTCTACAGCTTCAGCCCTGGGTCTACAGCTTCAGTCCTGGGTCTACAGCTTCAGTCCTGGGTCTACAGCTTCAGTCCTGCAGTCTACAGCTTCAGTCCTGGGTCTACAGCTTCAGTCCTGCAGTCTACAGCTTCAGTCCTGGGTCTACAGCTTCAGTCCTGCAGTCTACAGCTTCAATCCTGGGTCTACAGCTTCAATCCTGGGTCTACAGCTTCAGTCCTGGGTCTATAGCTTCAGTCCTGCAGTCTAAAGCTTCAGTCCTGGGTCTACAGCTTAAGTCCGGCAGTCTACAGCTTCAGTCCTGGGTCTACAGCTTCAGTCCTGGGTCTACAGCTTAAGTCCTGCAGTCTACAGTTTCAGTCCAGGGTTTCTGAGTGGTTCCTTGCTGATGCAGGAGTGTTAGGGTGACACACAAAGAAGTGTAATTCGACACACACACATGCACCACACACACACAAACACACACATGTTTATTCTTTGCATTATTTCAAATTTGATATTATTACTATTTACAGTCCATGATTATTACATTATTATCGCGGAAGTGAAACAAAAACTTCATGAGCGTGCGTTGGCGTTTCAATCAAATGATACAGTTGCCTATAAGCTATCCTGTTACTCATTGAAACGTTCTATTAAATCTGCAAAGCGCAGTTACGGGGACAGGTTAAAGGGTTATTTTAAGGAAGATGACCCTCGGCGCATGTGGAGCGGTATTAAAGCCATCACGTCCTGGAAACCTAGTGCTGGGAAAATCGGATCTGTTGGCCCAGCTCTGTCTAATGAGCTGAACACGTTCTACTGCCGCTTCGAATCCGCTGATGCCTGTCCTACTGTCTTTCCTGATTGTCTCAATCAAGGTACCTTCACCGTGACTCAGGAGGCAGTCCAGCGGGTCTTGTCCAGCACCATTGTCCGGAAAGCCCCAGGCCCGGACGGCATCCCTCCCCGTGTCCTGAAACTGTGCTCTGAGCAACTTGCCCCTGTGCTAACAGACATTTTCAACCTGTCGCTAAGGAACTGTACTGTGCCGAACTGCTTCAAAGAGTCGACCATTATCCCAGTTCCTAAGAAAACTCCTGTGACATGCCTGAATGACTATCGTCCTGTGGCCCTCACGTCTGTTCTTATGAAGACTTTCGAGCGGCTTGTGCTGGACTTCATTAAGAGCCAGATCCCTGTGAGTGTTGACCCGCTCCAGTTTGTTACAGACAGAACAGGAGTGTGGAGGATGCCATCTCCTTTGCTCTGAACTCTGTCTACAGTCACTTGGACAATAGGAAATCTGTTGCAAGAATGCTGTTCATTGATTATAGCTCTGCTTTTAATTGTCTTGTCCCAGGTAAACTGATTGAAAAGCTCATGTCTCTCGGTTCAAGTGTTGCCATGTGTAAATGGATTTTTATCTTTTTAACTGACAGATCTCAGAGAGTGAAAATCAATGACTGTTTTTCAGATGTTGTTTCTGTGAGCACTGGTTCTCCTCAGGGATGTATTTTGAGTCCTTTACTTTTTACATTGTACACTCATGATTGTGTGTCTTCCTCAGACTCTAACCTGATCATCAAATATGCTGATGACACCACCATCATCGGTCTCATCAGTAATAACGATGAATCGTCTTATAGAGCCGAGATCCAAAACGTGGTTCAGTGGAGTAAGGCTAACAACCTCCAGCTGAACGCATCCAAAACATGTGAACTGGTCTTTGATTTTAGTCGCAATAGTTCTCACTTGCCTGTCGTAATCGATAACTTCCAAGTGCAGATTGTAGAGGAGTGCAAGTTTCTGGGTCTAACTCTGTCTAATGACCTGAAATGGGTTAAAAACACTGACCGGGTCGTAAAGAAAGCTCGTCAGCGTCTCTACTTCCTGCGGAAACTTAGAGAATTTACCACTAACTCTAAGATTCTGCTGAACTTTTATCGCTGCACCATTGAGAGTTTACTTGTTGGTTCTGTGTCTGTGTGGTTTGGAAACATCACAGATAAAGAAAAGAGAGCTTTAAACAAGGTGCTCCGCTCTGCAAAGAGGACCGTGGGCTGTGAACTTCCTGTCTTGGAGGCTCTTTATCAATCCAGACTTTTTAACAGTGCCCTGAGAATTATCAATGACTCTTCTGGCCACCCAGGAAAAGCCTTGTTCCAGCTTCTTCCCTCTGGCAGAAGATACTGTTCTCTGAGATGCAGGACATCTCGTTATGCTAATAGTTTTTTTCCACGAGCTGTTAACAGTTTGAATAGAGCACTTTAATGTTTTTTGCACTCGTATAGATCTGTTTTAAGTTGGTCAACTTCACGGTGACATTTGTTTACTGTTTTTAAAATTTGTTTTATTTTTGTCTTTTAATGTTGTTTTGTGTCTGTACTTGTCCTGTGCACACTGGGAACTTTTACTAATGTATTCCAATGTAGTGTTACTGCAAATGGCGAATAAATGAATCTGAATCTGAATCTGAATCTTATTGTGTTTATGAGCGACCTCTAGCGGTTAATCTCTGTAATGTCAAAAACTTGTGTCACGTGACTTTCAGGTCCAACATGGCGGCGGAAGAGCTGCCTTCACAGTTCGATGTGGTGATAGTGGGAACAGGTACGAGTCAGTTCTGTGACAGGGCGTCTGGACCCGGTACTGGTCTGGACCAGGTCTGAACCCGGTCTGGACCCGCACCGAACCCGGTCTCGACCCCTTTGTCTCTAGTCCAGTTTAGAATCCGCTGAATCAGTCTGGGGATGGGCATTAGCTCCGTGCTAACACACACATGCATTCTTAATGGGAAAGGCTAACCGACTAGCGGCCAAAGCTAACAGCTGCTTTTGTTTACACACTGTTACTGCAAATGTTTATCTTTATTATTTCATTCAGTCCGGTTCTGTAGGTCCAGGACCAGATCTGTAGAGCCTGGACTAGACCACTAGGACTAGAACCAGACCTCTAGGACCAGAACCAGACCTCGAGACCTAGACCGGACCTCTACTTGGACCAGATCTGTAGGACCATGTCTTCTTGATGCTGTTGTCTCCTGCTGGTCTGTATGCTACACTGCATGAGTCAGCAGTACAGACATTTTGGCACAAATGTATCACGTCCTCTGCTCTGCTGCTGTGTCGGCAATTTGATATAGCCTGTGGAAATAAAAGGATAGACTGGGATCAGAATTTCTGCATGACATGGTGTTAAGATCACTGAATTCACTTAAAAAAAGTTAAAGTTTCTGTTTTTATGACCTAAGAATGGGCTCCAGGTTGTAACATCCGAGCCCTGTGGCCCTAACCCTAACCCGGGGGCCCTAATCTGCTGTTGACAACTTTAGTCAGATCAGGTTAAATAACATTTGAGAAATCAGGATCTAGTTTTACTTGAGTGAATGCAATAGGCTTCTCTATTATTTCTAATAATAATAATGATTATTATTCTTATTTTTATTTATAATAATGTATAGTTATATGTCCACATGTGTTCTGCTGAGTCACAGGTCTGTGTGAGTCTGTGGTCGCAGCTGCCTGCTCCAGAGTGGGACAGAATGTGCTGCACTTGGACAGGTGAGCTTGGCGCCCCCTAAGGGTCACTCACTGAAACACATGTGTTCTTTGTATGATTGTTCCTTCTGTGTCCTGCAGGAGGAGTTATTACGCTGGAGACTGGGCCAGTTTCACCTTTACTGGACTCCTGTCTTGGATCCAGGAGCAGCAGGTAATGGGCTTCTTCCCTGGCCAGCCAAAAGGGGACCCAGAGTCAGACCCGGGCCTCCTGCTGAGCGAGAGAGACCAGGGTCTGTCAAGAACGTCCTGCTTAGAGAGAGACCAGGGTCTGACCCGAGCCTCCTGCTGAGAGAGAGAGACAAGGGTCTGACCCGGGCCTCCTGCTGAGAGAGACATGGGTCTGACCCAGGCTGAGAGAGCTCTGGATCTAAACATAGAGCATATATTAGAGTGGACAGAGCGCACATAACAGGAGCAGACGTGTTGCTAAGGCAAGCTGGAGTTTTCCCCCGCAAATGAGAGCATCTGATTGTGTAGTCCTTTTATGGCTCATGGATTTACAAAGACAATATCACAATATTAACACCAGGATCACAGAGAGAAATAAACCACAAAGTTATCTCCCTGACTGCCAGCCGTTTTTGATGATTTCACTGAATCTCAAGACCCACAGAATATTATGTCCTAAGACTATGTGAAATATGAAACCAGATTCTGAAAGACTGGATTGTCTACATTCATCAGCAAAAATAAGTTTGTTTCTAGCTATTTTTGTTGTCCTGTAATCTCCGGTCGAAAAGAGGGTCTCAGACAAAATACGTCAATGGCAGTCAACGAGTTAAGCCCAATATGGTGAGTGTGACACACACACTTATTGAGCTTTACTTTTACAGAGTGAGTTGGAGCCAAACTTCATCATGAACAAAAAGAGACCTGAGTCTGACTCGAGAGATTCAGTAAAACTGGTTCAGAACGGGTTTGGACCTGGCTTAGTCCTGATTTAAACTAGACCGGGCCAAGAACTGGGTTAGACCCTATAGACAGTTGAACCTGGTTCCTTTTCATTTTCATGATCATTGTTGCCTATAGGTGGAGTCAGAGCCAGAGCAGCAATGTGATTGGTCTTCTCTGCTTGAGGAAGGGGAGGAGCTTGTTCATCTGAACCAATCATATTCATCCATCAGTAATGTGCAGGTGCTCTGCTACGTCAGGTATTACACACAGACACACACACACACACACAAACAGACCGTGACTGTCAACTTCACATTTGTGTTCTGTCCACAGTGAGGAAGAGGAGGCTGAGAAGAACCAGGAGATAAAGGAGGAGGAGCTGAAGAAGGAAGAAGAGGAGCAGAAGGAGGAAGAGGAAGAACAGAAGGAGGAGGAGCTGAAGAAGGAAGAGGAGGAGCAGAAAGAGGAAGAGGAGGAGCTGAAGAAGGAAGAGGAGGTGCAGAAGGAGGAGCTGAGAGAAAAAGGTGAGCATGTGAGATCATAAACCATGATCCAACTAAGATCTTCTCGTCAAACACACGGCCAGATGTTAGGCCCTGCCTCTGACCCTGCCTCTGACCCTGCCTCTGACCCTGCCTCTGACCCTGCCTCTGACCCTGCCTCTGACCCTGCCTCTGACCCTGCCCTGCCTCTGACCCTGCCTCTGACCCTGCCTCTGACCCAGCCCCTGCCTCTGACCCTGCCCCTTCCCCTGACCCTGCCTCTGACCCTGCCCCTTCCCCTGACCCTGCCTCTGACCCTGCCTCTGACCCTGCCTCTGACCCTGCCCCTGCCTCTGACCCTGACTCTGACCCTGCCTCTGACCCAGCCCCTGCCTCTGACCCTGCCCTGCCTCTGACCCTGACTCTGACCCTGCCCCTGCCTCTGACCCTGCCCCTGCCTCTGACCCTGCCTCTGACCCTGCCCCTGCCTCTGACCCTGCCTCTGCCCTGTCCCTGCCTCTGACCCTGCCCCTGCCTCTGACCCTGACTCTGACCCTGCCCCTGCCTCTGACCCTGCCTCTGCCCTGTCCCTGCCCCTGCCTCTGACCCTGCCCCTTCCCCTGACCCTGCCTCTGACCCTGCCCCTTCCCCTGACCCTGCCTCTGACCCTGCCTCTGCCCCTGACCCTGCCCCTGCCCCTGCCTCTGACCCTGCCCCTGCCCCTGCCTCTGACCCTGCCTCTGCCCTGGGTCTTAGAGCCGATACTCATTGACACTTTTTTATGTCTCAGGTGCAGAACAGTCCCAAGACCAATCGACCAATGAGGTGAGAGCACAGAGCAGGTCTCCATGATGAAAGAGCCGTTCAAGGACATACACCTTTTCCCCTCCTAGATACCAGATAGCCAATCAGAGCACGAGAGTGAACCCAACAGCCAATCACGGCGCAGGATGCTGACTCTGACTGATCTGGTGAAAGATGGACGCCGATTCAACATTGACCTGGTGTCAAAGGTCAAACAGACATTTTATCAGGCTAACGCTATCACTAAGGCTATCACTAATGCTAACATTAATGCTTATGCGGGTGGTATTGCTATCAATGCCATAATTAAAGCTAATGCTATTGCTAACCATAATGCTAAAATTAATGCTAATACTGATGCTAATACAAACATTAATGTGAATGTTAAAGCTAACTAATGTTAATACAAACATCAATGTGAATGTTAATGCTAACATCAATGCTAATGCTATTGTCAAAGCTCCTGAAAACAGGCTGTAGTTCCAGCTTCTACCACAAGGTGGAGTGTTGACTGTCCTCTGTTCACAGCTGCTGTTTTCTCGCGGCTCATTGGTCGATCTCCTCATCCAATCCAACGTCAGTCGCTATGCAGAGTTCAAGAACGTGAGCCGCGTGCTGACGTTTCTGAACGGAGAAATTATCCAGGTGAGTCCCCCCCAGACACCCCCACAGGAGTCCTGCAGCAACAGTAGTAACAGTAGTATTACCCTCTGTGTTCTGCAACAGTAGTAACGATAGTAACAGTAGTATTCCCCCAGGTGCCCTGCATTAGTAGTAACAGGAGTAACCATAGTAACAGTAGTAACAGTAGTATTCCCCCAGGTGCCCTGCATTAGTAGTAACAGGAGTAACCATAGTAACAGTAGTAACAGTAGTATTCCCCCAGGTGCCCTGCAGTAGTAGTAACCATAGTAACAGTAGTAACAGCAGTATTCCCCCAGGTGCCCTGCAGTAGTAGTAACAGGAGTAACCATAGTAACAGTAGTAACAGTAGTATTCCCCCAGGTGCCCTGCATTAGTAGTAACAGGAGTAACCATAGTAACAGTAGTAACAGTAGTATTCCCCCAGGTGCCCTGCAGTAGTAGTAACCATAGTAACAGTAGTAACAGCAGTATTCCCCCAGGTGCCCTGCAGTAGTAGTAACAGGAGTAACCATAGTAACAGTAGTAACAGTAGTATTCCCCCAGGTGCCCTGCATTAGTAGTAACAGGAGTAACCATAGTAACAGTAGTAACAGTAGTATTCCCCCAGGTGCCCTGCAGTAGTAGTAACCATAGTAACAGTAGTAACAGCAGTATTCCCCCAGGTGCCCTGCAGTAGTAGTAACAGGAGTAACCATAGTAACAGTAGTAACAGTAGTATTCCCCCAGGTGCCCTGCAGTAGTAGTAACAGGAGTAACCATAGTAACAGTAGTAACAGCAGTATTCCCCCAGGTGCCCTGCAGTAGTAGTAACCATAGTAACAGTAGTAACAGCAGTATTCCCCCAGGTGCCCTGCAGCCGAGCAGATGTGTTTTCCAGTCGTCGTCTTTCTGTCGTTGATAAAAGGAAACTCATGAAGTTCCTCACTTCCTGTTTGGACCAGGATGACATCATCACAGGTGAGCTCAGCCAATCCCAGCGCAGCCAAGTGGAGTGGGCGTGTCCTAGTTGTAGATAATGCCATCATTTAAGTGCACTTATGTGTTCCAGAGTATGTTGGACGCCCGTATATGGAGTTCCTAGAAAAGCAGTCGTTGGGCGAGGATCTACGGCACTTCCTATTTTACTCTATCGCCGGGGCGACAGAGGGCACACCCACAGAGGCGGGACTTGCTTCCACGCGGAATTTCCTGCGATGTCTCGGCCGTTATGGCAACACACCCTTCCTGTTTCCTGTGTATGGCCTCGGCGAAATCCCCCAGTGTTTCTGCAGGTGTGGAATTATACCTTAGATACCATAAAAATATACATAAATATTTATTCATATAAAATATATATATTTTTATACCAGACGGTTGCTGGTCTCTCTGTTGTAGCTCTCTCTGGTCTGTTTCAGGATGTGTGCAGTGTTTGGAGGAGTGTACTGTCTCCGACACTCGGCTCAGAGTCTGGTGCTGAACAGAGCCACCAACAGGTGAGTCTGGGAACTGCACCTTTCTCCTCTCTCTCCTCCCCTCTCTCTCACCTACTGTCTCCTCCTCTCTCTCACCTACTGTCTCCTCCCCTCTCTCTCACCTACTGTCTCCTCCCCTCTCTCTCAACTACTGTCTCCTCCTCTCTCTCACCTACTGTCTCCTCCTCTCTCTCACCTACTGTCTCCTCCCCTCTCTCTCACCTACTGTCTCCTCCCCTCTCTCTCACCTACTGTCTCCTCTCACCTACTGTCTCCTCCCCTCTCTCTCACCTACTGTCTCCTCTCTCTCACCTACTGTCTCCTCCCCTCTCTCTCACCTACTGTCTCCTCTCTCTCACCTACTGTCTCCTCCCCTCTCTCTCACCTACTGTCTCCTCTCTCTCACCTACTGTCTCCTCCTCTCTCTCACCTACTGTCTCCTCCCCTCTCTCTCACCTACTGTCTCCTCTCTCTCACCTACTGTCTCCTCCTCTCTCTCACCTACTCTCTCCTCCCCTCTCTCTCACCTACTGTCTCCTCCTCTCTCACCTACTGTCTCCTCCTCTCTCTCACCTACTGTCTCCTCCTCTCTCTCACCTACTGTCTCCTCCCCTCTCTCTCACCTACTGTCTCCTCCTCTCTCTCACCTACTGTCTCCTCCTCTCTCTCACCTACTGTCTCCTCCTCTCTCTCACCTACTGTCTCCTCCTCTCTCTCACCTACTGTCTCCTCCTCTCTCTCACCTACTGTCTCCTCCCCTCTCTCTCACCTACTGTCTCAACAGTTAATAGATTAACAAACCCCCCTGTTCAGATGCCATTAGAGCTAACTTCCAAACGTAAATGTAATGAGTTTGCACATTTTTTCAATGACAAGGTTCAAGGCATCAAAAACGCCATTGTCTCCAATCCACAACAGCCTAAAAGGCTCTTTGAGCTAATTTACTTTGCACCTGTAAATGATCAAACTGTCCAAGAGATAATCTCCAGTTTGAGCTCCTCCACATGCAGCCTGGATGTACTACCCACTAGATTTCTAAAGTCTGTTCTGAGCAGTCTGTTACCTTCACTCACACAGATAGTAAACATGTCCCTTCATTCTGGAATATTCCCAAAGGCCCTGAAAACTGCAGTCATCAGGCCCCTGCTTAAAAAGAGCAGTCTGGATGCTACGGTACTTAACAACTATCGTCCCATCTCAAATCTGCCATTTATGGGGAAAGTCCTTGAAAAAGTTGTCTACCTACAGCTTACTAGATTTCTTATAATCAACAACTCATTTGATATGTTTCAGTCCGGCTTTAGACCCCACCACAGCACTGAGACTGCTCTCGTCAAGGTTACAAACGATATCCGGCTGAACACTGACGCAGGCAAAGTCTCAATCCTAATCTTGTTAGATCTAAGTGCTGCCTTTGACACCGTCGACCATGAGATCCTCTTACAGAGACTAGAGGACTGGGTTGGCGTCGCTGGCACCGCCCTAAGTTGGTTTAGGTCTTACCTTGAAGACAGGAAGTACTTTGTGGAGATTGGAAACTGTGTCTCAGATAATATGGCCCTGACCTGTGGAGTCCCACAGGGGTCGATCCTGGGACCTCTTCTGTTCAATCTCTACATGCTGCCGTTAGGTCAGTTAATACGCAGAAACAAAGTTTCCTATCATAACTATGCAGACGACACTCAGATCTATGTCTCACTGACTGCAGGAGAACATGGACCAGTGGACTCACTCCTTCACTGTATCCAACAGATCAGTGAGTGGATGCAAAACAACTTCCTTCAGCTAAACGCAGACAAAACTGAAATGATTGTCTTTGGTCCCCAGAAACAAAGAGAGAGCGTCATCTGTCACCTACAGTCTCTCTCCCTAAAACCTTCAAACAAGGTCAGAAATCTAGGGGTAATACTGGACTCAGACTTAAATTTTAATAGCCACATCAAATCAGTAACATCAGCAGCTTTTTACCATCTAAAAAACATTTCCAGGATCAAAAACATAGTGTCTAAAGCAGACTTGGAGATTCTTATCCATGCATTTGTCTCCAGTAGGTTAGACTACTGCAATGGCCTGCTCACAGGTCTGTCCAAACAGGCTGTAAAACAGCTGCAGTACATTCAAAATGCAGCAGCTCGAGTCCTGACTAGAACCAGGAAGTACGACCATATTAGTCCGGTCCTCAGGTCTCTGCACTGGCTTCCTGTGGCTCAGAGAATAGACTTTAAAACAGCTTTGCTTGTTACAAGTCTCTCCATGGCCTCGCACCAAAATATATTAGTGACATGTTAGTCCCATATGAACCAGCCCGGACTCTGAGGAGCACAGGGACTGGACTCCTGTTAGTGCCCAGAGTCAGAACTAAACATGGGGAGGCTGCTTTTCAGATTCATGCTGCTAAAATCTGGAACATTCTTCCTGAAGATGTGAGACAGGCCTCCTCTCTGACTATGTTTAAAACCAAGTTAAAAACTGTGCTGTTTAGCTGTGCATACAACTGAGGGATTTTATATTTTTATCTTTCTTTTTAATGTTCTGTGATTATTTATGATTTTAATGCTATCTTGTTCAGCACTTTGAGTTGCCTTGTGTATGAATTGTGCTATACAAATAAACATGCCTTGCCTGTCTCCTCCCCTCTCTCTCACCTACTGTCTCCTCCTCTCTCTCACCTACTGTCTCCTCCTCTCTCTCACCTACTGTCTCCTCCTCTCTCTCACCTACTGTCTCCTCCTCTCTCTCACCTACTGTCTCCTCCTCTCTCTCACCTACTGTCTCCTCCCCTCTCTCTCACCTACTGTCTCCTCCCCTCTCTCTCACCTACTCTCTCCTCCCCTCTCTCTCACCTACTGTCTCCTCCCCTCTCTCTCACCTACTGTCTCCTCCTCTCTCTCACCTACTCTCTCCTCCCCTCTCCCTCACCTACTCTCTCCTCCCCTCTCTCTCACCTACTGTCTCCTCCCCTCTCTCTCACCTACTGTCTCCTCCTCTCTCTCACCTACTGTCTCCTCCCCTCTCTCACCTACTGTCTCCTCCCCTCTCTCTCACCTACTCTCTCCTCCCCTCTCTCTCACCTACTCTCTCCTCCCCTCTCTCTCACCTACTCTCTCCTCCCCTCTCTCTCACCTACTGTCTCCCCTCTCTCTCACCTACTGTCTCCTCCCCTCTCTCTCACCTACTGTCTCCTCCTCTCTCACCTACTGTCTCCTCCTCTCTCTCACCTACTGTCTCCTCCCCTCTCTCACCTACTGTCTCCTCCCCTCTCTCTCACCTACTCTCTCCTCCCCTCTCTCTCACCTACTCTCTCCTCCCCTCTCTCTCACCTACTGTCTCCCCTCTCTCTCACCTACTGTCTCCTCCCCTCTCTCTCACCTACTGTCTCCTCCCCTCTCTCACCTACTGTCTCCTCCTCTCTCTCAACTACTGTCTCCTCCTCTCTCTCACCTACTGTCTCCTCCTCTCTCTCACCTACTGTCTCCTCCCCTCTCTCTCACCTACTGTCTCCTCCTCTCTCTCACCTACTCTCTCCTCCCCTCTCTCTCACCTACTGTCTCCTCCCCTCTCTCTCACCTACTCTCTCCTCCCCTCTCTCTCACCTATTGTCTCCTCCCCTCTCTCTCACCTACTGTCTCCTCCTCTCTCTCACCTACTGTCTCCTCCCCTCTCTCTCACCTACTGTCTCCTCCCCTCTCTCTCACCTACTGTCTCCTCCCCTCTCTCTCACCTACTGTCTCCTCCTCTCTCTCACCTACTGTCTCCTCCTCTCTCTCACCTACTGTCTCCTCCCCTCTCTCTCACCTACTGTCTCCTCCCCTCTCTCTCACCTACTCTCTCCTCCCCTCTCTCTCACCTATTGTCTCCTCCCCTCTCTCTCACCTACTGTCTCCTCCTCTCTCTCACCTACTGTCTCCTCCTCTCTCTCACCTACTGTCTCCTCCCCTCTCTCTCACCTACTGTCTCCTCTCTCTCACCTACTGTCTCCTCCCCTCTCTCTCACCTACTGTCTCTTCCTCTCTCTCACCTACTGTCTCCTCCCCTCTCTCTCACCTACTGTCTCCTCCTCTCTCTCACCTACTGTCTCCTCTCTCTCACCTACTGTCTCCTCCCCTCTCTCTCACCTACTGTCTCCTCCTCTCTCTCACCTACTGTCTCCTCTCTCTCACCTACTGTCTCCTCCCCTCTCTCTCACCTACTTTCTCCTCCTCTCTCTCACCTACTCTCTCCTCCCCTCTCTCTCACCTACTGTCTCCTCCTCTCTCACCTACTGTCTCCTCCTCTCTCTCATCTACTGTCTCCTCCTCTCTCTCACCTACTGTCTCCTCCCCTCTCTCTCACCTACTTTCTCCTCCTCTCTCTCACCTACTCTCTCCTCCCCTCTCTCTCACCTACTGTCTCCTCCTCTCTCTCACCTACTGTCTCCTCCTCTCTCTCATCTACTGTCTCCTCCTCTCTCTCACCTACTGTCTCCTCCTCTCTCTCACCTACTGTCTCCTCCCCTCTCTCTCACCTACTGTCTCCTCCTCTCTCTCACCTACTGTCTCCTCCTCTCTCTCACCTACTGTCTCCTCCCCTCTCTCTCACCTACTGTCTCCTCTCTCTCACCTACTGTCTCCTCCCCTCTCTCTCACCTACTGTCTCTTCCTCTCTCTCACCTACTGTCTCCTCCCCTCTCTCTCACCTACTGTCTCCTCCTCTCTCTCACCTACTGTCTCCTCTCTCTCACCTACTGTCTCCTCCCCTCTCTCTCACCTACTGTCTCCTCCTCTCTCTCACCTACTGTCTCCTCTCTCTCACCTACTGTCTCCTCCCCTCTCTCTCACCTACTTTCTCCTCCTCTCTCTCACCTACTCTCTCCTCCCCTCTCTCTCACCTACTGTCTCCTCCTCTCTCACCTACTGTCTCCTCCTCTCTCTCATCTACTGTCTCCTCCTCTCTCTCACCTACTGTCTCCTCCCCTCTCTCTCACCTACTTTCTCCTCCTCTCTCTCACCTACTCTCTCCTCCCCTCTCTCTCACCTACTGTCTCCTCCTCTCTCTCACCTACTGTCTCCTCCTCTCTCTCATCTACTGTCTCCTCCTCTCTCTCACCTACTGTCTCCTCCTCTCTCTCACCTACTGTCTCCTCCCCTCTCTCTCACCTACTGTCTCCTCCTCTCTCTCACCTACTGTCTCCTCCTCTCTCTCACCTACTGTCTCCTCCTCTCTCTCTCACCTACTCTCTCCTCCCCTCTCTCTCACCTACTGTCTCCTCCCCTCTCTCTCACCTACTGTCTCCTCCTCTCTCTCACCTACTCTCTCCTCCCCTCTCTCTCACCTACTGTCTCCTCCCCTCTCTCTCACCTACTCTCTCCTCCCCTCTCTCTCACCTATTGTCTCCTCCCCTCTCTCTCACCTACTGTCTCCTCCCCTCTCTCTCACCTACTCTCTCCTCCCCTCTCTCTCACCTACTCTCTCCTCCCCTCTCTCTCACCTACTCTCTCCTCCCCTCTCTCTCACCTACTGTCTCCTCCTCTCTCTCATCTACTGTCTCCTCCTCTCTCTCACCTACTGTCTCCTCCTCTCTCTCATCTACTGTCTCCTCCTCTCTCACCTACTGTCTCCTCCTCTCTCTCATCTACTGTCTCCTCCTCTCTCACCTACTGTCTCCTCTCTCTCATCTACTGTCTCCTCCTCTCTCACCTACTGTCTCCTCCTCTCTCATCTACTGTCTCCTCCTCTCTCTCACCTACTGTCTCCTCCTCTCTCTCACCTACTGTCTCCTCCTCTCTCTCACCTACTGTCTCCTCCCCTCTCTCTCACCTACTGTCTCCTCCTCTCTCTCACCTACTGTCTCCTCCTCTCTCTCACCTACTGTCTCCTCCTCTCTCTCATCTACTGTCTCCTCCTCTCTCTCATCTACTGTCTCCTCCTCTCTCTCACCTACTGTCTCCTCCCCTCTCTCTCACCTACTGTCTCCTCCTCTCTCTCACCTACTGTCTCCTCCCCTCTCTCTCACCTACTGTCTCCTCCTCTCTCTCACCTACTGTCTCCTCCTCTCTCTCATCTACTGTCTCCTCCTCTCTCTCATCTACTGTCTCCTCCTCTCTCTCACCTACTGTCTCCTCCTCTCTCTAATCTACTGTCACCTCCTCTCTCACCTACTGTCTCCTCCTCTCTCTCATCTACTGTCTCCTCCTCTCTCACCTACTGTCTCCTCCTCTCTCTCTACTACTGTCTCCTCCTCTCTCACCTACTGTCTCCTCCTCTCTCATCTACTGTCTCCTCCTCTCTCTCACCTACTGTCTCCTCCTCTCTCTCACCTACTGTCTCCTCCTCTCTCTCACCTACTGTCTCCTCCCCTCTCTCTCACCTACTGTCTCCTCCTCTCTCACCTACTGTCTCCTCCTCTCTCATCTACTGTCTCCTCCTCTCTCTCACCTACTGTCTCCTCCTCTCTCTCACCTACTGTCTCCTCCTCTCTCTCACCTACTGTCTCCTCCCCTCTCTCTCACCTACTGTCTCCTCCCCTCTCTCACCTACTGTCTCCTCCCCTCTCTCTCACCTACTCTCTCCTCCTCTCTCTCACCTACTGTCTCCTCTCTCTCATCTACTGTCTCCTCCTCTCTCACCTACTGTCTCCTCCTCTCTCATCATCTACTGTCTCCTCCTCTCTCTCACCTACTGTCTCCTCCTCTCTCTCACCTACTGTCTCCTCCTCTCTCTCACCTACTGTCTCCTCCCCTCTCTCTCACCTACTGTCTCCTCCTCTCTCTCACCTACTGTCTCCTCCTCTCTCTCACCTACTGTCTCCTCCTCTCTCTCATCTACTGTCTCCTCCTCTCTCTCACCTACTGTCTCCTCCTCTCTCTCACCTACTGTCTCCTCCCCTCTCTCTCACCTACTGTCTCCTCCTCTCTCTCACCTACTGTCTCCTCCCCTCTCTCTCACCTACTGTCTCCTCCCCTCTCTCTCACCTACTGTCTCCTCCTCTCTCTCACCTACTGTCTCCTCCTCTCTCTCACCTACTGTCTCCTCCCCTCTCTCTCACCTACTGTCTCCTCCCCTCTCTCTCACCTACTTTCTCCTCCTCTCTCTCACCTACTCTCTCCTCCCCTCTCTCTCACCTACTGTCTCCTCCTCTCTCACCTACTGTCTCCTCCTCTCTCTCATCTACTGTCTCCTCCTCTCTCTCACCTACTGTCTCCTCCCCTCTCTCTCACCTACTTTCTCCTCCTCTCTCTCACCTACTCTCTCCTCCCCTCTCTCTCACCTACTGTCTCCTCCTCTCTCTCACCTACTGTCTCCTCCTCTCTCTCATCTACTGTCTCCTCCTCTCTCTCACCTACTGTCTCCTCCTCTCTCTCACCTACTGTCTCCTCCCCTCTCTCTCACCTACTGTCTCCTCCTCTCTCTCACCTACTGTCTCCTCCTCTCTCTCATCTACTGTCTCCTCCTCTCTCTCATCTACTGTCTCCTCCTCTCTCTCACCTACTGTCTCCTCCTCTCTCTCATCTACTGTCTCCTCCTCTCTCACCTACTGTCTCCTCCTCTCTCTCATCTACTGTCTCCTCCTCTCTCACCTACTGTCTCCTCCTCTCTCTCTACTACTGTCTCCTCCTCTCTCACCTACTGTCTCCTCCTCTCTCATCTACTGTCTCCTCCTCTCTCTCACCTACTGTCTCCTCCTCTCTCTCACCTACTGTCTCCTCCTCTCTCTCACCTACTGTCTCCTCCCCTCTCTCTCACCTACTGTCTCCTCCTCTCTCACCTACTGTCTCCTCCTCTCTCATCTACTGTCTCCTCCTCTCTCTCACCTACTGTCTCCTCCTCTCTCTCACCTACTGTCTCCTCCTCTCTCTCACCTACTGTCTCCTCCCCTCTCTCACCTACTGTCTCCTCCCCTCTCTCTCACCTACTCTCTCCTCCCCTCTCTCTCACCTACTCTCTCCTCCCCTCTCTCTCACCTACTCTCTCCTCCCCTCTCTCTCACCTACTGTCTCCCCCTCTCTCTCACCTACTGTCTCCTCCCCTCTCTCTCACCTACTGTCTCCTCCCCTCTCTCACCTACTGTCTCCTCCCCTCTCTCTCACCTACTCTCTCCTCCTCTCTCTCACCTACTGTCTCCTCCCCTCTCTCTCACCTACTCTCTCCTCCTCTCTCTCACCTACTGTCTCCTCCCCTCTCTCACCTACTGTCTCCTCCCCTCTCTCTCACCTACTGTCTCCTCCTCTCTCTCACCTACTGTCTCCTCCTCTCTCTCATCTACTGTCTCCTCCTCTCTCTCCTACTGTCTCCTCCTCTCTCTCACCTACTGTCTCCTCCTCTCTCTCACCTACTGTCTCCTCCCCTCTCTCTCACCTACTGTCTCCTCCCCTCTCTCACCTATTGTCTCCTCTTCAGGTGTGTCGCAGTGATCGACAGTCGTGGGCAGAGGATCAGCTGTTCCCACTGTGTCCTGGAGTCCGGACTCTTGGAGACCAGGAACGAGGCCGAGACTAGGTTTGAGACTAATGGGACTGGGACCGAGACCAAGACCAGAGATCAGTGCTGAGACAAGACCTTACAATAGTAAAGAGATAAAGCATGCAGTCTGTGTGAGAGACCTAGGTACCAGAGTATACTTTCAGACCAAAGCCGGACCCCAGGTCAAAGGGCATGTGCCAGGTCTTTATTCCAATAGCAGGAGCACTCCAAGTTCTCCATGGATGTGATCATTAATGTATACTTGTAGCATGGACGTCCCAAACCTTAGCAGAAGTGACATGTTCAGCTCCGCTTTGATTTCTCGTTTGACCCTTTGATCTCATGTGTGGCCCTCAGCTCTATGTCCAGAGCCATCCTCATCACAGACCGATCTGTCCTGGAGACAGACTCAGAACTCAGCCAGGTCTGAAACTGCTTTTTTCCATATTAACAACTTCCTTAGTTTCCATGGTAACTTCTTTTTTGGGTGTCTTTGTAATGATAGGTCTCCTTGGTAACCGTTCCTCCCCTGGGTCCTGGTTCTCCTTCAGTCAGAGTCGTGGAACTGAGCCCCTCCACCATGACCTGCATCAACGGAACATGTGAGAACTACTAATACTACTACTACTACTACTATTATTACTATTACTATTACTACGACTACTACTACTATTTCTACTACTACTAGGACATACTATGGACCAGGGGTAACTAGATCCTCACACACACAATCAATAATGATTCTTAAACCTGTTTTCTCAGACTTGGTGCACCTCACCTGTCCAGCATCTGGCTCTGCCCATCATGACCTGTTCCCCGTGGTAACCAGGATGTTCAGGACGCCTGAGTCACCTGACCACGGTGAGTCACAAAGAGTATTTACAACAAGAGGCAAAACTCCGTAGCAGTTTTGACAACAGCGCCAGAACAATTTCTCTTGAAACAGTCGCCTTTCTTTAGACAAAAAATGGTTTAGGCCGTGTTTAATAATGCAGTGTTAGAGCTACAGTGTTAGAGCTACAGTGTTAGAGCTACAGTGTTAGAGCTACAGTGTTAAAGCTACAGTGTTACAGCTACAGTGTTACAGCTACAGTGTTACAGCTACAGTGTTAGAGCTACAGTGTTAGAGCTACAGTGTTACAGCTACAGTGTTACAGCTACAGTGTTAGAGCTACAGTGTTACAGCTACAGTGTTAGAGCTACAGTGTTAGAGCTACAGTGTTAGAGCTACAGTGTTAGAGCTACAGTGTTAGAGCTACAGTGTTAGAGCTACAGTGTTAGAGCTACAGTGTTACAGCTACAGTGTTAAAGCTACAGTGTTAGAGCTACAGTGTTATAGCTACAGTGTTAGAGCTACAGTGTTACAGCTACAGTGTTAAAGCTACAGTGTTACAGCTACAGTGTTACAGCTACAGTGTTACAGCTACAGTGTTACAGCTACAGTGTTACAGCTACAGTGATAGAGCTACAGTGTTACAGCTACAGTGTTAGAGCTACAGTGTTAGAGCTACAGTGTTACAGCTACAGTGTTACAGCTACAGTGTTAGAGCTACAGTGGGACAGCTACAGTGTTACAGCTACAGTGTTAGAGCTACAGTGTTAGAGCTACAGTGTTAGAGCTACAGTGTTAGAGCTACAGTGGGACAGCTACAGTGTTACAGCTACAGTGTTACAGCTACAGTGTTAGAGCTACAGTGTTAGAGCTACAGTGTTAGAGCTACAGTGTTACAGCTACAGTGTTAGAGCTACAGTGTCAGCTACAGTGTTAGAGCTACAGTGTCAGCTACAGTGTTAGAGCTACGGTGTTAGAGCTACAGTGTTAGAGCTACAGTGTTAGAGCTACAGTGTTACTAACACTGTAGCTCTAACACTGTTAGAGCTACAGTGTTAGAGCTACAGTGTTAGAGCTACAGTGTTACAGCTACAGTGTTAGAGCTACAGTGTCAGCTACAGTGTTAGAGCTACAGTGTTAGAGCTACAGTGTTAGAGCTACAGTGTTAGAGCTACAGTGTTAGAGCTACAGTGTTAGAGCTACAGTGTTACAGCTACAGTGTTAGAGCTACAGTGTTACAGCTACAGTGTTAGAGCTACAGTGTCAGCTACAGTGTTAGAGCTACAGTGTTAGAGCTACAGTGTTAGAGCTACAGTGTTACAGCTACAGTGTTAGAGCTACAGTGTTACAGCTACAGTGTTACAGCTACAGTGTTACAGCTACAGTGTTACAGCTAAAGTGTTAGAGCTACAGTGTTACAGCTACAGTGTTAGAGCTACAGTGTTAGAGCTACAGTGTTAGAGCTACAGTGTTAGAGCTACAGTGTGTGCGGCGTCACCAAAAGCCCTGTATGATTTGCGCTCTGTTTGTGTAAATGGATATCTTTGACAGCCGTGCTCTGACAAAAGTGTTTTTATAAAAACTAATCCAAAAGCATTATTTTGTTCAACTCATTTTAGTTTAGTCTAAAGAAATTATAAAGATAAGTTCAGTTTCTTAGAGCGCTTCTGTATTGAACCTGTATTCTCTGACAGTTGTGTTGAGTTCAGTCCAAGATGGCGGCGCTGCAGCTGGCTTACAGGCTCATTTGTTGCAATGGGACGTTATATTGAGTTTCGCCTCTTGGTATTTCTGTACTCTTTGGTCCCATGACAAGAGCATGATCTGATGTGATTATGTCGTGATAACAGAGGGGAGAGAGGGGAGAGAGAGGGGAGAGAGAGGGGAGAGAGAAAGGACAGAGGGGAGAAAGAGAGGACAACAGAGGGGAGAGAGGGGAGAGAGGAGAGAGGACAGAGGGGGGAGAGAGAGGACAGAGGGGGGAGAGAAAGGACAGAGGGGAGAAAGAGAGGACAGAGGGGAGAGAGGAGAGAGGACAGAGGGGGGAGAGAGAGGACAGAGGGGAGAGAGAGAGGACAGAGGGGAGAGAGAGAGGACAGAGGGGAGAGAGGACAGAGGGGAGAGAGGACAGAGGGGAGAGAGGACAGAGGGGAGAGAGAGAGGGGAGAGAGAGGGCAGAGGGGGGAGAGAGCGAGGACAGAGGGGAGAGAGGGGAGAAAGAGAGGACAGAGGGGAGAGGGGAGAAAGAGAGGACAGAGGGGAGAGGGAGAGAAAGAGAGGACAGAGGGGAGAAAGAGAGGACAGAGGGGAGAAAGAGAGGACAGAGGGGAGAAAGAGAGGAGAGAGGGGAGAGAGAGGGGAGAGAGAGGGGACAGAGGGGAGAAAGAGAGGACAGAGGGGAGAGAGGGGAGAGAGAGGAGACAGAGGGGAGAAAGAGAGGACAGAGGGGAGAGGGGAGAAGAGAGGACAGAGGGGAGAGAGGGGAGAAAGAGAGGACAGAGGGGAGAGAGGGGAGAAAGAGAGGACAGAGGGGAGAGAGGGGAGAGAGAGGGGACAGAGGGGAGAGAGAGGGGACAGAGGGGAGGGAGAGGGGACAGAGGGGAGAGAGAGGGGACAGAGGGGAGAGAGAGGGGACAGAGGGGAGAGAGAGGGGACAGAGGGGAGAGAGAGAGGACAGAGGGGAGAGCGAGAGGACAGAGGGGAGAGCGAGAGGACAGAGGGGAGAGCGAGGACAGAGGGGAGAGCAAGAGGACAGAGGGGAGAGCGAGAGGACAGAGGGGAGCGAGAGGACAGAGGGGAGAGAGAGGACAGAGGGGAGAGAGAGGACAGAGGGGAGAGAGAGGACAGAGGGGAGAGAGAGGACAGAGGGGAGAGAGAGGACAGAGGGGAGAGAGAGGACAGAGGGGAGAGAGAGGACAGGGGGAGAGAGAGGACAGAGGGGAGAGAGAGGACAGAGGGGAGAGAGGGGGGACAGAGGGGAGAGAGAGGGGACAGAGGGGAGAGAGAGAGGACAGAGGGGAGAGCAAGAGGACAGAGGGGAGAGAGAGGGGAGAGAGAGAGGACAGAGGGGAGAGAGAGGGGACAGATGGGAGAGAGAGAGGACAGAGGGGAGAGAGGGGAGAGAGAGGGGGAGAGCGAGAGGACAGAGGGGAGAGAGAGGACAGAGGGGAGAGAGGGGGGACAGAGGGGAGAGAGAGGGGAGAGCGAGAGGACAGAGGGGAGAGAGAGGACAGAGGGGAGAGAGAGGACAGAGGGGAGAGAGAGGGGACAGAGGGGAGAGAGAGAGGACAGAGGGGAGAGAGAGGACAGAGGGGAGAGAGAGAGGACAGAGGGGAGAGAGAGGGGACAGAGGGGAGAGAGGACAGAGGGGAGAGCGAGAGGACAGAGGGGAGAGAGAGGACAGAGGGGAGAGAGAGGACAGAGGGGAGAGAGAGAGGACAGAGGGGAGAGAGAGAGGACAGAGGGGAGAGAGAGGACAGAGGGGAGAGAGAGAGGACAGAGGGGAGAGAGAGGACAGAGGGGAGAGAGAGAGGACAGAGGGGAGAGAGAGGGGACAGAGGGGAGAGAGAGGGGAGAGGAGAACGGAGGGGACAGAGGGGAGAGAGGACAAAGAGGACCGTGGACTCTCGTCTCAGTCTCTCTTGTTTCACAGACGGACCACTCGTCCTCTGGAGTCTGTATTTCAACATGGCGGGGTCTCCAGATGTCAAAGGTCCAGAGCTGCCAATCAATCTGCACCTATGCCCCGCCCCTGACCCCGCCCTGGGACACGACATCACTGTCACCAAGGTAACTGTTTGAAAGTGTTCGGATCTTTAAATCCAACATGTGGATGAATCTGGAGCTTAGATGGACAATTCTATCCTACCAGCTCAATACTAACCTGTTAGCTCGATGCTAACCCGCTAGCTCAATACTAACCTGTTAGCTCGATGCTAACCCGCTAGCTCAATACTAACCTGTTAGCTCAATGCTAACCCGCTAGCTCAATGCTAACCTGTTAGCTCGATGCTAACCCGCTAGCTCAATACTAACCTGTTAGCTCGATGCTAACCCGCTAGCTCAATACTAACCTGTTAGCTCAATGCTAACCCGCTAGCTCAATACTAACCTGTTAGCTCGATGCTAACCCGCTAGCTCAATACTAACCTGTTAGCTCGATGCTAACCCGCTAGCTCAATACTAACCTGTTAGCTCGATGCTAACCCGCTAGCTCAATACTAACCTGTTAGTTCAACGAAGCTCAATAGGGAAGTCCTCATGGCGAAGGTTGGCTCCAAATCTCTCTGGCTCCCATTGATTTACGTGACAATATCTACTCAGCATTTTTGCTTTCATGTCTATACAAAGAACCAAAAACTATTATATGAGATATTTACACAAAGATACTATCAGTGAGTATTATCTTCTAGTATTTTCCATGAGACTGAGTACAAATGACTGAATCTTACATTTAATTGGACCTCTGGGAACTACTCATCAATTCTATCGGTTTACTGTTACTTAGATATTTTTCATCGGTGCCTCAAAAAAAAGAAATTAAGCCGCATCAGTCAAAGTGGCTTATAGTCTGAAAGTTAGTTTATTGTTTAGTTTTGGCGAAAACTGTGGTGATGTCATACTTGCTCAGTCTCACTCTGGTCTCACTCTGGTCTCACTCTGGTCTCACTCTGGTCTCACTCTGGTCTCACTCTGGTCTCACTCTGGTCTCACTCTGGTCTCACTCTGGTCTCACTCTGGTCTCACTCTGGTCTCATCCTGGTCTCACTCTGGTCTCACTGTGCTCTGTGTGTTTCAGGCTGAGGAGATTTTCCACCACATCGTTCCAGGAGAAGACTTCTGTCCTCCAGCTCCAAACCCAGAAGACATCATCTATGAAGCAGAGAGCAGTGGGAATACTGGGAACACTGGAGATACTGGAGATACTGGGAATACTGGAGATACTGGGATCATTGGAGATACTGGGGACAATGAGAACCCAGAGGTCACGAGGGACCCCACAGTCTGCGAGCCTCTAGAGGATCTCACACAGGACACAGAGAAGGATAAGGAAGATCTCCACCAATCAGGGGACAGTTAGGAGGACCATGACACGCCTCCTTCTGCTTTCAACTAATGTCTGTGGTCCCTACAAAGGTCGCCTAGTGGGGGCGCTGCTGAGTGGACATGTGAGCTGGACTTCAACACAGGACGTTTGTGCAACCTTTACATGTGTTAGGAGGGAGTCTGTATGAACTGTCCTGTAACCATAGCAACGGAACAGTCCCGTGACCCTAGCAACGGACTGTCCCGTGACCGTAGTAACGGAACAGTCCCGTGACCCTAGCAACGGACTGTCCCGTGACCGTAGTAACGGAACAGTCTCGTGGCCCTAGCAACGGGACTGTCCCGTGATAATGGAAACGCTGTATTTGTCTCCACAATACAGTATAATTCAAAACTACAGTTGCACAGTAGTGAGAGTCACAGCACCCCCTACCCCTTAAATAATACATGGTAAACTCTCATTAGAAAACATGTTCTTTTTTGTGTAAGATAGAGCCCTGTGAGTCACTATTTGCCTCTTTGGGCGGCGAGCCAAAAAAGCCACATTCCGCTTCCTTTCTGAAAAAGCTGATCTATGATCCACAGATGTGACATAAGCCAGACACACATGACCAGTGATAAAGTCAAACTGTAATCAAACCCATGCCTTGTTCCTGGCTCTAAAGCAGTTCTGTTGTTGTGGTGCTGTGTGAGTATTGGCCTGTAGGGGGAGCTGTGAGACACACTGGTGACATCAGGAGTCTGTATGTTCTGTGCGTATGGCCAAATAAAGTTTCACCAAACTCTGACCCGGCAACGGATAAAGCAGAAGAAGACGATCAGAGTCTATTCCCACAGACTTGCAGATGTCCCAGTGGAGGGTTCTACTGGGGGTCCCATGTCCCTCTGTCCCTTTTTTTGAAGTCTTAAGGTTCACGTTTGCCTTCACTCATGTTTGTGCTATATATTTAAAATGCCTGGTTTTTATTTGTTCAGTTTTGGACTCTAAATAAAAAGATCACAACTGTAACATACAAATCCATATGTCCTTCTTCAGCTGTTTTTAGCTCCACTCACACTTTTCCCCAAAGCCCCTCCCCCTTTCCTCATAGCCCCTCCCCTTTCCTATGTAATAAATTGCGTACATTCTGTTTTCATACATTTTATTTTTGGTCTCATGACATCATAATGCAGCAGGTCCCAAAGCATTCTGGGAGACAGTTTTTGTGTGCACTCAGCAGTTACATTCAAAGTACTGTTACTGTTGACCTAGTACCTTTACTGCAGTACACTAGTACCTTTACCACAGTATAAGTAGTCTGTCGGTACTTTCTTCAGTTTGTGCGTTGCTTTCTTGTTTAGATGTTTTAAAGCAAACAACTCCTACATTCAACAAACACCTGATTCCTGCAGGATTTTGTAGTTCTATGGGTCAGTAGTTGTAGTTCTCTACTTGTAGTTCTTTGGGTCAGTATTTGTCCTTCACTTCCTGTAGTTTTTAAGGTCAGTAGTTGTGGTCCTTCACTTCCTGTAGTTCTTTTGGGGAGTAGTTGTAGTCCCTAGGTGACAGCCGGTTTGTTTCGCAGCGAGTCAAAAAGTGCCATGACTCTGCGCACGCCGCTAGTACTAACTGCAGTTCCGCTAACATTAGTCACGCCACTGCTGTGGGCGGAGCTGGAGCTGTTGCCGTGGAAGCGGTGTAGAGCAGTCGCCGTGGCATCCACTGAAGTGGTGCGTTTAACTTTGGGCCTGTGGCGGGGCATCTGGGCCACGAGGCAGCGCTGGTACTGCACCTGGAGGGGGCAGCAGAGGGACGAGTGAAAGTGATGAGAGTGTAGTAGTAGTTCTAGTAGTAGCAGCAGTAGAAGAAGCAGTAGTAGTAAAAGAAGTAATAGTAGCAGTAGGACAGTACCATGCATGCCGCCTGTACGGCCTCTGACAGCTCTCCTGCGTGTGGTTGGCAGTAAAACACGTGACACTCAAACTTCTTTCCTCGGTCTGCGATGAAACCAAAGGTGTGAGTGTCTTGCCCAACGGCAAGGAAACTGAGGAGTCTGACTGGCAACTCCCACAGCAGCTCCTGCAACACATCAGATGTAACACAACAGGTGTGAGACGGCTCGCACACTGCTCTGGGTGTGAGGCTGCAGTACCTCTCCTCTCCACAGGCAGAGGGCGCTGTGGGACACGTGGATGTGGGCGGAGCTCCAGTCGTCGGGGTCGGAGGTCATGAGGCTGTTGATGGCTCTGTTCACCACCTCCATGCCTGAAATACACAACCAACACACATCTACAACCCTGGTCATGGATCTACAGCCTCAGTCTTGGGTCTAGATCCTGGATCTACAGCCTGATCCAGATTTACAGCCTCAGTCCTGGATCTATAGCCTCGGTCCTGGGTCAATAACCTCGGTCCTGGATCTCCAGCCTTGGTCCTGGATCTCCAGCCTTGGTCCTGGATCTACATCCTTGGTCCTGGGTCTTTTGGCCCTTTAAAAACATGATGGACAGCTCTGACCTGTGGCTCGGGACACCGGCAGGTTTCCCATGTATTGGACCGGAAACCTCTGCTGCTGCTGCACGGCCTCCACACACTGCACTGTAAAACATGCACGTGTTTAAAGCTGGGGTCTGAAAATTTAGTCTCATAAAAAACACATGATTAAAGCTGGGGCATGTAACTTCAGTCTAATAGATAAAACATGATTAAGCTGTCTATTAATGTGAACAAATCCCACTCCAGAATCAAAAATGTAATATTTTGCAGCACAGGACTTTTTCAGTAGTACTTTTACCTTGGCGAGGGAAATCCTCTGGAGCGATAGAGTCACAGGTGAGCGAGCGAGGAGGACGAGTACTTTGGTGTGACATCATCTGAAACAGCAGTACAAGTACTGTAGTAGAAGTAGTCTCAGAAGTAGTCGCAGTAGCATAGCAGTAGTAGTTGTATTTGTAGTACTATAGTACCTGGGTGCAGAGCCGGTGCAGTGCAGTACTGATACTTCTCGCTCGGGCGTCACATCTGAACACGTGACACTTCAGAACACATGAGTCTTTGTCTCCAGCCACAAACGCAAAGTCTCTGAAAGTAACAGTACTTTTGGAGTATTTCTACTAAACCACAACAAATATGGTCAGAAAGTACTAAATCTCACACAAAATACACATGCAGAACATGCAGAAAGCACTCAGGAGGGGGTGTGGTCTGTCACCATGGTTACACTCTCAGGAGGGGGTGTGGTCTGTCACCATGGGTACACACTCAGGAGGGGGTGTGGTCTGTCACCATGGGTACACACTCAGGAGGGGGTGTGGTCTGTCACCATGGGTACACACTCAGGAGGGGGTGTGGTCTGTCACCATGGTTACACACTCAGGAGGGGGTGTGGTCTGTCACCATGGGTACACACTCAGGAGGGGGTGTGGTCTGTCACCATGGGAACACACTCAGGAGGGGGTGTGGTCTGTCACCATGGTTACACACTCAGGAGGGGGTGTGGTCTGTCACCATGGGTACACACTCAGGAGGGGGTGTGGTCTGTCACCATGGGTACACACTCAGGAGGGGGTGTGGTCTGTCACCATGGGAACACACTCAGGAGGGGGTGTGGTCTGTCACCATGGGAACAGAGGAGAATATAGGGTGAGGATTACCTGTCCCTGGAGCAGTGAGGGCAGAGACAGTGTTATAGATCAGTGTTGGTGATGTCACAGTGATGTCACAGGATGTCACATGACTTCCTCCTCACCTGCCGTTGTTGCAGCCCACCCCCCACACTCGGATGTTGCTGATTGGCTGACAATGCAGGGGACTGTGGTCTAAGGGGTCCAATAGCATCAGAGATTCTTTTTTCAAAACTAGACGCATTTCCCGCCCCTAAAGGAAGAAGTCCATATGAGGTCACAGCAACAGAACCAGAACTGAACCCTGACCGACACCCCATGGAGCGGGCCCCACGGAGCGGGCCCCATGGAGCTGACCCACCTCCCCAGAAGCCTCTAGAGTTTCCGCTGAGTCATTGTTTTGTGGTGGACTCTCCGTAGACCTGGTCCGGCTGTGGTTCTGACTCAGGTTTTGGATGACCTATAACAACACAGGGTCATGAGGTCATGCAGACTCTGTCCCGGGGTCATGTGCGGACTCTGACCTGACTCACGACCAGACTGCTGCGTCCTGGTCCCAGGTCCTCCTCCAAGACCTGCATCCACCCGAGAGAACGCACCGAGAAAACCTGAGACCACAGTCACACCGTTACTGAGGGAAGGGGAACAAAGGAACCCTGATGAACCCTGATGAACCCTGACGAACCATGATGAACCCTGAGGAACCCTGAGGAACCCTAAAGAACCTTGGTGAACCCTGATGAACCCTGATGAACCCTGATGAACCCTGATGAACCCTGAGGAACCCTGAGGAACCCTAAAGAACCTTGGTGAACCCTGATGAACCCTGATGAACCCTGAGGAACCCTAAAGAACCTTGGTGAACCCTGAGGAACACTGATGAACCCTGATGAACCCTGAGGATCCCTGAGGAACCCTGAGGAACCCTGAGGAACCCTAAAGAACCTTGGTGAACCCTGATGAACCCTGATGAACCCTGATGAACCCTGATGAACCCTGAGGAACCCTAAAGAACCTTGGTGAACCCTGAGGAACCCTGATGAACCCTGATGAACCCTGAGGATCCCTGAGGAACCCTGAGGAGCCCTGAGGAACCCTGAGGAACCCTGAGGAACCCCGAGGAGCCCTGAGGAACCCTGATGAACCCTGAGGAACCCTGATGAACCCTGAGGACCCACACAGGGCAGTGTTCTCTGGTTCTCACCTGGGAGTCCGGGTCACTCACGTCCCGCAGATCTCCCCGCTCCCTGGGCTCGGCCGGGGGCAGGTTCTCGGGCCATGAGGATCTGGAACATAAATAGTATCCAAAGTGTGACCAGAGCAGGAGCCAGTTATGAAGGATGTGAAATATGAGGAGACCGAACCTGAGCGGAGGTCTGTGGCCCGGACTCAACTCCTGAAACAGAAGTGACGTCATGAAATCTCCACCATCAGAGTGGACTGAGTGTGACATCACCAGAGCGTGACATCACCAGAGCGTGACATCACCAGAGCGTGACATCACCATAGTGTTAGCCTTAATAGAGAAGAAGCCAATTTGAACATAAGATAGCTGGAGCCGATTTCCTTATATGGGCATTTGTTCTGTAAGCTTCGCGTCATAACAGGGGCAGACGTGTTGCTAAGATGGTTGCTAAGGTAAGCTTGAGGTTCCTGCATGAATGAAGGCATCTGATTGGTCAATCCTTATCTGGCTCATATCTGGATTTACAAAGACAATATCACAATATGAACACCAGGATCACAGAGAGCCCAAAATGATGAGCGTGACACAAACTGTTACTGAGCTAGAGGAGTTTATTTTTACACAATCAATGGGAGCCAGTGCAAGCTACAGAGGTGGAGTACCCAGAGGCTGCTCCACCCAGAGGTTGCTCCACCCAGAGGTTGCTCCACCCAGAGGTTGCTCCACCCAGAGGATACTCCACCCAGAGGCTGCTCCACCCAGAGGCTTTTTAGAATGATCAATATATATATATTTTTTTTGCTGCTACTGGACACCTGAATTTCTCCTACAGGGATCAATAAAGTATCTATCTATCTATCTAGCCATCCATCCATTTCTATCTATCTATCTATCTAGAGCAAAACTACACTGTGAGCACTTTCCTATTGGGTTTCATTGAGCTAGTAGATTAGCCTTTTCCTTCTGTATACAGTCTGATTTAAACGTGAAGTTGCCGACTGGGTCCATATACCTTCCGTTCATTCTATTTTAGTTTCTGACCTGCACATTGAAAAATAAACTCTGGGACTTTTTCTTATTTCCATTGTTGAAAAAAGAATTTGAATAACCCCTTTCCTAAAAATTGTTTTATTTATTTATTTAAAACTTGGTTTGGGGTGAAAGGCCTCGGATTTCTTTGATCTGGTTTGCAACTTTCAATTTTAGGGTTTTAAGTTTGTTGGCCCAGAAATACATCAATATTTACGCTCCCCTGGCCACGGAAGAACTGGGACATGGGAGAAGAACCGGGCGGCCCAGGACAGACATGGGGCCTGGGCCGTCTGCTGATGTGGAGGACATGGATCGGAACAAGCTCATGTCGAAGAGCGAACCTGGAAATAATGGAGCGGATGGCATCGGGAAAGCGCGGTTGAGAGACCCGTGCGTGTTTATGAACACAGATAAACAGAGATATGGTCCCACAGGCAGGGGAGAAGCCTACGGTGTGAGCGAGAGAGGGGGGCACTGGCCATGTGCCACAAGACCACCCCATGGGCGCACATGGAGAGCTCCACTGTGAGGAAACTGCAGCAGGAAACGGCGCAAAATCCAATATTACGGCCGTGATTCAATGGAAAACGGCAATTTCTTCATTTTTCAATATATGCTTCACGAAAACAGAAAAAGGCCCAAATTTCATTTTTTATTTGGGATGTCAGAAACAAAAATAGAATGAACGCAAGGTACACGGACACAAATGTAACTGCAGTTCAGTATAAGCCAAAGTGTTCAGTGAATCAAGTGTTGTTTCCAAACTACAGAGGCCCCAGGTCCTCGACCACAAGGACTAAACTACAGACTCATAGAACTGCAGTTACACTCAGTAACTGAAGAGTTGGTTTACTGTCACGAACAGCTGAAGTACCTGTGCTCTCCCCTGTGACTGTAGTACCTGTGCTCTCCCCTGTGACTGTAGTACCTGTGCTCTCCCCTGTGACTGTAGTACCTGTACCTGTGCTCTCCCCTGTGACTGTAGTACCTGTACTCTCCCCTGTGACTGTAGTACCGTGCTCTCCCCTGTGACTGTAGTACCTGTGCTCTCCCCTGTGACTGTAGTACCGTGCTCTCCCCTGTGACTGTAGTACCGTGCTCTCCCCTGTGACTGTAGTACCGTGCTCTCCCCTGTGACTGTAGTACCTGTGCTCTCCCCTGTGACTGTAGTACCGTGCTCTCCCCTGTGACTGTAGTACCTGTGCTCTCCCTTGTGACTGTAGTACCTGTGCTCTCCCTTGTGACTGTAGTACCTGTGCTCTCCCTTGTGACTGTAGTACCTGTGCTCTCCCCTGTGACTGTAGTACCGTGCTCTCCCCTGGTACTGTAGTACCTGTGCTCTCCCCTGTGACTGTAGTACCTGTACTCTCCCCTGTGACTGTAGTACCTGTGCTCTCCCCTGTGACTGTAGTACCGTGCTCTCCCCTGTGACTGTAGTACCTGTGCTCTCCCCTGTGACTGTAGTACCTGTGCTCTCCCTTGTGACTGTAGTACCTGTGCTCTCCCCTGTGACTGTAGTACCTGTGCTCTCCCCTGTGACTGTAGTACCTGTGCTCTCCCTTGTGACTGTAGTACCTGTGCTCTCCCCTGTGACTGTAGTACCGTGCTCTCCCCTGGTACTGTAGTACCTGTGCTCTCCCCTGTGACTGTAGTACCTGTACTCTCCCCTGTGACTGTAGTACCTGTGCTCTCCCCTGTGACTGTAGTACCGTGCTCTCCCCTGTGACTGTAGTACCTGTGCTCTCCCCTGTGACTGTAGTACCTGTGCTCTCCCCTGTGACTGTAGTACCTGTACCTGTGCTCTCCCCTGTGACTGTAGTACCTGTACTCTCCCCTGTGACTGTAGTACCGTGCTCTCCCCTGTGACTGTAGTACCTGTGCTCTCCCCTGTGACTGTAGTACCTGTGCTCTCCCCTGTGACTGTAGTACCTGTGCTCTCCCCTGTGACTGTAGTACCGGGCTCTCGCTTGTGACTGTAGTACCTGTGCTCTCCCTTGTGACTGTAGTACCTGTACTCTCCCCTGTGACTGTAGTACCTGTACTCTCCCTTGTGACTGTAGTACCTGTGCTCTCCCTTGTGACTGTAGTACCTGTGCTCTCCCTTGTGACTGTAGTACCTGTACTCTCCCCTGTGACTGTAGTACCTGTACTCTCCCCTGTGACTGTAGTACCTGTGCTCTCCCCTGTGACTGTAGTACCTGTACTCTCCCCTGTGACTGTAGTACCTGTGCTCTCCCTTGTGACTGTAGTACCTGTGCTCTCCCTTGTGACTGTAGTACCTGTGCTCTCCCTTGTGACTGTAGTACCTGTACTCTCCCCTGTGACTGTAGTACCTGTACTCTCCCTTGTGACTGTAGTACCTGTGCTCTCCCTTGTGACTGTAGTACCTGTGCTCTCCCTTGTGACTGTAGTACCTGTACTCTCCCCTGTGACTGTAGTACCTGTACTCTCCCCTGTGACTGTAGTACCTGTACTCTCCCCTGTGACTGTAGTACCTGTGCTCTCCCCTGTGACTGTAGTACCTGTACTCTCCCCTGTGACTGTAGTACCTGTGCTCTCCCTTGTGACTGTAGTACCGTGCTCTCCCCTGTGACTGTAGTACCTGTGCTCTCCCCTGTGACTGTAGTACCTGTACTCTCCCCTGTGACTGTAGTACCTGTACTCTCCCTTGTGACTGTAGTACCTGTACCTGTGCTCTCCCCTGTGACTGTAGTACCGTGCTCTCCCTTGTGACTGTAGTACCTGTACCTGTGCTCTCCCTTGTGACTGTAGTACCTGTACTCTCCCTTGTGACTGTAGTACCTGTACCTGTGCTCTCCCCTGTGACTGTAGTACCGTGCTCTCCCTTGTGACTGAAGTACTGTACCTGTGCTCTCCCTTGTGACTGTAGTACCTGTACCTGTACTCTCCCCTGTGACTGTAGTACCTGTACTCTCCCTTGTGACTGTAGTACCTGTACCTGTGCTCTCCCCTGTGACTGTAGTACCGTGCTCTCCCTTGTGACTGAAGTACTGTACCTGTGCTCTCCCTTGTGACTGTAGTACCTGTACCTGTGCTCTCCCTTGTGACTGTAGTACCGTGCTCTCCCTTGTGACTGTAGTACCTGTGCTCTCCCTTGTGACTGTAGTACCTGTACCTGTGCTCTCCCTTGTGACTGTAGTACCTGTGCTCTCTCTTGTGACTGTAGTACCTGTACCTGTGCTCTCCCTTGTGACTGTAGTACCTGTGCTCTCTCTTGTGACTGTAGTACCTGTGCTCTCTCTTGTGACTGTAGTACCTGTGCTCTCCCCTGTGACTGTAGTACCTGTACTCTCCCCTGTGACTGTAGTACCTGTGCTCTCCCTTGTGACTGTAGTACCGTGCTCTCCCCTGTGACTGTAGTACCTGTGCTCTCCCCTGTGACTGTAGTACCTGTACTCTCCCCTGTGACTGTAGTACCTGTACTCTCCCTTGTGACTGTAGTACCTGTACCTGTGCTCTCCCCTGTGACTGTAGTACCGTGCTCTCCCTTGTGACTGTAGTACCTGTACCTGTGCTCTCCCTTGTGACTGTAGTACCTGTACTCTCCCTTGTGACTGTAGTACCTGTACCTGTGCTCTCCCCTGTGACTGTAGTACCGTGCTCTCCCTTGTGACTGAAGTACTGTACCTGTGCTCTCCCTTGTGACTGTAGTACCTGTACCTGTACTCTCCCCTGTGACTGTAGTACCTGTACTCTCCCTTGTGACTGTAGTACCTGTACCTGTGCTCTCCCCTGTGACTGTAGTACCGTGCTCTCCCTTGTGACTGAAGTACTGTACCTGTGCTCTCCCTTGTGACTGTAGTACCTGTACCTGTGCTCTCCCTTGTGACTGTAGTACCGTGCTCTCCCTTGTGACTGTAGTACCTGTGCTCTCCCTTGTGACTGTAGTACCTGTACCTGTGCTCTCCCTTGTGACTGTAGTACCTGTGCTCTCTCTTGTGACTGTAGTACCTGTACCTGTGCTCTCCCTTGTGACTGTAGTACCTGTGCTCTCTCTTGTGACTGTAGTACCTGTGCTCTCTCTTGTGACTGTAGTACCTGTGCTTTCTCCTGGGGGAGGCTCTCCCCTGGCTTCTCCCACTGGGTGTCCCCTGTGGGCAGGTGCCAGTAGTAGGTGCCAGTGCTGTCGGTGATGGTCCTCCAGCCAGGGGGGAGCTCTGGGTCGCTCTGCAGGTTCTGATCTGTCCACACGTTATCTGAGAGACAGGAAGAAAGTTATTTATGTGGAACACAGTGCAGAGGACACAGCAGCACTGTCCTCAGAACACTCTGTGCTGAATCTGCCTGTTTCCTGTGGAACACCGGAGGTAAATAAAGATTATAATGATTACATATTCTACAGTATACATTACATGCACATACATAACATGATACAGTGTATAGTATCATATATCTGAAACTGCAGGAAGTTGGATCCAGCTGGGATCAGGGGATATATGGATCTGGCTCAGATCTGATCTGGGATCAGCTGAAGGTCACAGATAATGTTCCTCTTTAATAATGCAGAGGCTCTGTCAGCCCTTTTTCTACAGAAACAACTCAATCTGAGATCAACTGAAGCTGACGTTTGGCTCTTATACTGACTCCATTTAGTCCTATCCAGCTCTCCCTCTGCTGTCAGACTGTACAACAAACACAAAAGTAAAGCTTTACCGTCACAGTTCACAATGATGATGGCTAAACTGTAGTCCTTCCCCATCATGGCACCAACCAATCAGCTGATCCGAACTCTCCACCAATGAGAAGTTAAAAATGTCTTCTAGCTCCTGTCTCCTTCTGTCCTTATCTTCTAACTCCTTATCTCAAACAGGGAAATGGCTGTATCTGAAATGCATCTTCCCTCCTGGCCTCGATTCCTACAGTAGAATGCCACCTTGTTCGTATTTCTGTATCAATTGTTAGGGACAGTTCCAGTCCGTGTGTCTCCTTCTACTTCCTTTGTTTCCTATGTGTCCTACATCCTAGGAAGTGTCCTCACTTGTCTCCTCTCACTTAACTTCTTGTATGCTCCCCTTGTGTCCTCTCCCCTTGTCTCCTCTCCTCTCGTATCCTCTCTCTTTGTCTCCTCTCCTCTCGTATCCTCTTGTCTCCTGTCCTTGTTTCCTCTCCTTGTCTCCTTTCTTGTCTCCTCTCTTCTCGTATCCTTTCCTGTCTCCTCTCTCCTTGTCTCCTCGGCTCTAAATCCCGTATAATCCGCACGGCTGCTGTTGCTGCTGTTGCTGCTGTTGCTGCTGTTGCTGCTGTTGCTGCTGTTGCTGCTGTTGCTGATGATGCTGCTGTTGCTGCTGTTGCTGCTGTTGCTGATGATGCTGCTGTTGCTGATGATGCTGGGGATGAAGATGTTTATGATTGTCGCTCTAATACCCCTCCCTCACCCGCTCAGTGACGTTATACGTAGCTAGCCCCGCCCCTTGCTGCTGTTTGCGAACACTGCCCTCCTCTGGCCAACACAAAACCCTTCCAAGCTCAGTCTGATGTGTGTCTCTCTATGTATGTGCTTATGTGTGTGCGTGTGTTTGTATCTGTCTCTAAAGGATGTGTGTGTGTGTCTTTGTGTGAGTCTGCTTATGTGTTACGTGTGCGTGTTTGTGTGTGCGTATTAACTGTGTGTATTTCTATTATTGTCACGTGACCCAGCCCACTCCACGTGTCCCGGAAGCGCTGGATCCGGCAGGAGAGCGGAAGTGTCTTGTATTTTTCTTCACAATAAAAGCGCAGTGTCAGGATGAGTTTTATTCTGTAGGTTGAGCTTGTGATTATGAACACGTGAGACATCCCCCCGTGTGTTTGTACTTGTACGTATCATCTCAACATCAAATACACCCGTCTTTGAGCCAATGAGTGTCCAAGAGCGCCTCAAAGTGACGCTGAGGGGCTTTACTGTGAAGTCTGACTTTACTTCCTGTTTACATTGTTCAGCCGTGTCTCTGCTATGGTCTCTGCTTCTGTAGCTGTAACACACAGATATACGACGCACAAACATACATCAAACAAATATACGACACACACATAACTTGTTTACACATGTTTATCAGAAACATACGGGTTTAAAGTGTGTGTAACTCATGTTATTCCGGTCTGTGTGATGGAGCAGAACCAGGAGGACCTGTTCATCAAACCCGGTGAGTTTAAGTGGATTTAAACTCTTTATTTGACCCTAAACTGTCTTTTTACATAACCCTGAGGTTTCCCACGGGGTCATAGTTTGTAAGGTTAAAACCCACGTCTGTGGTTCTGATGGTTCTACAGCTCCACAGCCTCAGATCCTTGCGGTTAACCGGACTCCCGTTCATAGCTCGTTCAAATGAACCTTTAATCTGTTTTTCTGACAGAATGGTGAAGGTGTTGTACTTATGATGACGTATGAGCACGCGGGGGGATGCCCTCTGTCATCCGGCTTCAGGTTTCAGTCAATAAAGTTTTATTATTTAAAAATGCTAATATCTACACTACATTGATGTGGACACTGGACCCCACTCAGATCCCTGCTCCACTTCCGGCGTGTTTGAGATCATAAGATTATTCTGTACTTGATATTGAGACTGGTCCAGGTACACGCTTCCTTATAGAGAGAGCCAGAGGAGCTCAGACAGGAGGGGCTCGGAGTAGAGCTGCTGCTCCTCCTCCCCAATAGGAGCATGTTCTGGAGGTGTGACTTCTGTTCCTCAGGAAACCAGGAGCGAGGCTGGAACGACCCTCCACAACTTTCATATGGACTCCAGACGAGAGGAGCCAAGACCAGCCGACTGTACCAGAGAGAGAGACCTACAGGTGAGAGAGAGACTCCCCTACAGGTTAGAAAGAACTACAGGTGAGAAAGAGTGACTTACAGGTGAGATAAGGAACTACAGAAGAGAGAGAGAGAGAGAAGTACAGTTGAGAGAGACCCTGCTGGAGAGAAAGATCCTACAGTTGCGAAAGAGACTTACAGGAGAGAGAAAAGCGTCGTGTCACAACTGTGATTGGTCCACAGGTCCAGGAACACCACCCATGACCCCGCCCACATCAACTCTGGCCCCGCCTCTGTCTGCTGTAGCCCCGCCCATATCACCTCTGGCCCCGCCTCCCTGCAGTCCAGGTAGAGGAACTGCTTTAACTGGACACGACCAAGAGAAGCCGCAAGAAGAGTTGATTTCATATTTATATTCATGTTTCTCTCCAGTTCCACCTCCCATTGGCTCGCGAGTAGCCCCGCCTACTGCCTCTGGTCCAATCAGAGCCCACAATGGTTTTGTCCAATCAGAGCCGGAGCCTGAAGTCGAGGAAGTGATGTCAGTGCTGAGGGCGGCGCTGGAGGCGTGCAGAGAGAACGTCAGCGTAAGACGTGTGTCTGTGTCTCTGTCAGTGTGTGTCTGTGTCTCTGTCAGTGTGTGTCTGTGTCTCTGTCAGTGTGTGTCTGTCTCTGTCAGTGTGTGTCTGTGTCTCTGTCAGTGTGTGTCTCTGCCTGTGTCAGTCTGTGTCTCTGTCAGTGTGTGTTTGTGCCTCTGTCAGTGTGTGTCTGTGTCTCTGTCAGTGTGTGTTTGTGCCTCTGTCAGTGTGTGTCTGTGTCTCTGTCAGTGTGTGTCTGTGTCTCTGTCAGTGTGTGTCTGTGTCTCTGTCAGTGTGGGCGGGTCCCGGCTCCAAAAGGTCCATGAGCACGTGCGCTGACATGCTGCAATACCACTCCCGGCCAGTAGGGGTGGACCCAGAAAGGGAGTCACCCAATGCTTTTGTACGTCTTTCCTCTAAAAAACGTCTTTACAGGATGGTCCAAAAGTCGCTCTTGGTCCAACGCTACGGTCCAGATGTGTGTCGATGCTGAGGGGGGGATTTTGTTTTAGACCAGTTTAGTTTAGCCGCTATGGACTTTTGAATGCACTCGTTAAATGTAGTTTCAATTGCAGAGATAGGGTCTCTGTTTGTGTCTGTCTTTGTCTATGTGTGTCTGTCAGTCTCTCTGTGTGTGTGTCTGTCTCATGTCTCTGTGTGTGTGTCTGTCAGTCTCTCTGTGTGTGTGTCTGTCTCATGTCTCTGTGTGTGTGTCTGTCAGTCTCTCTGTGTGTGTCTCTGTCTCATGTCTCTGTGTGTGTGTCTGTCAGTCTCTCTGTGTGTGTCTCTGTCTCATGTCTCTGTGTGTGTGTCTGTCAGTCTCTCTGTGTGTGTCTCTGTCTCATGTCTCTGTGTGTGTGTCTGTCAGTCTCTCTGTGTGTGTCTCTGTCTCATGTCTCTGTGTGTGTGTCTGTCAGTCTCTCTGTGTGTGTCTCTGTCTCATGTCTCTGTGTGTGTCTGTCAGTCTCTCTGTGTTTGTCTCTGTCTCATGTCTCTGTGTGTGTGTCTGTCAGTCTCTCTGTGTGTGTCTCTGTCTCATGTCTCTGTGTGTGTGTCTGTCAGTCTCTCTGTGTGTGTCTCTGTCTCATGTCTCTGTGTGTGTGTCTGTCAGTCTCTCTGTGTGTGTGTCTGTCAGTCTCTCTGTGTGTGTCTCTGTCTCATGTCTCTGTGTGTGTCTGTCAGTCTCTCTGTGTGTGTCTCTGTCTCATGTCAGTGTGTGTGTCTGTCAGTCTCTCTGTGTGTGTCTCTGTCTCATGTCTCTGTGTGTGTGTCTGTCAGTCTCTCTGTGTGTGTCTCTGTCTCTGTGTGTGTCTGTCAGTCTCTCTGTGTGTGTGTCTGTCAGTCTCTCTGTGTGTGTCTCTGTCTCATGTCTCTGTGTGTGTGTCTGTCAGTCTCTCTGTGTGTGTCTCTGTCTCATGTCTCTGTGTGTGTGTCTGTCAGTCTCTCTGTGTGTCTCTGTCTCATGTCTCTGTGTGTGTGTCTGTCAGTCTCTCTGTGTGTGTCTCTGTCTCATGTCTCTGTGTGTGTGTCTGTCAGTCTCTCTGTGTGTGTCTCTGTCTCATGTCTCTGTGTGTGTGTCTGTCAGTCTCTCTGTGTGTGTCTCTGTCTCATGTCTCTGTGTGTGTGTCTGTCAGTCTCTCTGTGTGTGTCTCTGTCTCATGTCTCTGTGTGTGTGTCTGTCAGTCTCTCTGTGTGTGTCTCTGTCTCATGTCTCTGTGTGTGTGTCTGTCAGTCTCTCTGTGTGTGTCTCTGTCTCATGTCTCTGTGTGTGTGTCTGTCAGTCTCTCTGTGTGTGTCTCTGTCTCATGTCTCTGTGTGTGTCTGTCAGTCTCTCTGTGTGTGTCTCTGTCTCATGTCAGTGTGTGTGTCTGTCAGTCTCTCTGTGTGTGTCTCTGTCTCATGTCTCTGTGTGTGTGTCTGTCAGTCTCTCTGTGTGTGTCTCTGTCTCTGTGTGTGTCTGTCAGTCTCTCTGTGTGTGTGTCTGTCAGTCTCTCTGTGTGTGTCTCTGTCTCATGTCTCTGTGTGTGTGTCTGTCAGTCTCTCTGTGTGTGTCTCTGTCTCATGTCTCTGTGTGTGTGTCTGTCAGTCTCTCTGTGTGTCTCTGTCTCATGTCTCTGTGTGTGTGTCTGTCAGTCTCTCTGTGTGTCTCTGTCTCATGTCTCTGTGTGTGTGTCTGTCAGTCTCTCTGTGTGTGTCTCTGTCTCATGTCTCTGTGTGTGTGTCTGTCAGTCTCTCTGTGTGTGTCTCTGTCTCATGTCTCTGTGTGTGTGTCTGTCAGTCTCTCTGTGTGTGTCTCTGTCTCATGTCTCTGTGTGTGTGTCTGTCAGTCTCTCTGTGTGTGTCTCTGTCTCATGTCTCTGTGTGTGTGTCTGTCAGTCTCTCTGTGTGTGTCTCTGTCTCATGTCTCTGTGTGTGTCTGTCAGTCTCTCTGTGTGTGTCTCTGTCTCATGTCAGTGTGTGTGTCTGTCAGTCTCTCTGTGTGTGTCTCTGTCTCATGTCTCTGTGTGTGTGTCTGTCAGTCTCTCTGTGTGTGTCTCTGTCTCTGTGTGTGTCTGTCAGTCTCTCTGTGTGTGTGTCTGTCAGTCTCTCTGTGTGTGTCTCTGTCTCATGTCTCTGTGTGTGTGTCTGTCAGTCTCTCTGTGTGTGTCTCTGTCTCATGTCTCTGTGTGTGTGTCTGTCAGTCTCTCTGTGTGTCTCTGTCTCATGTCTCTGTGTGTGTGTCTGTCAGTCTCTCTGTGTGTCTCTGTCTCATGTCTCTGTGTGTGTGTCTGTCAGTCTCTCTGTGTGTGTCTCTGTCTCATGTCTCTGTGTGTGTGTCTGTCAGTCTCTCTGTGTGTGTCTCTGTCTCATGTCTCTGTGTGTGTGTCTGTCAGTCTCTCTGTGTGTGTCTCTGTCTCATGTCTCTGTGTGTGTCTGTCAGTCTCTCTGTGTGTGTCTCTGTCTCATGTCAGTGTGTGTCTCTGTCTCATGTCTCTGTGTGTGTCTGTCAGTCTTTCTGTGTGTGTCTGTCTCATGTCTGTGTGTGTCTCTGTCTCATGTCTCTGTGTGTGTGTCTGTCAGTCTCTCTGTGTGTGTCTGTCTCATGTCAGTGTGTGTCTCTGTCTCATGTCTCTGTGTGTGTCTGTCAGTCTTTCTGTGTGTGTCTGTCTCATGTCTGTGTGTGTCTCTGTCTCATGTCTCTGTGTGTGTCTGTCAGTCTCTCTGTGTGTGTCTCTGTCTCATGTCAGTGTGTGTGTGTCTGTCAGTCTTTCTGTGTGTGTCTGTCTCATGTCTGTGTGTGTCTCTGTCTCATGTCTCTGTGTGTGTCTGCCAGTCTCTCTGTGTGTGTCTCTGTCTCATGTCAGTGTGTGTGTTCTCTTGTCCAGTCTCAGCTCTGTGTGGAGATAGAAAAACGTCTGAAGCTGCTGCTCCAGTGTTGGACGAGTGGACGTCTGAGCAGCGGAGTGAAGAGGAGGATGAAGAGTCTGAGCTCCGGTGAGGTCTGAGTGGAGTCTGCAGGGTCTGTGAGGTCTGAGTGGAGTCCCGTCTCGGTCCTGGTCTCAGTCCTAGTCCCTTCAGATTTAGATCCAGAGTACTTTATTTATTCCACCAAGGGCAATTCTTTTGAGCAGCACAAGTCCTAAAACACATACTACACAGGAAATGTCAAACAGTAACATGAGCCCATACAAATATATGAACACAGTACAACTACACAAGCCCCATATCACCAATGGACCTGGTCTCAGTCCTGGTCTCAGTCCCGGTCTCTCTCTCTCAGATCTTGTGGCCTCTCGTTGGGACTCTGCGGATGAGGCTCATCGCTCTCTGATGGTGGATCATGTGACTGAGGTCGGCCAATGGATGGTCGGCATCAAGCGACTCATAGCAGAAACCAGGAAGTTGAGTCCGGAGCAGCTGCGGCCTCTGACGGCGCTGGACTGTGATGTCACCGGCTCCGGTTAACGGTGCGTCTAGGTCCAGTCTGGGTTTGACCTGGGCCCAGTCTCTCACTGGCCTGGATCTGAGCTAAGTCTCAGTCTGGTCCAAGTCTATGTCCGGTATGGACTCTGATCCGGTCTAAGTCCGGGTCTGGTCTATGTCTGGGTCCAGTCTGGACTCTGGTAGACCTTGAGTTGATGATGAAATAAAGGTTTGTCACAAAGTTGAGTTTTGCTTCTGTCAATAAAAAGATTTTTCACATCTCAACGAGAACCTCTGGTCTGTATTTTACAACATGTATTATATACTTTTATTTATATATATATATATATAAATGTATATATATATATATATATAAAGTTATATATATATATATATATATATATATATATATATATATATATAATATATATATATATATACTGTATATCTATATAATTTATATATATATATATAATATATTACTTTTTATATATATATATATATAATATATTATATAGATATACAGTATATATATATATATATATATATATATATATATAATATATATATATAATTTCACAGGTTTTGAGTGTTGTATGACTGTGAAAATGAAGAGTTAAAAATGGGACCTTTAAATGTTATGATAGAGTTTTGTTTTTCTGGCTTCATCTCAAACCCACATGCTTCTGGATTATAATTGTTTATGATCTTAAATTGCATTTCTTTGACTTTAGGGGTATAGACCATTTCATGAATTAAATGCATATTGTAGTTTGTGCCTCTATCCAAATCTGATTTTCAGACATTAGACAGTTTAATTTAACATTGCTACATTTTCTGTCATTTAAAGATTTGATCCAGTTGTAGTTTATGTATTTTTTCAGTATTTGAATTAAAACATTCAGAGTGACAGATATTGCTCTACAGACTTTATTACTCTCTGAATTTTACATTTAGTCTGAAAATCCATGAAATGTGATAAGTTTGAAATTGTTATATTTCTTTGTTCAGAGAGTTCCTGTCAGATGTTATTGCTCCTTTAATCCACAAGATGGAGCCATGGAGCAATGTTATGTGTAAAGGCCATCTACCAAGAGTACAGAACATTTTTATGGTTTTCAGAACATCTCAAAGGTGGTTTGGATTTCTCACAATCACATTTTAAAATCCATTCCAACCCGCGTACTTGGTAAAAAAATAGTTTGGAATTCTAAACCAGGATTAGCCAGAAAAGGTTTAACGCCAAATGAACTGATATTATCTAGAGATGACTTTTCTAATTTGTGGCGAAATATGAAGAAAATAACTTGGATAAACTAATTTGGAGATTATCTCTGATTGAAGATATGTGACTTCAATTTTTCCATTAAAATGTGTTTCCTCTCTTGTTTCAGAATCTGAGAAATTATAACAGTAAGTCATTGATATTCATTCCTGATGCTTTGGAGAAGACTGAGATAATCTATGAAGGTTTTTAAAGAATGAATTTGTGCTTTAGGAAGATCACGGCAGCAGCTTCAGTTTGGACGATCGTGCTTCATGGAATCAAAGGCCTTGAAAAAAGCTAAGAATTAAATTAAAGTAGAAAAAATAATAACCCTAACCCTAATTTAAAAAGTGTGGTGGTAATCCATGATTTATAAGATTAACATTAATAATATATTGGTTTTATACAGCGCTTTTTGGACACTTCACATGTCATTCTTTCTCTCCAAACACAGTGGTAATAAACTACTGTAGCCACAGCTGCCCTGGGGCACACTGACAGAAGTGAGGCAACCAGTCTGTGCCATCGGCCCCTCCCACCACCAACCTCATTCTAGGCAATGTGGGTGAAGTGTCTTGCTTAAGGACACAAATGCAGCCGCCCCACTGTGGCACCTGGTGTTCCCAGAGGTCTCCCATCACAGCACTAACCAGGTCCTGCCCTGCACAGCTTCAGAGTTCACCCTATGCCAAAACGTTTCATAAAGCTGTGGTGAGGCCGTCTGTTCTCGGTGATTTCCCCTTTTAATTTGAGAGTATTTTCACTTCCACTAATAATTGTTTGTCTACTTCAGACTTTGTTTGGAAAAATGTAAACATAAAATATTTTCTTTAAATCTGTTCACATAAGTCGCGGTAGAATTTGGTTTTTCCTCTTGTTTTTGAGTAGAACCCCAGAAAACTACTGTCGATATGAGTTTGTGGTGTATTTTGAAGACAATCCTGTTGTTTCCATCTCATCGTTTTGAAGCAAAAGTAACACCTCTAATTCTCCAACAGTTCATCTTTTCACACTCAGGACTTTCTATTTCTTTGTAAGGATTCACAGACCTCGAATTTCTCGTCTCAACTTTCTACTAATCCATTATTAGTCATAATTATATTAATATCTGAGGAGACCGACACCTGGAGAGAAGACTGAGCAAAAATGTAAACTTTACTGAAATGAATAAACCAAACTATCTCAGTTCTGGATTATTTACTTTCATCATTTATGTCCTCACTTTATACAGAAATATAATCTGCAAGAACTGAATCTGGGTTTGTCGTTCGCCAGTGATCAATCCGTTTAAACAAAACTAGTCTAAAACTGTTCCGTTGAATGTTTCTGTAAAGCCACGAGTCAGGAGCGATGTTGGAATCCCCAAACATTGAGTTATCTTTAACAGAGCTGTTATTGTTCATAGACACACATTTTTAATTAAACATCACCATGACAACTGGCTTTGTCACTTATCAATAATTGTTCCATTAAACCTGTTAAAATCACCCCGCTGAGTGTACTGTGTGAATAAATCTCATTACCGTTCAAATGTTTGCCATCTTTACTGGAACGTGTCCCTGTCTCTAATATAGTGCCCTTTAACAGTATTTTGTAAACCTCTAACATTTATCACACAAAAGTTATTATCCACTTTTCTGTTCTCAATTCAACCCTTGTGCTCGACTTTAGTGAAAAGGACCAATAATAAAACTGTCTAAAAGACCCAGGGCTGGTCATGTTAGGAAAAATAAATGTAGGGTATTTTTAAACCACTTGTCAATTCGACCTGATGCACGAGGGATTAAGGGCAGAACAAGTTCCAAAGTTTTTTCAATCTTTTACCCTCAGTGATGTCTGACCCCTGACCCCACTTCCACTGAGAAGTAGCTTCATGTTTTAACCCTCAATGCTGTACAATGTTCACTTTTCTAACCACCTGAACTGACGACTGAAGTGGGATCATGAGATCTATCGTGATATTGAAGGTGTGAGCGCTGCTGCGACAGAACACTTCAGAAACTGACCTGGGATCAGTGATGAACATGAGACTGAAGACAGAATGTGGTGAAAAGTTTTATTTGTGAACAACTCTCCTACAGACGTCTTCCTCTGCGTCCGCCCTTCCTGCGAGTGGAGTCTGACGGGATCGGGGTCACATCCTCTGGAGACGAGAGACAAGAACATGTGTGAGACTCATCCTGAGCAATTTGTAAATACTGTGTGTGAGCCAGAGGAGCAGTAACAAGGCCTTTGTGTCGTTCAGTCAGTCACCAAAACATACTATAACAGCGTTAACAGTATGTCCAGCGTCACCACAGTCCTTATTCTGACTCTGAAATGAGCAAAGTGTGGAGGGGACGGGAAAGTCCTCCAGATCCGTATCCACAAACATGTGTAGAATCCACTGCTCCAATTTAGTCAAATTAAACTGATCAAATTAAACTGGTCAAATCTGCATCCAACAGAACGACAAGACAAGACCTTTCACACGTCACAAATTATTCACTCCTCTTCCTCACACTTGAATCAGAGCAGCAAAGTGGTCAAAGTCACACAGAGCCAAACAAGGACTAAACTAGAACTGACAACCGGACACACGGTGCTTGTGAACAAATGCCTCCAGCCTGAGTTGTCATTCACCTAGTGCTGCTAACGTGTTCGCTGGTACAGAGGTACTAGTTAATGTGACACATGGTGCCGCTCAGGGAGTGATCCTTCTGAGATCCTCCAGAGACTTCATATACCAGACATCCAGGAGGAAAACATTATAAAGAAAGCTGCTAGCTTAAACTTGCTAGCCTCACCATTTCCAGCCTGAGTGTTACTGAACTCATGCTCAGCTGAAATGTAGTGAACACACGTCCACTGATGCGTCTGCGACCTGAACGCAGCCCTTCATGGAGCTTTTAGAATGCACTGATGTAGTTTGCCTTTTGTTCATTACTTTACAGATTATGTCATTTTAGGTCATTTTAATCTTGTTTTAGTGCAAATCTTACACCTCGGAGTTTGTTTACAATTTATGAATGTTATGGAGAATTATATTCTGCTATATTCATATTATCTGTTATAATCAATACTATTGTAGATAGATTTCAAAATGTAATTATCTGCAATGAAAATAAAGAATTTGCTTGAATGGTTTTCTATAAAATCAAACGTGTTGTCGATTCTACTTCACAAAACTGTCGGCTTCAGGTCCAAACCCCAGTTTACTGAGCGGGTCATGTTTGTGGACCACTTTAATCAGGGACCACTGGTCTGGTCTAGTCTCTGACTGTTCTCTTCAGGGCAGAGCGAGTTCTCACCAATGCGTCCGATCTTCATCCCGGATCGGGCCAGAGCTCTGAGGGCCGACTGGGCTCCAGGGCCTGGGGTCTTTGTCCTGCACAGACATCACATCATCACACACAGCCAGTGAAGTGAGCACTCCCCTGTGCAGAGATAATCCACCCCTCAGCTCTAAGTGCAGCTCAGTGTAGGTCGTACCTGTTCCCGCCCGTGGCCCTCAGCTTGATGTGAAGAGCAGTGATGCCCAGCTCCTTACAGCGCTGAGCCACGTCCTGAGCAGCCAACATGGCGGCGTACGGAGAGGACTCGTCTCTGTCGGCTTTGACCTTCATACCTCCAGTGACGCGGCAGATAGTCTCCCTGAAAACACAAACACAGGCCTAGAAAACAATTCAAGCTGGGGTACGCAACTCTAGTTGTGCTGAAGTATGGCTGCGTAGCTCAATGGCAATAAAAGGACTGATTCTAATCTCATAAATATCACATTAAGATTACGTCAGCGTATAATCTGACTCACTTTCCGGAGAGGTCGGTCACGTGCACAAATGTATCGTTGAATGAAGCGAAGATGTGACAGACTCCGAACACGTTCTCTCCCTCTGCGACCTGAGGGCCCAGGCTGATCACCTGCTCCTCCTTCTTCTCCTTTCCTTTACGTGGAGCCATGTCTGAAACACAGATTACACAGTACCAGAGATTAGACCTCACCATAACCAGGAGTCCACCAGTTCAGGTCAGTGGGCTGTGCTCATTGGCTGCAGGTTCTATAAACCCGAGGGCGAGGTGTGAACATCCAGGTTTCAGGGAATATTCCTGGGTTGCACTGGTGGATTTAGTCTGCAGTAACAGGTGTCAAGCTTCAGCAGCAACTCTCCACATAATATCACACACATGGAGTAATCATGGAGCCATGGCTGAGGCCCCTGCAGAAGAGAGGACACTACAAAGCCTCTCATGACTTCAATTAACAGTTTGGCCACACGTGTCGACTTTACGCATTTACTCAGTCACTACTCATCTGAACACTACAGTTAAAGCTCGGGTACGTAACATTCAACATCAAATCTCCGGCTCCAAAACAGTTGCTTCATCACTAGTTTTCACATTGTCCAATCATATTTTTAGATTAGCCATTTCTGATAGCTAAGTATAAACCACCCTCACCCACTTATAAAATATGTATTGAGCTTTCTAATATGAAGTTAGCGTGTTGTGGTCCGATGTGTCAACAATTTACAGTGTGGCACAGAACACTAGCGTTGGATCCACAGCTTCCAACCCCACCGTGCAGACTTCACTACGTAACATTTATACAATTAACAAGTGTTTTATCCAAAGAACGACTTCACACGACACTAGCGAACACGTTAGCCATCATGCTACAGCGGGCTAACAGGACTCTACACCAGATTTATCTCTAAAATCTTTAAACTAAGATCCAGCGCTTATGGATGTAGTATTTTACAGTTATAACTCTCACGCACGTGCATGTGTCGCGTGCGGAACAGAAACATGTGTAAACTGCTAAAGCGGAGCTAAGATGGCGGCCCGGACAGCGCGCTTATAAACCCGGTCTAAAGTCTCCGTCTGAACAGTTTTCACTCGACATTTGTCTCGGGTCAGACGCGGGCTGAGCGCAGCAGACGCGGACATTACCTCAGGAGAGCGGATGGACACAGAACACACAGATTTACACGGATTAGAGTCAGAACTGGACGAACCTGGAGCGTCTCTGTTCGGAGTAGACAGAAAAGGACAGCACTTCCGCTTCCGGTGACTGAAGAGGGTGCTGCCCACGTGCGGCGGCGGGAAACACAGCACTATGAATATAAATAAAAACAAAATTTAACTTATTTGTTTAAGTGAAACCTGTGAGTTTGTCGGGTATTGGTCATATTAATGCGTTCATTTTGTATTCGTACATAAGGTGTTGGGTTTGTGAATCCCATCTGTCTCTACCAGTGGACATTCTTTTTTTCTTTCATTTTTAGCAACAGGCCTTTTTTGTAAGTGTTCTCCCTGTTGTGTAGGATTGTCTAGTTGGGGAAAAACATGTGTCTGCTTCATTCAACTCAATTCAATTTATCGTATTCTTTGTACAGCCGTAATCACAACAGTAGTTATCTCGAAGGACTTAACAAAACCGTTGAATTCGCAAACACAGGTCAGAGAATCAGACAGTTCAAACACAAGAAAAACAATTATAAACACACATAGAGCCATTAGTCCATAAGGGACAGATGACCAATGTCCATAAGTGTTGATAAATGTGTTGAGTGTCCTGGATCATCATCACTGTCCTTTCAGTTAGACCCAGACAAGGGTCCAACAGAGCCTCCTGGAACAACTCCCAGTTCATCCAACCCCTTTTCAAACCTGTATTAGTGTGAAGATAGGTGAGATTGGGTTCTGAAGGTTTGACTGACAAACAAACTCATGTTATGAGTCTGGTATGTGTGTGAATGGTTGGTGGTGGTGGGAGGGGCCAATGGCACAGACTGGTTGCCTCGCTTCTGTCAGTGTGCCCCAGGGCAGCTGTGGCTATAGTAGAAGTTTATCACCAGCGTGTTTGGAGTGAATGAATAATGACATGTGAAGCGTCTTTTGAGTGTCAAAAAAGTGGTGTATAAAACTGATGCATCATTATTATTATTATTATTATTATTATTATTATTATTAGGCCACACCCCGCTTCAGAACACAGAACACATGTACAGTATAGTGCAGGGAAATGTATTTAATATTTACAGTCTTTGGCAGACGCAGACTCTTCAGGGTTCAGGGGTCAAACCGTCCTCAAAGGGTGGAGTGGCTGCAGGTCTTCATTCCAACCGTTGGAGCAAAGAGACTCCACCTTCACCTGAAGACCTGACGTCAGAGGAGGCCAACACCAGCACTGCCACATGTGTGAGGGGGGGGCAGCATCATGCTCATCAGCCTCAGCGCACCATCCCCAGTCTTGGATTGTTTTGTAAAGAGGAATGTGCAAAAATGTCAGTCTCGTGTGCAGTGTTTCCAAATACTGTGACCTCTCGTGTTTCTTTTTGTTGTGGCTTCAACAAATATGTGTGAGATTATAGTCCTACTTCAGTCCTGCTTCAGTCCTGGTTCAGTCCTGCTTCAGTCCTGGTTCAGTCCTGGTTCAGTTCTGCTTCAGTTCTGGTTTTCAGTCTTTAGTTCTCAGTCCAGTCCTGGTCCTGAGTCCTGGTCCTCAGTCTTATTTCAGTCCTGGTTCTCACTCCTGTTTCAGTCCTGCTTCAGTCCTGATCCTCAGTCCTGCTTCAGTCCTGATCCTCAGTCCTGAGTCCTCAGACCTGAGTCCTCAGTCTGGCTTCAGTCCTGAGTACTCAGTCCTGAGTCCTCAGTCCTACTTCAGTCCTGAGTCTTCAGTCCTGCTTCAGTCCTGAGTCCTCAGTCCTGAGTACTCAGTCCTGAGTCCTCAGTCCTACTTCAGTCCTGAGTCTTCAGTCCTGCTTCAGTCCTGAGTTCTCAGTCCTACTTCAGTCCTGAGTCTTCAGTCCTGAGTCTTCAGTCCTGAGTCTTCAGTCCTGCCTCAGTCTTGAGTCCTCAGTCCTCAGTCCTGAGTCTTCAGTCCTGCTTCAGTCCTCAGTTCTCAGTCCTGCTTTAGTCCTGGTCCTCAGTCCTCAGTTCTCTGTCCTGCTTCAGCCCCAGTCCTCAGTCCCGGCTCCTGTTGCCATGGTTACCCAGCCTCCTCGCTCTCGGAGGTTGTGTGGGTGGAGTGGGACGCTCTGCTCGGCTTCTGTGTTTCAGACTCATTCACTTTTCACACACAGAGCGAACGGCAGCCACAAAACACCACAAAACACCACAATACAACACAACAACAACACAACAAATACAACACAACTACAACAGGAACCTGAGCACCATGGCAACCGTCATCTGCACACGCTTCACCGAGGAGTACCAGCTCTACGAGGAGCTCGGCAAGTGAGTGACAGCTGCTGTGTGTGTGTGTGTGTGTGTGTGTGTGTGTGTGTGTGTGTGTGTGTGTGTGTGTGTGTGTGTGTGTGTGTGTGTGTGTGTGTGTGTGTGTGTGTGTGTGTGTGTGTGGGTGGGTGTGTGTGTGTGAGAGTGTGTGTGTGTGTGTGTGAGAGTGTGAGTGTGTGTGAAGGTATGTGTGTGTGAGTGTGAGTGTAAGCGCCTGTGAGTGTGTGCGAGTGTGGCTGTATGAAGGTATGTGTGTGTTCGTGTGTGTGTGTGTTTGTGTGTGTGTGTGTGTGAAGTTATGTGTGTTTGTGTGTGTTTATCTGTGTGTGTCTGTGTGTGTGAATGTGTACATAAAAATGTGTGTGTGTATCTTGTTTTAAAAGCAGCTGCAAAGAAGCGGAGGAGGATTGTGCAGAAGTGTAGGAGGAGGATGAGGAGAGGAGGGAGGAGGAGAGAGAAGGAGAGAGGAGGAGAGAGGAGGAGAGAGAAGGAGAGAGGAGGAGAGAGGAGGAGAGAGAAGGAGAGAGGTAGAGGGAGGATGAGGGAGAAGGAGGGAGAAGGAGAGAGGGGGAGAGAGAAGGAGAGAGGATGAGAGAGAAAAAGAGGGGAGGAGGGAGATGGAGAAAGGAAGAGAGAGAATGAGAGAGAAGGAGAGAGGAGGAGGGAGATGGGGAGAGGAGGAGAGAGGAGGAGGGAGATGGAGAAAGGAAGAGAGAGAATGAGAGAGAAGGAGAGAGGAGGAGGGAGATGGAGAGAGGAGGAGAGAGGAGGAGGGAGATGGAGAGAGGAGGAGAGAGAAGCAGAGAGGAGGAGAGAGAAGGAGAGAGGATGAGAGAGAAAAAGAGGGGAGGAGGGAGATGGAGAAAGGAAGAGAGAGAATGAGAGAGAAGGAGAGAGGAGGAGGGAGATGAGGAGAGGAGGAGAGAGGAGGAGGGAGATGGGGAGAGGAGGAGAGAGGAGGAGGGAGATGGAGAGAGGAGGAGAGAGGAGGAGGGAGAAGGAAAGATAAAAAGACAGGAGGAGGGAGATGGAGAGAGAAGGAGAGAGGAGGAGAGAGACGGAGAGAGGAGGAGAGAGAAGGATGGAGGAGAGAGGAGGAGACAGGAGGAGAGAGGAGGAGAGAGGAGGAGAGAGAAGGATGGAGGAGAGAGGAGGAGACAGGAGGAGAGAGGAGGAGAGAGGAGGAGAGAGAAGGATGGAGGAGAGAGGAGGAGACAGGAGGAGAGAGGAGGAGAGAGAAGGATGGAGGAGAGAGGAGGAGAGAGGAGGAGGGGCAGATCCAGGATTCTATCAGTTTTGTGTGGGTAAATTCTCTGGTCTGTAAAGTCTGAGGTCTGTCAGAACGACTGGGATCATGAACACAGTAAAAGTGTTCTTTCAGGGGTCAGAGGTCAGGGGTCAGGGGTCTGAAGCTACACACGTCACACACGGGACAACACTGTGAATAATGACAGCGTAACGTGGAGCTGTGTTCGGGTGAATGAAGCTCAGGGAAAATGAGGCTCGAAACTGTCTACTGTCACTCTGGTCTCACTCTGGTCTCACTCTGGTCTCTCTCTGGTCTCTCTCTGGTCTCTCTCTGGTCTCTCTCTGGTCTCACTCTGGTCTCTCTCTGGTCTCTCTCTGGTCTCTCTCTGGTCTCTCTTTTTTCTCTCTCTGATCTCTCTCCGGTCTCTCTCCGGTCTCTCTCTGGTCTCTCTCTGGTCTCTCTCTGGTCTCTCTGGTCTCTCTCTGGTCTCTCTCTGGTCTCTCTGGTCTCTCTCTGCTCTCTCTCTAGTCTCTCTGGTCTCTCTCTGGTCTCTCTCTGGTCTCTCTGGTCTCTCTCTCTGCTCTCCCTCTAGTCTCTCTGGTCTCACTCTGGTCTCTCTCTGGTCTCTCTCTGGTCTCTCTCTGGTCTCTCTCTGGTCTCTCTCTGGTCTCTCTCTGGTCTCTCTGGTCTCTCTCTGGTCTCTCTCTGCTCTCTCTCTAGTCTCTCTGGTCTCACTCTGGTCTCTCTCTGGTCACTCTCCGGTCTCTCTCTGGTCTCTCTGGTCTTGCTCTGGTCTCTCGCTCTGGTCTCTCTCTGGTCTCTCTCTGGTCTCTCTCTGCTCTCTCTCTGGTCTCTCTCTCTGGTCTCTCGCTCTGGTCACTCTCCGGTCTCTCTCTGGTCTCTCTCTGGTCTCTCTTTTTTCTCTCTCTGATCTCTCTCCGGTCTCGCTCTGGTCTCTCTCTGGTCTCTCTCTGGTCTCTCTCCGGTCTTTCTTCAGTCCCTCTCTCTGGTCTCTTTCTTTGGTCTCTGTCTGGTCTCTTTCTCTGGCCTCTCTCTTTGCTCTCTCTGGCACACACTGGTCTCTCTCAGGCCTGGTCTCTCTCTCTGGTCTCTCTCTCATCTCTCTCACTGGTCCCTCTCTCTGGTCTCTCTCGCTGGTCTCTCGCTGGTCTCTCTCTCTGGTCTCTCTCCGGTCTCTCTCTCTGGTCTCTCGCTCTTGTCTCTCTCTGGTCTCTCTCTGGCACTCAGAAAAGGATGTTTTAAGATGTCTTGCCTAACTTTTTAAATGTATAAATAATGCATAATGAATGTCCCGTCAGAACAAGGCTATTATGAGTAAACATTTCAAAATCAAAAGTCAATATTTGACTCTTTGGGCTGAGAGCTGAGGGGGGTCCTCTCTTTGTCACTTTTCTGTCTGAAAAAGCTGATCTAAAGATGTGAAAACTTTTGATAGAAGCAATTTGTTTTAGAGCCAGGAACTAGAGACATGGATTTATTACAGAGTTCTATTGGTCTGAAAGTTACAGACCTCAGCTTTAAAGCCCCATACGACTCTTCTGTGGCTCCAACTGCAGCATTTACAGTCAGTGGACGATCTGTGCGAAAAACACACTGTCAAACTGTCAGGGTCTGTGGGGGAGAGTCTGACTGTCAGAGGGGGAGGAGAGGGGGAGAGGAGTGTGTGAGGGAGAGGAGTGTGAGGAAGAGGGGACAGGGGGAGAGGAGTGAGGGAGGGAGAGGAGGACAGGGGGAGAGGAGTGAGGGAGGGAGCAGGGAGAGGAGTGTGTGAGGAGTGTGGAGAGGGGAGAGAGTGTGTGAGGGAGAGGGGAGAGGGGAGTGTGGGAGGGAGAGGGGAGAGGGGGAGAGGAGTGTGAGGGGGGAGGGAGAGGGGTGGTGGGGAGGGGGAGAGGGGAGAGGAGTGTGTGAGGGAGGGGAGAGGGGGAGAGGAGTGGGGAGGGAGTGGTGAGGGGGGAGGAGGTGAGAGAGAGGGGAGAGGGGAGAGTGTGAGGGAGGGGGAGAGGTGGGAGAGGGGGGGGAGAGGAGTGTGGGGGGGAGAGGGGAGAGGGGGGAGGGGGAGGAGTGTGTGAGGGGGGGGAGAGGGGGAGAGGAGTGTGTGTGAGGGAGAGGGGGAGAGGGGGAGAGGGAGTGTGTGGGGAGAGGGGAGAGGAGGGAGTGGTGAGGGAGGGGAGAGGAGTGTGGGAGGGAGAGGGGAGAGGGGGAGAGGAGTGTGAGGGGGAGAGGGGAGAGGAGTGTGTGAGGGAGAGGGGAGAGGGGGAGGAGTGGTGAGGGAGGGGGAGAGGGGGGGAGAGGAGTGTGGGAGGGAGAGGGGAGAGGGGGAGAGGAGTGTGGGGGGAGAGGAGTGTGTGAGGGAGAGGGGAGAGGGGGAGAGGAGTGTGGTGAGGGAGAGGGGGAGGGGGGGGAGGAGTGTGGGAGGGAGAGGGTGGAGAGGATGGAGAGGAGTGAGAGGGAGAGGTGGAGAGGGGGAGAGGAGTGTGTGAGGGAGGGGAGGGGAGAGGGGGAGAGGAGTGTGGGAGGGGCAGGGGAGAGGGGGAGAGGGTGTGGGATGGGGAGGGGGAGGGGAGAGGGAGAGGAGTGTGTGGGAGAGAGGGGGAGAGGAATGTGTGAGGGAGAGGGGGAGAGGAGTGAGAGAGGGAGAGGGGAGAGGAGAGAGAGTGAGAGAGAGAGGGAGAGGAGGAGAGGGGAAAGGGGGAGAGGAGTGAGAGAGGGGAGAGGAGTAAGGGAGGGAGAGGGGAGAGGGGAGAGGAGCGTGTGAGGGGCAGGGGAGAGAGGGAGAGGAGTGTGTGAGGGAGAGAGGTGGAATGGGGAAGAGGACAGGGGGAGAAGTGGGGGAGGAGAGGCGAGAGAGAAGAGGGTTTCATCATTCCAAACAGACGATGGGACAGCGGCTGAATAGCAATGAACAGACTACAGCTGAAGTCATAATGATAACAGATACAGTGAAGAGGAAGAGGAGTGTGCTACCATACTTCTCCAGCAGGGGTCTCACTGACGACCTGTATTTTTAGACTTTAAAGATGTATTGGAGGATTATCTACTTCCAATTGGATCATCAAGACTATTGGTCCTCCCACTTGTCAATCATTCTGCTGATACGTGCTCGTCCAATAAGACCAGAGAGTTTTGTTTAAACTATGGAGAGGGCGGTTCTTTCCTAAAAATTGGGATAATCCTCCTGTAGACCTTTTACCTGAGTCTGACCAAAGCCTCTGCTGAAGTAAAGGGGCTGTTGTAATCCTGGACTAGATTCCACAGTGCAGGAGTGTTTCCGAGCGCAGTGAGAGTTTGGTTGATAATGTTGGAGGTAGGAGGGAGCTGGAAGTGTTTTCTGAAGGATTCTCATTCTGTAGAGCACAGAGAGACTCCATTTAAAAATAATGAACTTACAGCCGCCTCATTTGCTTCTTCACCTGGAGGCAGCTCCCAGGGACAAGCTAACGACCAGGAAGTCAGCTCCAAACATCCACCTAAGCAGATCCCTCCATCACTGTGAGCCTCCTGAACCAGAGAGAGACCAGAGAGAGACCAGAGAGGGACCAGAGAGAGACCAGAGAGAGACCAGAGAGAGACCAGAGAGAGACCAGAGAGAGACCAGAGAGAGACCAGAGAGAGACCAGAGAGAGACCAGAGAGAGAGACCAGAGAGAGAGACCAGAGAGAGAGACCAGAGAGAGACCAGAGAGAGACCAGAGAGAGAGACCAGAGAGAGAGACCAGAGAGAGACCAGAGAGAGAGACCAGAGAGAGACCAGAGAGAGACCAAGAGAGACCAGAGAGAGAGCAGAGAGACTAGAGAGAGACCAGAGAGAGACCAGAGAGACCAGAGAGACCAGAGAAGGACCAGAGAGAGACCAGAGAGGGACCAGAGAGAGACCAGAGAGAGACCAGAGAGAGAGCAGAGAGAGACCAGAGAGAGACCAGAGAGACCAGAGAGAGAGCAGAGAGACTAGAGAGAGACCAGAGAGAGACCAGAGAGACCAGAGAGACCAGAGAGGGACCAGAGAGAGACCAGAGAGGGACCAGAGAGAGACCAGAGAGAGACCAGAGAGAGAGCAGAGAGAGACCAGAGAGAGACCAGAGAGAGACCAGAGAGAGACCAGAGAGAGACCAGAGAGAGACCAGAGAGAGACCAGAGAGAGACCAGAGAGGGACCAGAGAGGGACCAGAGAGAGACCAGAGAGAGACCAGAGAGAGACCAGAGAGAGACCAGAGAGAGACCAGAGAGAGACCAGAGAGAGACCAGAAAGAGCAGTGAGGGACAAGAGAGAGACCAGCGAGAGACCAGAGAGACTAGAGAGAGAGACCAGAGAGAGACCAGAGAGAGACCAGAGAGACCAGAGAGAGACCAGAGAGAGACCAGAGAGACCAGAGAGAGACCAGAGAGGGACCAGAGAGAGACCAGAGATACCAGAGAGAGACCAGAGAGAGACCAGAGAGAGACCAGAAAGAGCAGTGAGGGACCAGAGAGAGACCAGGGAGAGACCAGAGAGACTAGAGAGAGAGACCAGAGAGAGACCAGAAAGAGCAGAGAGAGACCAGAGAGAGACCAGAGAGAGACCAGAGAGAGACAAGAGAGCGACCAGAGAGAGACCAGAGAGAGATCAGAGAGGGACCAGAGAGAGACCAGAGAGAGACCAGAGAGAGAGCAGAGAGAGACCAGAGAGAGACCAGAGAGACCAGAGAGAGACCAGAGAGAGAGCAGAGAGAGAGCAGAGAGAGACCAGAGAGAGACCAGAGAGACCAGAGAGAGACCAGAGAGAGACCAGAGAGAGAGCAGAGAGACCAGAGAGAGACCAGAGAGAGACCAGAGAGACCAGAGAGAGAGCAGAGAGAGAGCAGAGAGAGACCAGAGAGAGACCAGAGAGAGACCAGAGAGACCAGAGAGAGACCAGAGAGAGACCAGAGAGAGACCAGAGAGACCAGAGAGAGACCAGAGAGAGACCAGAGAGAGACCAGAGAGAGACCAGAGAGAGACCAGAGAGACCAGAGAGAGACCAGAGAGAGACCAGAGAGAGACCAGAGAGAGCAGAGAGAGACCAGAGAGAGACCAGAGAGAGACCAGAGAGGGACCAGAGAGAGACCAGAGAGAGACCAGAGAGACCAGAGAGAGACCAGAGAGACCAGAGAGACCAGAGAGACCAGAAAGGGCCATGTCAGAGGTTGATACTGAGATCGTCATTATTCATATGTGAAATATACAAAATCTTTCATAATTATAGAGAAAGAAAAAAACAAACGTGTGTGTCCTTGCTCTGGTCCTTCTTTAGTCCTGCTTTAGACCTGTTTCAGTCCTGCTCTGGTCCTTCATTAGTCCTGATTTAGACCTGTTTCAGTCCTGCTCTAGTGCTTCTGTAGTCCTGCTTTAGACCTGTTTCAGTCCTGCTTTATACCTGTTTCAGTCCTGCTCTGGTCCTTCATTAGTCCTGCTTTAGACCTGTTTCAGTCCTGCTCTGGTCCTTCTTTAGTCCTGCTCTGGTGCTTCTTTAGTCCTGCTCTGGTCCTTCTTTAGTCCTGCTTTAGACCTGTTTCAGTCCTGCTCTGGTCCTTCTGTAGTCCTGCTTTAGACCTGTTTCAATCCTGCTCTGGTCCTTCTGTAGTCCTGCTTTAGACCTGTTCCAGTCCTGTTCTGGTGCTTCTTTAGTCCTGCTTTAGACCTGTTCCAGTCCTGCTCTGGTGCTTCTTTAGTCCTGCTTTAGACCTGTTCCAGTCCTGCTCTGGTGCTTCTTTAGTCTTGCTTTAGACCTGTTTCAGTCCTGCTCTGGTCCTTCTGTAGTCCTGCTTTAGACCTGTTCCAGTCCTGCTCTGGTGCTTCTTTAGTCCTGCTTTAGACCTGTTCCAGTCCTGCTCTGGTGCTTCTTTAGTCTTGCTTTAGACCTGTTTCAGTCCTGCTCTGGTCCTTCTGTAGTCCTGCTTTAGAACTGTTCCAGTCCTGCTCTGGTCCTTCTGTAGTCCTGCTTTAGACCTGTTCCAGTCCTGCTCTGGTGCTTCTTTAGTCCTGCTTTAGACCTGTTCCAGTCCTGCTCTGGTGCTTCTTTAGTCCTGCTTTAGACCTGTTCCTGTCCTGCTCTGGTGCTTCTTTAGTCTTGCTTTAGACCTGTTTCAGTCCTGATCTGGTCTCTGCTGGTGAAAAGCTGCGTTTGGCCCCTGTGCCCTCAGCCCACTCTCGTCCCACTCAGCTCTGTGCTCTTACATAACTCTGTGGGCGACAGCCAATCAGCACGCAGCTCTGAGGCATACAGCCAATCAGCACGCAGCTCTGAGGCATACAGCCAATCAGCACGCAGCTCTGAGGCATACAGCCAATCAACACACAGCTCACGTGGTGCTAAGGCCAAAGGGAAGTGTACCCACCAATCACAGCGCAGATCAGTGTCAGAGGAAAAAGAAGGAAATCACAATTTACAACAGATGGGAACTCTTAAACACACATGTATCTGTGGTGGCGCCACCTGCAGGTGAAAGTCAGCACCCAGCAGACCTCTGAAGCTATGCAGGGCAGGGCCTGGTTAGTACTGTGATGGGAGACCTCAAGGAACAACAGGTGCCACAGTGGGGGAATGTAAAGCGCCAAACTGTTTATGTGCCCTTAGGCAAGACACTTTACCCACATTAGAATCAGTCTGGTGTGAAAGATGGAGGTGGGAGGGGCCAATGGCTGTCTTCCTACTGTCAGTTTTATAAACACATATATATAATGTTATAAACATATATAAAAGGTTATGTAATAAACACGTATAATGTTACAAATGTTTCTCTTGTTGCAACATTTGTAACACACATATATATATAAATATATATATATGTATATATACATATATATATATATATATATATATATATATATATATATATATATATATATATATATATATATATATATATATATATATATATACTGTATGTATATATATTATAAACATATGTTTCTCTTGTTGCAGAGGAGCGTTCTCCATCGTTCGTCGATGCATCAAAGTTCACACTGGACAAGAATATGCTGCAAAGATCATCAACACCAAGAAGCTGTCAGCGAGAGGTGAGACCAGGTTAGACTAGGTTAGACCAGGTTAGAACAGGTTAGACTGGTTCAGACCAGGTTAGACAAGGTTAGACCAGGTTATACCCAATTCGATTATATTAGACCAGGTTAGATCAGTTTATAACTGGTTAAAGCAGGAGAGACCAGGTAAGACCGGGTTAGACCGGGTTTCTCCACGATAGACCCGGTTTTACCTGGTTAAACTGGGTGAGACTGACTTTAGACTGGCTTTAGACCTGCTTCAGTTCCTGGTCCAGACCTGGTTCAGACCTGGTCCAGACGTTGTGTCAGGCCTGGTCCGGACCTGGTCCAGACCTGGTCCAATCCTGGTTCAGTTCTGGTTCTGTCTTTAACACAGTTTTCATTTCTGTGATTTAATAATAATCTCTGTTACATAACTCAGCTGCTGCTCTGTCAACTTTACTGTTACCAAGCAACAAGTATCCGGCCAATCAGAGGCCAGCGTTGTTCAAGAGCCAACACAGATTCAGAGCAGAGACCCGGACCGAAGCACCCGGAGGAAACCTGTCCACACACAGGGAGAACTCGCGAAATCCAACCGACCAATACAGTATTTGAATCTTTGGGCTGAGAGCTGATTGGCCGAGAGAGGGTGGTCCTCTCTTCACTTCTCTGTTTGATTAATCTGCTCTAAAGATGAAGCAGAAATACATGATGTGAAAACTAGACCAGGACCAGGACCAGGACCAGAATCAAGACCAGGACCAGGACCAAGACCAGGACCAGGAACAGGACCAGGATCAAAACCAGGATCATGATCAGGACCAGGATCAAGACCAGGACCAGGACCAAGACAAAGATCAGAGCCAGGACCAAGACCAAGACCACGACCAAGATCGGCACCAGGACCAGGACCAAGATTGGAACCAGGACCATGAACAGAACCAAGACCAAGACCAGGACCAAGATCAGGACCAGGACCAAGACCAGGACCAGGACCAGAACCAGGACCAGGACCAAGACCAAGACCTGTATAATAGTTCTAATGGTGTGGTCTGAAAGTTACATACCTCAGCTTTAAAGTCTTGTTGCATTTGTACAGGGGCATTTTCAGCAGACGGTGTAGAGTTGGAAACTAAACATTGCGACAGAAGGGTTGGGGGGACGTAGAGGACAACCTCATTCAGATACTGATGTGTGCTTTGGTTTCAGATCATCAGAAACTGGACCGAGAGGCGCGGATCTGCCGGCTGCTCAAACACCCCAACATCGGTGAGAGTGACCCCTGAGACCCCTGAGACCCCCGAGACCCCTGAGAGACCCCTGTGACTCCTGAGACCACTGAGACCCCAGAGAGACCCCTGTGACCCCTGAGACCCCAGAGAGACCCGAGAGACCACTGTGACTCTTGAGACCCCTGTGATTCCTCAGACCCCTGTGACTCCAGAGAGACCACTGAGATCCCAGAGAGACCCCTGTGACCCCTGAGAGACCCCTGTGACTCCAGAGAGACCACTGAGACCCGAGAGACCACTGTGACTCCTGACCCCTGAGACCCATGTGACTCCTCAGACCCCTGTGACTCCAGAGAGACCACTGAGACCCCAGAGAGACCCCTGTGACCCCTGAGAGACCCCTAAGAGACCACTGAGACCCCTGTGACTCCTGATAGACCCTTGAGAGACCCATGATAAGAGGGATAGATAAACCTTAGCCTTAAACACGGAGGAGCCCCGGAGCAGCTCGCCCCCAGCGTCAGTCAGTGTCAGTTGGGGGGAGATGGGGGAGAGGGGGGGGCTGCTTTTCTTCTGCAGGGACAGGGAAGAACATCAGACGTGTATGTTTCAGGCCTAAAACACCTCTCATCTCATCTGCAAGAGAGCTGTTTTGTAAAGAAGAATGGCACAAACCTTCAGTCTCTAGATGTGCAGAGTAGAGTCGGGCTCGGTGCCGAGCCTGAGGGGCTCGTCCTCTGACCCAGTTTTGATCTGAATTATGGAACATATCTGCAGGACATGAATATTATTCACTCTGACACAGATCTGAGGCTCAGTGACAGACATTTTGGCTCAGATGAACAGGTCTTCTGTGTGTGCTTGTTGCTAGGTGACGCACCTGAGCAGTGTGTAGGTTGGGCATCCCATAATAGTCCTCCTCCTGACCCCGCCCCTTCAGCCTGCTTAGACCGTGTTAGACACAGCTATAAAAGCAGGCTGGAATAGGCCATGAAAGCAGACCTCGGAAGCTAAGCAGGGTAGGACCTGGTTAGTACTGGAATGGGAGACCTCTGTGAACACCAGGTGCCACAGTGGAGTCGTGTGTGTGTGAATGGTTGGTGGTGGGAGGGGCCATGACACAGACTGTCAGTGTGCCCCAGGGCAGCTGTGGCTACAGTAGTTTATCTCCATTATGTTTGGTGTGAATGAATAATGCAAAACGAACTGTATTAAACACATTCATCATTATTGCATATATATAATATTTATTATTATTAATGTCACACTTGTGCCACCAGGGGTCAGTGCTGCTCGTTCTGGTCGTCCCTTACTCCATTAAACTGTTGTTTCTGTTGCAGTGCGGCTTTATGACAGTATCTCCGAAGAAAACCACCACTACCTCATCTTCGACCTGTGAGGAACATTTCAACATCTTTATTTATACAGTATATATCAGGAAAAAAGAGAAGGAAAAGTTATAGAAATACCAAGGGCTCAGAGAGGAACTGGAGAGAGTCTGAAGGTAAAGGAGACAGTAGTGAGAGAGTCTGAAGGTAAAGGAGACAGAAGTGAGAGAGTCTGAAGGTAAAGGAGACAGTAGAGAGAGAGTCTGAAGGTAAAGGAGACAGTAGTGAGAGAGTCTGAAGGTAAAGGAGACAGTAGTGAGAGAGTCTGAAGGTAAAGGAGACAGTAGTGAGAGAGTCTGAAGGTAAAGGAGACAGTAGTGAGAGAGTCTGAAGGTAAAGGAGACAGTAGTGAGAGAGTCTGAAGGTAAAGGAGACAGTAGTGAGAGAGTCTGAAGGTAAAGGAGACAGTAGTGAGAGAGTCTGAAGGTAAAGGAGACAGTAGTGAGAGAGTCTGAAGGTAAAGGAGACAGTAGTGAGAGAGTCTGAAGGTAAAGGAGACAGTAGTGAGAGAGTCTGAAGGTAAAGGAGACAGTAGTGAGAGAGTCTGAAGGTAAAGGAGACAGTAGTGAGAGAGTCTGAAGGTAAAGGAGACAGTAGTGAGAGAGTCTGAAGGTAAAGGAGACAGTAGTGAGAGAGTCTGAAGGTAAAGGAGACAGTAGTGAGAGAGTCTGAAGGTAAAGGAGATAGTAGTGAGAGAGTCTGAAGGTAAAGGAGACAGTAGTGAGAGAGTCTGAAGGTAAAGGAGACAGTAGTGAGAGAGTCTGAAGGTAAAGGAGACAGTAGTGAGAGAGTCTGAAGGTAAAGGAGACAGTAGTGAGAGAGTCTGAAGGTAAAGGAGACAGTAGTGAGAGAGTCTGAAGGTAAAGGAGACAGTAGTGAGAGAGTCTGAAGGTAAAGGAGACAGTAGTGAGAGAGTCTGAAGGTAAAGGAGACAGTAGTGAGAGAGTCTGAAGGTAAAGGAGACAGTAGTGAGAGAGTCTGAAGGTAAAGGAGACAGTAGTGAGAGAGTCTGAAGGTAAAGGAGACAGTAGTGAGAGAGTCTGAAGGTAAAGGAGACAGTAGTGAGAGAGTCTGAAGGTAAAGGAGACAGTAGTGAGAGAGTCTGAAGGTAAAGGAGACAGTAGTGAGAGAGTCTGAAGGTAAAGGAGACAGTAGTGAGAGAGTCTGAAGGTAAAGGAGACAGTAGTGAGAGAGTCTGAAGGTAAAGGAGACAGTAGTGAGAGAGTCTGAAGGTAAAGGAGATAGTAGTGAGAGAGTCTGAAGGTAAAGGAGATAGTAGTGAGAGATTCTGAAGGTAAAGGAGACAGTAGTGAGAGAGTCTGAAGGTAAAGGAGACAGTAGTGAGAGAGTCTGAAGGTAAAGGAGACAGTAGTGAGAGAGTCTGAAGGTAAAGGAGACAGTAGTGAGAGAGTCTGAAGGTAAAGGAGACAGTAGTGAGAGAGTCTGAAGGTAAAGGAGACAGTAGTGAGAGAGTCTGAAGGTAAAGGAGACAGTAGTGAGAGAGTCTGAGGGTAAAGGAGAGAGTAGTGAGAGAGTCTGAAGGTAAAGGAGACAGTAGTGAGAGAGTCTGAAGGTAAAGACAGTAGTTGTGCTTCGGTCAACCTCGGTCCAGAAATGTTTAAAGCTGTGTAACTTTAGTCTCATAAATAACACATATTTAAAAGCTGGGGTACGCAACAACATGCTTTTTCCTCCAGTTTTCCTTAAAGTAGTACTAGAAATTAATATGCTGCTATCCAGAATATATAACTACAATATGTGTTTATAATATTTTGGGTGTTCATTTTGACATGTTCAGATGAATTATGTTAAAAAAGCGGCTTTGAAGTGGCACCTTTTCACAAACACTAGGGGGATCCAAATGGCGGCGATGACGTAGGAGAAGGACCTCTCACAGCAGCAGCAGCAGTCTGGGCTGAATCTGTAGGAGGTTTCACTGTCATCTGAACAAGGTATAAACATATTTTCATTAGTTTTGTACATAATAGTGTGCAACTCTTTTAACCTTTTAGCCTTATTTGTGAGATTCAAGCTAATTAGTGTTGGGCAAGTTAGCTAACTCTACTTGATATCATAAAACATGCTAACAAGGCTAATATTCGTGTTTACATTATGCCAGTCTCTCTTTGGTTGCCTTAGATTTATTTACCACAATGTACATTATAATATTCAAAAATGCTAATCAAAATAACTTGAATTAAATAAATATTTTGCTTTTATGAACAAAAACCTGCTGAAGTTGAAAACATAGACTACATGTGATGCAATCATTGATAAAAATCGTTGGTGTTAGCATTTATGGATATTACAATGTACATTGTGGTAAATAAATCTAAGGCAAAGTGAGACTGGCATAATGTAAAAACGAATATTAGCCTTGTTAGCATGTTTTATGATATCAAGTAGAGTTAGCTAACTTGCCCAACACTAATTAGCTTGAATCTCACAAATAAGGCTAAAAGGTTAAAAGAGTTGCACACTATTATGTACAAAACGGATGAAAATATGTTTATACCTTGTTCAGATGACAGTGAAACCTCCTACAGATTCAGCCCAGACTGCTGCTGCTGCTGTGAGAGGTCCTTCTCCTACGTCATCGCCGCCATTTGGATCCCCCTAGTGTTTGTGAAAAGGTGCCACTTCAAAGCCGCTTTTTTAAACATAATTCATCTGAACATGTCAAAATGAACATTCAAAATATTAAAAACACATATTGTAGTTATATATTCTGGATAGAAGCATATTATATTCTAGTACTACTTTAAGCTCACCCTTTTGCCTGTGGCTGTCTTTCTCAGAGTAACGGGAGGAGAGCTGTTCGAGGACATCGTGGCTCGAGAATACTACAGTGAAGCTGACGCCAGGTTTGTGATGTCCTTCTGAGAAGATGAATCTAAGATGGAAAAGTCACAATAAACTGCACTGATACACTGATGCCTGTGTTAGTCTCCTCTGACCACAGCATGATGCTGCCCCCCCCTCACACTGCTGTCTCTGTTAGTGTTGGTCTTCGCTGACCACAGCATGATGCTGCCTCCCCCTCCCCCTTCCCCTCACACTGATGCCTGTTAGTGTTGGTCTCCTCTGACCACAGCATGATGCTGCCCCCCCCTCACACTGATGCCTGTTAGTGTTGGTCTCCTCTGACCACAGCATGATGCTGCCTCCCCCCCCCCTCACACTGATGCCTGTTAGTGTTGGTCTCCTCTGACCACAGCATGATGCTACCCCCCCCTCCCCCTCACACTGATGCCTGTTAGTGTTGGTGTCCTCTGACCACAGCATGATGCTGCACCCCCCTCACACTGATGCCTGTTAGTGTTGGTCTCTTCTGACCACAGCATGATGCTGCCTCCCCCTCCCCCTCACACTGATGCCTGTTAGTGTTGGTCTCCTCTGACCACAGCATGATGCTGCCCCCCCCCCCTCACACTGATGCCTGTTAGTGTTGGTCTCCTCTGACCACAGCATGATGCTGCCTCCCCCCCCCTCACACTGAGGCCTGTTAGTGTTGGTCTCCTCTGACCACAGCATGATGCTGCCCCCCCCCCCCTCACACTGATGCCTGTTAGTGTTGGTCTCCTCTGACCACAGCATGATGCTGCCCCCCCCCCCTCACACTGATGCCTGTTAGTGTTGGTCTCCTCTGACCACAGCATGATGCTGCCCCCCCCCCCTCACACTGAGGCCTGTTAGTGTTGGTCTCCTCTGACCACAGCATGATGCTGCACCCCCCTCACACTGATGCCTGTTAGTGTTGGTCTCTTCTGACCACAGCATGATGCTGCCTCCCCCTCCCCCTCACACTGATGCCTGTTAGTGTTGGTCTCCTCTGACCACAGCATGATGCTGCCCCCCTCCCTCACACTGATGCCTGTTAGTGTTGGTCTCCTCTGACCACAGCATGATGCTGCCCCCCCCCCTCCCCCCTCACACTGATGCCTGTTAGTGTTGGTCTCCTCTGACCACAGCATGATGCTGCACCCCCCTCACACTGATGCCTGTTAGTGTTGGTCTCCTCTGACCACAGCATGATGCTGCCCGTTCTCTCCACAGTCACTGTATTCAGCAGATCCTGGAGGCCGTCCTGCACTGTCACCAGATGGGAGTCGTGCACAGAGACCTGAAGGTGAGTCCCCCTCCGTCTGTCCTCACCCTCTCCTCTCAAACACTTCCTTCCTCTGTCCTTACCCTCTCCTCTCAAACACATAGCCAAGCTTGAAAGTCACGTACCCCAGCTTTAAAGTCACTTTCCCCAGCTTTAAAGTCGCGTACCCCAGCTTTAAAGTCACGTACCCCAGCTTTAAAGTCACGTACCCCAGCTTTAAAGTCACGTACCCCAGCTTTAAAGTCACGTACCCCAGCTTTAAAGTCACGTACCCCAGCTTTACTGCATCTCTTGTTGCAGCCGGAGAATCTCCTTCTGGCCTCGAAGACGAAGGGTGCCGCGGTGAAACTCGCAGACTTTGGTTTGGCCATCGAGGTGGAGGGAGAGCAGCAGGCCTGGTTCGGTGAGCAAAGCAGTCTGGGAATCGGAGTCCACAAACTGGAAAGGGGTCATCTTAGCCAAAATGTTGTAGTTCATCAGATCTGGATCCTTCAGGTGTACCTATGGTAAAATAAGTAATTTTAGACTTTATGGGGACTGTGTGTGTGTAAACTGTATGTTTACAGACCTTTTGGGGACTGTGTGTATAAATATATTTATTTCACAGGATTTGCGGGGACTCCTGGATACCTGTCGCCTGAGGTGCTGAGGAAAGACCCATACGGGAAAGCAGTGGATCTGTGGGCCTGTGGTACGACACCCGTATTCATGACTGACCCTGTCCCTGTTCTGACCCTTCCCCTGTTCTGACCCTGCCCCTGTCCCGACCCTGCTCTGCCCCTGTCTTAACCCTGCTTTGCCCCTGTCCTGACCTTGTCCTGACTCAGGCCTGACCCTAACTTGACACTGCAGGTCCCACTATGACCAAAGTGCGTGATTGTCTCTGGCCTGATCCTCAGGGGTGATCCTCTACATCCTCCTCGTGGGGTACCCTCCTTTCTGGGACGAAGATCAACACCGGCTGTATCAGCAGATCAAAGCAGGAGCCTACGATGTGAGTAAACAACAATTTTTATTGACTTGTTCAGTTCCCCTCCCCCTGTTGTTTACCTGTTGTTGTGGTGGTTGTTTACAATTACCTGGTGTTGTTTACCTGTTGTTGTGGTGGTTGTTTACAATGACCTGGTGTTACCTGTTGTTGTGGTGGTTGTTTACAATGACCTGGTGTTGTTTACCTGTTGTTGTGGTGGTTGTTTACAATGACCTGGTGTTGTTTACCTGTTGTTGTGGTGGTTGTTTACAATGACCTGGTGTTACCTGTTGTTGTGGTGGTTGTTTACAATGACCTGGTGTTGTTTACCTGTTGTTGTGGTGGTTGTTTACAATGACCTGGTGTTGTTTACCTGTTGTTGTGGTGGTTGTTTACAATGACCTGGTGTTACCTGTTGTTGTGGTGGTTGTTTACAATGACCTGGTGTTGTTTACCTGTTGTTGTGGTGGTTGTTTACAATGACCTGGTGTTGTTTACCTGTTGTTGTGGTGGTTGTTTACAATGACCTGGTGTTGTTTACCTGTTGTTGTTGTTACAGTTCCCCTCCCCTGAGTGGGACACAGTGACCCCTGAGGCCAAAGATCTCATCAATAAGATGTTGACCATAAACCCGACCAAGAGGATCACCGCAGCTGAGGCCCTCAAGCACCCCTGGATCTCTGTGAGGACCAAGACCAGGACTTAGACTGGGACCAGGATCAGGACCAGGATCAGGACCAGGACCAGAACTAGGACTGAGACCCGGACCAGACAGAGAGACCCGTGAGAGACTCTACTCTCTCCTCTTCTGCCCTCCTTCCCTCTCTTCTTCTATCTCACTCCTCCTCTTTAATCTCCTCCTCCTTCTTCCTAACCTCCTTCTCCCCTCCTCGTCTTCCTCTCTAACCTCCTTCTCCTCCTCCTCCTCCTTCTCTCCTCTCTAACCTCCTCCTCTCTCCTCAGCACCGCTCCACTGTGGCCTCCTGTATGCACCGACAGGAGACGGTCGAGTGTCTGAAGAAATTCAACGCACGACGGAAACTTAAGGTTCTCCATCTTCCTCTTTTCCATGCTAATGCTGGAGCTCATAGGCAGTGTTCATGCTAAGCCCCGCCCCCTCTTTCCTGGGGTCAGATGTCAGTCTGTGGCACTCTGAGCGTGCACCTGAAATAGAGGCCTCCGTATATCTGAATGTATACGGAGGGAAAATGCTAACCTTCTAGCTCCATGCTAACATGCTAACTCAAAGTTTACTCACTAGCTAAATGCTAGCCCGCTAGCTTTTTACTAACTCAATAACTCAATGCCAACCCGCTAGCTCACTGCTAAACTCTGAGGGCTACGCTAACCCGCTAGCTCAAATTTAACTTACTAGCTCAATGCTAACCCCAGCTCAATGCTAACCTACTGGTGACGTCCATTCGGGAAGTGCTCATAGTGAAGTTTGGCTCCAACTCACTCTGGCTACTATTGACTTGTGACATGTTTTTTTATTGAGATGGGTGTCTTGGACTAGAGGCAGCAAAAGTTAAACACAAACACATACATTTACGGATTAGAAAAGCAGTTACATGTAACGAAGATGTCTCAAGTGCTCTCAATCTGGATTTAAAAGCATTCACTGAAATAAGTTCAGTTATGTAAAAGTAAACTCGTCTGTGTCTTTTCCACCTCTCCTCTCTTGTCTCCTCTCTTGTCCCCTCTCTTGTCTCCTTTCCTAGGGCGCCATCTTGACAACCATGTTGGCCACAAGGAACTTCTCTGGTGAGTTGCACTTTTGTTACTCCAGCTCCTCCAACTCCAGGTCCTTCAATTCAGTTACATTTTTATGTAACTGAACCAAATCACAACAGCAGTCATCTCAGAGGACCTTACAGAGTTTTGGATTCACTGACGTCAGATCAGAGCTTTGGTGGACCCCCTTGAGCGTTCATTATGGACAATCTGTTCCCAATTCTTCCCAATCCCCCCTCTCCAAGTGTCACTGGTGTTTCTCATGTGGTGCGATCCCCCAGGTCAGGAGAATAAGTGGGTCCAGTACCACTCCCAGGGAAGGTCCCTTTCTCCCTGCTGTTTGGCCTTGTAGGTTCCACAACAGTGAGAGACTTTTCCCCAACAGGGTGCTCGCATATGAACCCCAACCCCAGGCCTGGCTCCATACTGGGGCGACGTCACGGTTTTCATTGCCGTATAGTACAGGGTTCGTTTTTGGACCATGCTTGGTCTGACTTGTCACCCAGGACCTGTTTGCCATAAGGCATAAAGCCCCATGCAACATATCCCCTAGGATCATCCGAGTACGCAAACTCCCCCTCCATGTTAACGTGGCAGTCCATGGGGGGGCATCATCACAGCATAAAACAGACGCTAGACCAGTGGGTTAAGAGCAATAAACAGACAACAGCTGAAGTAATAATAGCAACAGTAGCAGAATTAGTAGCAGTAGTAGTAAGGCAAGGCAAGGCAAGTTTATTTATATAGCACAATTCATACACAAGGCAACTCAAAGTGCTGAACAAAATAAGAAAGCATTCAAATCATAAACAATCACAGAACATTAAAAAGAAAGATAAAAATATAAAATCCCTCAGTTGTAGCACAGCTAAACAGAACTGTCTTTAACCTGGTTTTAAACATAGTCAGAGAGGAGGCCTGTCTCACATCTTCAGGAAGATTGTTCCAGATTTTAGCAGCATGAATCTGAAAAGCAGCCTCCCCATGTTTAGTTCTGACTCTGGGCACTAACAGGAGTCCAGTCCCTGTGCTCCTCAGAGTCCCAGCAGGAGTCCAGTCCCTGTGCTCCTCAGAGTCCGGGCTGGTTCATATGGGACTAACATGTCACTAATATATTTTGGTGCGAGGCCATGGAGAGACTTGTAACAAGCAGAGCTGTTTTAAAGTCTATTCTCTGAGCCACAGGAAGCCAGTGCAGAGACCTGAGGACTGGACTAATGTGGTCGTACTTCCTGGTTCTAGTCAGGACTAATGTGGTCGTACTTCCTGGTTCTAGTCAGGACTCGAGCTGCTGCATTTTGAATGTACTGCAGCTGCTTTACAGCCTGTTTGGACAGACCTGTGAGCAGGCCATTGCAGTAGTCTAACCTTCTGGAGACAAATGCATGGATAAGAATCTCCAAGTCTGCCCTAGACACTATGTTTTTGATCCTGGCAATGTTTTTTAGATGGTAAAAAGCTGCTGATGTTACTGATTTGATGTGGCTATTAAAATTTAAGTCTGAGTCCAGTATCACCCCTAGATTTCTGACCTTGTTTGAAGGTTTTAGGGAGAGAGACTGTAGGTGACAGATGACGCTCTCTCTTTGTTTCTGGGGACCAAAGACAATCATTTCAGTTTTGTCTGCGTTTAGCTGAAGGAAGTTGTTTTGCATCCACTCACTGATCTGTTGGATACAGTGAAGGAGTGAGTCCACTGGTCCATGTTCTCCTGCAGTCAGTGAGACATAGATCTGAGTGTCGTCTGCATAGTTGTGATAGGACACTTTGTTTCTGCGTATTAACTGACCTAACGGCAGCATGTAGAGATTGAACAGAAGAGGTCCCAGGATCGACCCCTGTGGTACTCCACAGGTCAGGGCCATATGATCTGAGACACAGTTTCCAATCTCCACAAAGTACTTCCTGTCTTCAAGGTAAGACCTAAACCAACTTAGGGCGGTGCCAGCGACACCAACCCAGTCCTCTGATCTCTGTAAGAGGATCTCATGGTCGACAGTGTCAAAAGCAGCACTTAGATCTAACAGGATTAGGATTGAGACTTTGCCTGCGTCAGTGTTCAGCCGGATATCATTTGTAACCTTGACGAGAGCAGTCTCAGTGCTGTGGTGGGGTCTAAAGCCGGACTGAAACATATCAAATGAGTTGTTGATTATAAGAAATCTAGTAAGCTGTAGGTAGACAACTTTCTCAAGGACTTTTCCCATAAATGGCAGATTTGAGATGGGACGATAGTTGTTAAGTACCGTAGCATCCAGACTGCTCTTTTTTAGCAGGGGCCTGATGACTGCAGTTTTCAGGGCCTTTGGGAATATTCCAGAATGAAGGGACATGTTTACTATCTGTGTGAGTGAAGGTAACAGACTGCTCAGAACAGACTTTAGAAATCTAGTGGGTAGTACATCCAGGCTGCATGTGGAGGAGCTCAGACTGGAGATTATCTCTTGGACAGTTTTATCATTTACAGGTGCAAAGTAAGTTAGCTCAGAGAGCCTTTCTGGTTGTTGGATGGTTATCTGTGGATTGGAGACAATTAGGGGTGCAACGGTTTGAAAAAATCACGGTTCGGTTTGTACCTCGGTTCAGAGGCCACGGTTCGGTTCATTTTTCGGTTCATTTTTCTAAAAAAAAGTTTTGTCTTTTTAATAAACACAGCTCATGTGGACTCGGCACCTGCTCTGACTGCCCCCCCCCCCCCCCCCCTGACCTAGAAATGAATTAAGGGGAAGGAAATGGATGGATGGATGGAAGGCATATTCCATCCATCCAATTATGTCTATTTAACATAATTAATGAAAAACAACGCAAAGTGCAACATAAGAAGGCACTTTATGAGGATATTTACCCTCATATATTACACCACCTTCCTGATTCTCCCAAGGAGGGGGTCCATTCTGGGCCCAGCCTCATTCACTGCATTTATTTAATTTTTGGCATTATCAGTTGTGACTGGGATATTAGTACTGGGCCTTTGTCTTCCATTCCTCCGCTGCTTGTGTGAGTACCTGTGCTGTGTGACTGTGTGACTGTCGTAGAGGGGGCGTGTCTTCAGCGCCAGACTTTTCATCTCCCAGTCTGCGGTGATGAAGTGAGCGGTTCCGCTCATGGATCTATTATAGGTTCCGCGGGACTTCCAAACGTCAGTCGTGAACGCAGCTGAGGATGCGCGGGAGAGTGGACTTTAGCCCGGTCTGACTGTGCGTAAAGGAGCTGCTTAAATGCCGCGACAATAAGCGGTCGTTGAGACGCTTTTTTCACTCATGTCTTTCTTGTGCCACAGTGCTTACACATCGTGACAGTTTTGTCGAATATTAATTATCAGTGTAGTTACAGTGAAGCCAAAATGCTCTCATACTGGGGATTTAAGACGCAGGGCTTTCAAGCATCTCCGTTCCTCCGCTCGCAATGACCGCGCTGTGTGTGGACTGAACAACGTGTGCACAACTTTTTTTTCATAAATCAAACCGCGGATCACGTCTGTACCGAACCGAAGACGTTGAACCGAACGGATCACGGATCAGTGATGAACCGTTGCACCTCTAGAGACAATGGCGTTTTTGATGCCTTGAACCTTGTCATTGAAAAAATGCGCAAACTCATTACATTTACATTTGGACGTAAGCTCTAATGGCATCTGAACAGGGGGGTTTGTTAATCTATTAACTGTTGAAAACAGAACACGCAGGTTGTTACTGCAGCCTTCAATCATTTCAGAAAAATACCTTTCTCTCGTACTACGTAGCACCCGGTTAAAATCGCACAACTTATCCTTGAATATCTTGTAATCAACCTGGAGGTTGGACTTGCGCCACTTCCGCTCAGCCCTCCAGCACTTTCTCTTCAGTGCTCTGACCGAGTCTGTTTTAGCCCACGGCGCCTTCTGCTTATTTTTCACAATTTTAACCTTCAAAGGGGCAACGGTATCCAGAACATTCAAAACACTAGAGGTGACAGAGTTAAACAGTTCATCTACAGTAGAATACGATGCATTTTCAAAGTTTATCATTCCCATAAATAGTTCACTTGTATTTTATGTGTCTTCTTCGAACAGTTGCTGAGTCCACTGGTGGTTTGTTAGTGAAACACATGTCAAAAAATACACAGAAATGATCCGAAAGCGCAACATCGACCACGTTTACATTTGAAATATTCACCCCCTTAGTAACTAACAGGTCTAGAGTGTGCCCTCTGCTGTGGGTGGGGCCACTCACATGCTGAGTGAGACCAAAGGGATCAAGCTCTTTTGCATTTCTGTCATTAACATTATCCACATGAATATTAAAATCACCTGTAATAACTAAACTATCAAAATCTGTGCATACAACTGAAAGCAACTCGGTAAAATTATCAATAAAACTGTGACATGACTGCGGTGGCTTGTATAGGACAATGAAGAGTATTGGAGGAGATTGTTTTTGTTGTATTTTAAAAGACACATATTCAAATGACGAAAACTTCCCAAGAGACATTCTATGGGAGACAAAGTGGTCTCTGAAAATGGCAGTGATGCTTCCATTAAAACTGCATTTCCTGTATTTTGGTCAAGCCAAGTTTCAGCCATGAACATAAGATCAAGATTATGAGAACAAATAACATTAAAGCCGCAAGCGGCGTCGAACGGCCCTCGCCGCCCCGCGCGACTCCCCACACTGCTCGCACCGCGCGCACCACCCCGCACCATGCCGCCCCGCACCAAGCCGCCCTGCACCAAGCCGCAACGCACCGCTCCACAACGCCCCGCACCACAACGCCCCGCACTACGCCGCACCACACCGTACCACGCAGCACCGCGCATAGGAGGTGGCGCCGCCGTGTGATGATTGGTTCCCGTAGCCATAGAAGAACTTAGTCAAATTGTAATGAATATGATAAGTAGAGCTAGTTTGGCTCCCCATGTAAACTTTGAATCAGTCTGTAGGGGGCGCTAATGGGCCAATTTCAAATATTTCACTTTCACCTGACCTAAACCCTGGAGTTGAACAATGGATTCAAGTTAAATGCAAATCAGACTTTGTTTGTGCAAACGGGAA